TGCCGCCTTGGGACAGTGGCTACATGTGGGACTTAAATCTACTGCATACTGTCCATTTGAGCAGCACCTGTTCGGTCCAATATCTGCCCATATATCCCTTTCTATGTTTTTGTTCAAATCTTCGTTGGCAAGCTTGTGCGTGCTGTTGGAGTGCTGTGCAATCTAGCTTCGGTCGTGTGGTTGAGCCTGGAGATTGTGTGGGATGGGTTGGAAGGCCTATCGATGTGCGCAAGGTGCCTAGAGGAAGAATCCTGTGGCCCAGTGGCTAGGATCACTTGCAATTTCCTCACGAATCAATGCTTTTTTTTAAATCTATCGATTTCTTGAAGTTGCACGTGATACAGAACTATCAGTATTGGCTTTTTAAAGAGCCTTCAGCTCCCAGAGTTATTCGCGGAACTACCACGCAGGCATGTGGCTTGTGAGGAGGCACAAGATCTACACGGGGCCGTAGAAGTGATAGATTGTATGACTATTGAAAGTGGATGACACACTAGACGAGACATTCTTAGGAAATTGGCTAGGGAGCGCTAATCTCCGTAGTTCACAGAAGAGAGATTGGGGGCTTCGTTGCCTGCGAATGAATTCGTGGCTCTCTTTCGTTGATTGGGCTGGTCGCCATAAGCAGTGTGCCTTGTGTCCCTGAGTAAGTATTTCTCCTCAGCGCATGCTCTGCCTGAAAATGTCCTTTAGCATATTTGGGCATTGCTTCTAAAGTTACCGGTTGTTTTTGTTCAGGTATTCCCTACACAGGTATATGAGCAGGCACCCTCAGGTGCATTGTGCCACAAATCTCTCCTTGCGCCCCTGTTTGGGCTAGTACATTGATTGTGCTTCATTGCGCCGGCTGTCTCTGTGTGCAGAAACTGCTCAATGAGGCGTGGTGGCACTGCTGAACTAGTATAGACTTAAGATTCCCTTCCATATACAACTTGTTTTGGTGTTTATCGTTGCTGGGCGCTCAACCGTTTCAGCGCCCTGACTAGAGTGAGCTATCACGCCGCCTTGGTCGAGTTGGTGGGGTATCTCCTTCGTTGCTGGTTACTGTGTGTTTCTCTGCCCACTCACTTATCTGTGCCGAACGCCAAACACTCTGTGTTTTTCATTTGCACTGTTTTCGCCTTTCTGCTTGCCCGGGGTGTTGTAATTTTGCAGCGACTCTTCACTGTTTACCACGCAGCTGGTGTCAATGCTCACGAACGGAACACGTGGGCATGTTTCAAAACGGGAGCTACGATGTTGGGGGCTGAACTATGCTTAAATACTTTCTTCTACACGAGTTTCATGTGACTAAAAAAATAGTAAGGAATGGACTTACTAGTTTCTCTGTATATCCAATCTTTTGCAGATTACTCTTAGCTTGATGCAAAGGACAATATATGCATTCCGGCTTCATGCTACGTGCCGCAAGCTCCAAAAACTCGAAGTGTTTAGGGGATGCAGCGCACCCGAGCCGTGAACCTTGCCTCGCGTCGGAACTATGAGCACGAAGGTTCACTCTTAAGTTGTTGCGATTTCTGCGTACTGAGGGGAGTTGAGTGCCATCTCAAGACTACTTTAGATCCAGCGTTACACTTTTAGCGTGTTGTGCTCAGGCTGATTTGCAGAATAATAAAATATACCAAAAGCCGACAATCGTTTAAGTGTTTATTAACTCTTAATTCAATACAAGCAGCGTGGTAGAATTGCGGCAGTGTAGCGTGGCATGCTAGACCGCTGCTCCTAGTGCCACGGATGGTGCGTGTTAAGAGGACAAGGGATGCAAGCCCTCTTCTAGATAACACTAGAGGATTACCCTAGGCTTTACTTATGCTCTTAGTGCTGCGGGTCCAGAGACCCTCTAGAGAACCTATACAATAAATTCTCCTTGTACATTGGCTGCTTAGGGGATGCCATGCAGTGCAAGCGGTAAAAATATTGGTACACAAGCTTAATAGTTTGCGCTAACGAACGAAAACTGAATGCAGATTACTCTATGCTAACACGTGCATACCCCTGTCTCTCGCTTAAAGGTAGCACAACTTTGTGTGAAACAGCAGCTTGGCTGTCCCGGAGTGCACCGGCTGGTGAAGGGGCCTGCAAGCAATATGCTGTCGCTTTACCACAGATCACAAGCTTTCTTCTCTTCAGGGAGTATAATCCTTATAATAAAACGATCGTCATCATTTAATCAGCTGCTTAGATCGCTGTGAAGAGTTCAGAGAAAGCTTACCACCTTCCACCCCCTGAAATGTATGCGCTATGGTCCTCTCACTCCCTCCTGCTGCTGTCCCTACATCTGAGAGTAGTGGAAGCCTCATGGCAAATCTGCATGCTGGCAGCATTGTTTGGGAGACTTCCCGGGTCTTATTCAATGGAGGTAGCTCAGAAACAGTTGAGCACAGAAGCAGGCTGGAATTCTCGTGAAGTGGGCTTGATAAGCCACGGCCTGCAGTACACTTACTCTCACACTGACAATTCATGGGAGACCTTGTATGTGGATCAGGCTGTAGAGAACCTTCAAGGGCCTTGGAACCTTAAAGTTGCTCCCAAGCAGTACAACGGTTCCCCAGTGGCCATCCCCACTGAGGGACCCCCTGCTTCAACTCTGGAAACAACCCAACCGGAGGAGTGTGTATCAAAGTACATACCGGCTAATCCACTGCACCACGTCCGCGGTGTAACACCTCTCGCTTTGGGCACTTTGTTGTTTTTGTTCCTCCTTGGCGTTTCGTTTTGGCAGGCAAGCCAAAGCAGTGCCGGGAGCGGGGAAGGAAGCGAGGATGTAGCTTCTACACATGGGACGAAAAATGCGCATACGACTGGGTATCAGCATGTATTGGGGAGAGATTTTCTTTGGAGCATCGGCCTAATGATAACCGGTCTTGAAAATATATTTCAGAGCATAACGAATATGCGCCAAGGGGTTCACAGTAAAGATTTACGCCCCCGCATTGAGTGGCGCTTACTTTTTTTGATAATACCTGCTTATGCAGGATTCGTGGCTTTTTCGTCTTTGGTGTTGGGCTTCATCTTCATGGCATTCGGAATCGTAGCCTTTTGTAAGTTTCTAAGCAGCGTTGCAGAAGTGATGCGTCTCAAAATTGCGGAATTTATATTATCACACAGCGCGGTTGACAACCCTCCGCTTTCTACGGACTGGCGGAAATCCAATGCCAACGCCAGTGCCAATGGGCCTCACCTGATGACGGCTGTTGGCGGCGTGGGTGGCGGCAGGGGTGTCGACATCCAGTGGCCATACGGTGTACAAGAACTCGGTGAATGAGTCGTTTCGTCTTGTATGCACTTCCCGGAACTTGTAAGTCTATGTGCACCAAGAACGACCAAGTGAAGACGTGATTGCGGCCCTCACTGGTCAGGCGCACCAATGTAGATAAACTCCCGCCGAAGGAAGCCAAGCGAGCTTGGCATGCGAAGTCCGTGGCTGGAAGATTCGCGCGTCCGATGCTTTATGTTGCATTGTAGATGCAGAAGGTGTTTGTTTTTTGCATTACTGGACTGCATTTAAAGTCCACGAAGCGGAGCGAGGTCCCGCACATTCCACTGTAATATAGTTTCCTACATTGCCTACCCTCCTTTTAATACGATTGGAGCTGCTCAGCAGTGGGCCGTGCACTGCAGCTTTTGTTTCCTTTGATACAATTGACCATACTGTCCGACTCAGAGGTTGCCATCGTGGCCTGGTGTGGCAACGGCTGCCACTGCATTCAAAGCACGAGATGACGGGAGGTACAGTGAGGCAGAGTCTCCCTTGAGTGTCTCTTCAGTGTCATATGGGTGGAACTGTACATGCAGTACAGCATTTATTGTTCGCCGTGTATTCCTTTGTTTTTTGTTGGTGGCTGTACTTCTGTCGGCGATAGCACAATGGGTTTTCGTCCCATAGAGGGATGCACTGCGCCAGCTTTGTGTACTATAAGGCATTGTAGTTGATGCTTCTGAATAAGCGCAGTCTTACATTTTGACCAGCAGTTTGCAAGTACCCGTAAGTATGCTTGCCCTCACTCTCTACGTGCAAGGACATCTTGGATGTGTGGACGTCTGAGCGCCTAGATAGCATTGTGTGCTCATGCCTTTGCAACCGCGAATGGCAGCTCATCGTATGACATGCTTCTTTGTATCTTGCTTACCTCATTCAGCACACAGGTCTTTTTCTGGAGAATCAGTTAACCTTCTCCACATGTGGTTTTTACCGAAATTATATCCTATAACTCCGTGTCAAAAGCAGTGGCTTACTAAGTACGCATTGATTTCCTTCTTCGAACTAAGAAGCAACTGTACGTGTCTTCTGCTACACGCAATCGAGACCGCTGCCCCACGCCGTGCTGCAGGCCATATTGCTTGCAGGAGGAGAAAGGCAGCTATTGCAGCCTGAGACTAGCGTTCACTCTGTTTTATTGCTGGAAATATCAATCTTTCGCGTAGCCTCACGTATAGAGTTGGCATGTCTCGAGGGCAGGCCTAAATATAGCAGCTGCGCAGATCCCATTCCTGTATGGATCTACATGCAGATACCCATAGCAGGTAGTTAGACCCTAGATATGTGCCAGCGCCATCAATCGAGGCATTAGTACTTTCTTAGAATCCACGCAGATGAAGCAGAAGCGCCAGGATGCTGTATCTGCGATTTAGGGTTTGGGGCGCCCCATAGGTATAGGCGGCACGGGTTCGAACTAGCTGTGCTGCGTGAATTATTGCCCTTTCGTGGCAGTTCCTGTCTGTAGCTTTGGCTTCCATGCCTTTTTTTTCAAGAATATTTAGAGCCTTGCGTGCAACCTACAACCAACATAGCCGGGATAGGCTGTATGCACATACCTTCCTTGTAATAGTAACATTAATTCATGGGCTCATTTCTTCAAACGCTGTGGCATCCTACTGCCCCTGTTATTGCGCTGCTAAGGGCCGCCAGGAGTAACAGCACCAGAGAGAAACGCCGCAGGCGAGCAAGGCGCATAGCAGCAGCGGATGCTGTTAAACGGGAGGAAGCGAAACTCTTGTCTTTAGAGAGACGCGGAGCTTCCTATGAGATGAGTTGACAAACGGAGTGGCAATGCAGTCGCGGGGTCCAGTGGCTGCAGCAGGCGCTGACAAGTCACTTGCCATTCCTCTTTCTGTTGTGTCTCCTGCACTTCCTTTTTCCACTGCAGTCGACTGCCTGGACTGTCGCTATGAGCTAACAAGGAAAGACCGGCCAAGGCAAAAAAGGTGTGAAATGGGTCGGGATGCCTCAGCTGCTCGTCTTCTGCGTCCAGCACACCGACGCTAAGGAACTGCAGTGAGTTGCTACTGTTGATAGTACTGCTGCTGCTTTTGCGGGCAGTGCTACTTGCAGAAACGTGCTCAGCTGTCTTATTGTCACTCGGCCCTGCGGCAGAGATGCGGCTCCCTGCTGCTGGTGCACCTGTAAGCCCGTGAGCCCGCGAGATTCCCCCATTTGGGTGCTGTGCAGCAGCAACAGCTTCAGCAACTTCTGCTGAACGCAGCACCTCTACGGGGTCCTTACCCAGCAGCAGCAACGCAGCTGTTACCCAGAATGTGTAACAGCTGTCTCCGGCTTTCCCTGGGCGTCCCTGGATTGCCCCTCCAGATAGCTGCCGTTCACACAGCCACCTGCAGCAGCCGCAGCAGTTCTCCTCAGGAAAAAGCAGCAAATCAGTTGTACCGTGCGGCGAAATCAACGAATCTCAATTTGCCGAACTGTAAGTACCGCAGCGACCCTACCAGCAACACCTTAAATGCTATTTAGCGACATGTCCACTACCAGTCGGAGCGAAACCTACGATACAGAGACAATGCAGCTCACCTTTCAAGCCTGTGTACTGCCTTGCGACCTAAAGCCCCCCGTTTCCTCAAGAGCGCTAAGCATCCAGCGAAGCAGAAGGCAGCTCCTGCGTGCGGCTCGGCCCCGGGGGAGACACCCACACCTCCATCAGTACCCACAAGAGACAGCAACCAAGATATTACCGCATCCACACGAACCCCAGCAAAGGGGTCCATAAGAAATTCCTCCCAAGAAGCAGCCTCGTATGACTCATGGCTTGAGGCGTCCCAAGAAATGCGGTGCTCCCCGCATTCCTGCGGAAAGGCCCCTGCACCTACTGCAGCTGGAATGTCAACGAGTGCATGTTCTGCTGCAGGGCGTGCCAGTGCAAGCTCTCTAATGGCATCAGCTCTAGCCCGAAAGGCGGCGGCCTTATCCAACCGTGGAACGTTGGTACTGGCGTCCACCATGCGCTCTCGGGAAGTAGCAGCGGCATGTATCAGCTTCAGGCTGAGAAGACAACAAAATGTACAGCGGATATCCCCCTCGTGCTCCCAACTGCTTCCTCCAGCTGGTTCTGCCGCTGCGCCTGATTGCGCACAGCAGCGTTTGTTGCAGCTCTTGCCGTCGCTGCAGTGACTGGAGCAGCAAGGTGGCAGCGTGTTGGAGAACGCTCCATCCTCCCATCGCTGTAGACGCAGCACAAAGCGCCGCACCTGCCGCAGTGTCTCCTCTGATAGCAATGGGAGGGCCCCTAATAAGGCCAATACCTGCAATCCACTGCACGTGGGAAGAGCCGCTGGAGCTGCCCCTTCTGCCAGATTGCTGCAAAAGCCCGTGACGGGTGCGCAACGATGTGTACAGGCTTGCATTTCTGCTGCTGCTTGTGCTGTTGTAGTTTGTTGCAACGCCGCGAATGCTCCAAGTGCTGCAGCTTCTGGTGCCGTTCCTTCGCAACTTGTTGGTGGAGCTCCCATCTCTGGCACGCTGTATGTTGGCGTTCCTTCTGCTTTAAGAGGAGCAGTATGTGGTGGTGATGGGGACGCTGTTGCAGCTTCTGCAGGGGGCAATCCGGAGCAGTGCCGTGTACGGAGAAAGCGTTTGGTGCATGCGTGGAGAAGGGCATCTCTAATCTCCGGGGGCAAAGGGAGCATACTTGCTGTTGCATGCTGCTGATCCGGTGAAACACATGGCAATATCACATCAGAGGGCTGCGTCAGCGCGAGGCAGCACAATAGCCAGTAGACTCCGCTGAGCAAGGAGTCCTGTTGTAGCAGCAGCTCCATGAATGACCTTTCGACAGCGGAGCCTCCATGTGTCTCCGCAGCTAGTGCTGGATTTAAGAGCAGCAACCCTTTCTGTAGCTGCTCCTTGATGTATGCCCGGTGTGCGTTGACGTCTAGAGGCCATGCCTCCAAAGAAACAGCGGGATCCATTTCTGCTGCAGCCGCCCTCTGTGGTCGTGTCTCCGTCCGCATTCTCCCTTATTGCTGCAGCCTTAGTCGTGTCTCTGCTGCTGCTGCGTGTGTGCTGCTAAAGAGTCGCTGCCGCTGCTGAGAGCCTCCTTATAGGAAAATCGACAGTTTTATGCTGTACTCGGGTTGCAGACGCTTCAGTAGCGGCTGTGTTGGGCCGTAGCAGCACAGGACGGAGCTCCCGAGGTGCTGTTTGGGACCCTTGTCTTACTGCTGGTGCTAGTATGGCAGAGGCTACCGAAGCGGCCTTCTACCCGGCGCAGCACGCTCCGTTCATTCTCCTGAGCATCGTCAGCCTCAAGAAGACGAAAAGCCATTAAGAGTCGAAAGGCCTACACGAAAGCTATCACGCGCATGCAGTTAGCAGAAACAGGCCCTCTGGACTGGGAATTTTGGAAAGTGTCGGCTACCTTATGGCCACGCCAACTGGGCACCTAGTCAGCAGGTGGCACACAGCAAAGCGTTCTTGTTAGCCGCACCTTCAAGATGTCAACTTGTAAGATGCGGCTAGAAGGATATCTGAAAATGCAATACGCGATTAATGCTGTAGGCTTGTGCTGTAGATAAGAATAGCCAATTAGGGTAGACACATTCGGCCGTCTGTCCAAGATGGGATGCAAAGGGCATTATGTAATGCTTAATTGTATCGGGCACCTTGTAACCTCTATCTCTTCGCTATATACGCGACTAATACAGATCATTTTGTGTTTGCTTCGGAAAACAGCGGTTTTCATGTTGCTTCGATTGTGTCTAGATGCATGCAACACTGACGTGGGTCCCTCGGTTATGATTGGCATGAACAGGGGCCCCTACAAAATCCTTTTTGCGACGACGTTTTGAAGCATTATATAAACCGATTCCCATTGATCTTCAGCACATTTCGCGGCTCCACTCTCATAATATTGGGTCAAATTGACTTTCTACCTGCATTTTGCTTCTCTGCTCTGACTCGCAGTGCCGGATACATGCGCTGCAGGCATCGAGAGTCTACGGTGTTCGATTCTCGTTCCCCTAGGCCTTCCTTAATCCGAACAACAGCCAAACAGTCGTCTTCCTTTCGTGGCTACATTTTTTGCCTCGGGTATCCCCTAAGGGAGTTCTTTCTCGTAAGAACCCTCAGGAGAGGTTGCGGCCACTGGGCAACGTAGTACCCGCTTCTCACTGGGCTGCTTCCATCCGTATGGAACGGAACTTCTGCAGGAACAGCAAAAGGAAAGAGCGCGTTGAGTGAACAACGACCTCAAAATGCGGCCACTCACTGAGGACGAGATAAAGCTAGTGCTCGAGAAACTTTCAAAGTTGTGCGTGTTGCAGAGAGGCCCTTAGCAATGCTTTTACCCTCCTGCTACACCTCTTCCGTTTAGGGTTTGTGGGACTTAACTTATGTTTCAAGTAATTTTAAGTGAATGCAACCTTCGGGGTTGGTGTGAACACCGAAAGGCCCGAAATTCCCGAAGGGTACAAGGCCAGCAGTGGCCCCTTTGTCCCGCAAACCACACGTCAAGTCCTTCCGTGGGATTGAGGGGCTGTTAAGGATATCTAGAACTTTCAGGATGATGAGTGTGTTTGCTTGTTTACAGTCTCGGTGATAACTTGATGCACTTGATCGAAAATCCATCAAACCCTCACGTCTTTCGCCTTCACAGAGACCGCGTCTTTTTCATGAGGTGTGCCTATAACGGGGTTAAGCTTCCTTGAGGGTCCTCTCCAACGCTTTTATGCAACCTTTTGCTCTGCAGAGAAATACATACGTCCATTATCCACCCGTTGTCCTTTGGCCTTCCCCTTGTCCGCATGTTTCAATAATTAGGCTTGCTCTGGGGACTGTTTTTTGCGTGCAGCGAGAAGCTTCTCAAGGCCACTGGCTGCATTCCGCGCAAGAATCTTGTGAGAATCATCTATATCTGCTGTTGTGGTGTGCTTCTGGTCTTTCGTTGTGATGTCTGCCCTCTCCGTGTGTAGCGCATTCTAAAGCAGTTCTGCGTTTCCTGTCACTGGTATATGACAAACTTGGGGGGTTTTCGCTGCAGGTGAATGTTCGTGTGTTGCATATTGCTGTCTTTATGCATTCAGCTAAGTGCGGGTCAGTGCCTGGGCAAGCTAACAAAGGCCAAGAAGTTCCGTTTGGGCATTACGGCGCTGCACCTATTGGCGAAGTACACGCCACATAAGGTTTGGCTTAAGCCGGGTGGCGAGCAGGCGTTTGTCTACGGGAACCACATCATCAAAGTGAGGCCTTTGGCGCAATACACAAAGTAAACGAAGAAGCAGCTGCATGGGCTAATCGGCTCTCCTTGGCTGCTTTCGAAGGCTTTTACGTGCATTGTGTGTGGCTGGAGCCCAACGCTAGGACTGTGGTTTCGCTTTGTTTAGTCTTTCCAGCTATAACAGTAGTGCGAACTTGAGTGTGTGATATTGAATACGCTTGCTAGTTGTTTTGACAACCGTGTTAACGGACAAAGATGCGGACAATGAGGGCTGTGGAGATGCAAGTTGACCATCTCACGAGAAACCTTCAAGAGTGGTGCTTTCTAATGTTTCCTGTAGAAGTATGCACAGGCGGGCGTCAATCTGCATGTATATCTGGCTAGGCATATAGAGCTGCTTATCCAACTGGTTCCATGGGGACAGGTGACGCCTGTGCGATGCTTTGCTCTGCTTGTTCGTCGCAGCGACACGTGGGGCGTCTGACGGCAGACATGCCGAGTGGAGCGGGCGTTTGTGTTTTGTCTTTGAACGGGGATTTGCCTTTGGGCTTCGGCACGAGCGCCAAGGCCACAGCGGAGATTCATGCGGCCCCTACAGAAGCCATCTCCTTTTATCACCACGCCGATGTGGGAGAGTACCTCAGGGAGGAGGCAGACCTGGTATGAGGCTTGCTGCTATTTGTTCTGCTTTTTATACCTCCTGCGTCCTCCTGTAATCCTTTGTTTTACTGAGATTCGGCAGCTGTGGAGAGGAGGAGGTTTATCTCATTAAGGCACCAGAGCATTAGCAAGAAACGCACAGGAGCGCAGTAGGGGATTTAGAAATGTCGCATAGGTCTGAGATAACGGCTTTTTGTGCATACTTGTCCGTCGTATTTTCCGTAATGAACACGAAAGGCCTTGGGATCTTCCTTGTAGGGACTCACCTGACGTGCTTTGCAGTGCACATTAGGGAGCGCAAAAAAGTGTAAGTGACTTAGCTCCATCTTGGCTTCGTTTGATGTGAGCTGGCGACGCTTGCATTTCACCCATGCTCACTGCAGCAAGATGATGAGTGGCTTGGGCTGGGAGCCGACCTCGGAGGTCTGCTCGTGAAGAGATTCGAAAGGCGAGGCGGTAGAATACACACAGACCACCGTAGACTTGTGAATCAGGGGTGCATAATTTGTTGAGCGGCGCCAGGAAGTGGACTATGTTCTTCCTACGGGTCCATTGTGACGCTCCATCTAGATCCATGGGGAGTCACTCAAGCCCACATTTAATTTACAATTTTAAAACAGTAAGTTGTCTTAAAACGACCCCCGCCTTCCACGGCCTCGCCCCCTTAAAATCGCCTACATGAGGGGAGGGCCACAGCTATGATGTGCGTGGCTGCATCCTCTAGCCGAGTATTCGGAGCTAGTCGCACATAGCATATCGTCAACACGCAACAAACAACGTTGCGGCTTTTGGTATCGAGCTAAATGTAGTTTGTAATAAAGGATATATACAAACAGACAACCCAAGGAGTCAACTGCATGAGCACTTCGAAGGCATGTATATAGCTAGTGTAGCAGAAAGTGCTGAAATGTAGCACGGCCGGCTACAATTTATCCCCATCCCCCTTTCGCCATGCCCTCCTATTTCAAAGACACTTCCATATTTCGCGAGACCTCATAGGTGCAGAGAATTGGAAGAGTTCCCGCGTTATCGCCGCTCTTCAGCCACGAATAAAAGCAACGATACTTCGAAATTCGAGAAACAACAGTGTGTGCATCAACCGCTAGAGTAGCATCAAAGGGAAGACAAACACTGGCCAACAAGAATCGATACCAAATACACGCGTCCGCGGGATGGTTGGCTGCTGTTGAAGCGCTTCAGTGTATGAACCTTCTACTGCATAAAAAGAAACAACTGAAAAGTATACAGGCAATAAACATACATACTAGCTCAACAATGCCTCATAGAGCAGTCTCTGCATGTAAAAACAGCTGGTGGATGCAGCAGAGTCGACTCCAGTGCCCCACCCGAGTCAGCCACACCACACCTGAGAGTGTACACAAATAAATGTGAGCGTAAAGGTACATCGTAAAGATGATAATTTGCAATTTTAGACCGAGACCCGCGGGTTAAGGCTCTTGCTCCAGACAGAGCATGCGCTGGGGAGAGAAAATTATCCAGGGACGCGAGGAATACCACCCATGGAGACTAGCACTGTTGTCCACATAGAGCCACAAATTTTCCCGCAGCCAGCCAAGACCGCAGCTGCTCCTTCGTCAAACAATGAAGTTGGCGATTTCCACCTGTCTCACTAGAACTTCCTGTGTAGTGTGTCCTTGGTGCTTAACAGCCCTAGACTCTCGCCCTTCAACGGCTCCCCATGGGGTCTGCGCCTTCTCATGGGCCACTTGCCCGCGCGGCGAAGTCCGCGAGTAAGTGGGAATGGTTTGAGACTTTTTAGGAAGCCAATATTAAGGGTTCTATCCTTAACTTTACAAGTATTGTTAGGGTACAGACAGAGCATTCGTTCTTGAGAGCATAGCGAATGGTCCTGGCAGCCTGGCGATAAAATTCTTCCTTCGTTGACCTGCTGGTGCACCTTATAAAGCTTCCTGATACACTAGGACCAAATCCCCCTGCTTGAAACACACGTCCGACCGCCTTGAATCTCAACAGCATGCTTGTCTCTTGAGCTTGGCGCGTACATTCACATGCCTTGGCCAGCATTTCTCTAAATCTCTTAGCTGCTCCGAATAGCTGCTGCCATGGGAATATCAGGTCCAGGCCAGGTTTGACATAGGCACCGCAGTGTAGATCAGGCATACAGGAGAGCAATGGGTAGGTAAGCGTATGCTATATTGTATATCCACTCAGCAAACGGAAGAACGTCACACAAGGAATCTTGATTCATGTATGCATAGAGTTGCACACACTGCAGGAAAAAGCCGCTGGTTTGCTCTGTCTGGCCGTGCCTCAAGGTGTGAGTCATAGGGGCACACAAGAAAGCGCTGGCGAATTTTGGATTCCTATCAGCTACGATACTCGGTTGAATGCATGGAGCTCAAACAACGCTCTGAGGTGTGCTAGAGCCGGTGAGAAGGATCATCTGGGCGTATACTCTCATTTGTCGATAACGACAGTGACGCTATCCTGATCCTTGACCTCCGGCAGTCCATCACTAATGTGCATAATCAGAGCAGTCCAAATACGTACAGAAACCGGGATGTTTTGCAGAAACCCGAGTTTGAGTGGATTATGCGCTTTCAGCTCTTAACAGTGTGCGCATGGCTGTACATGCTCTGCTGCCACAGCTCCCATCCCAAGCCACCACAAGACCGAGAGAGTTTTTGATCGTAGTGCGACTCCTCCCGTGGACCAGGAGGACGTGACAATGTGCTTTGCGCAAACCAGCAGAAAAAGCAAAGTCGATGCACAAGCGGCAGGTTCCCCGCTTGGGTATATTGAACAACAGCAGGACTTTCTTGGCGTGATAGTGCTTCACCCCTTAGCCATTCTGGGCTTGGCAAAAGTAGCAGATGCATTGGTGTCAGAAGTATAACGCTCAAGCAATTTTGATTGAAACCTATAAAGGATTCCTACTGACGTAAGCCGTTGCGCTTCTCAGTAGAGAGCTGCTGGGGGCGTCACGAGGGTGAGTCGGCGACCACGTTTGTGATGCCCCAGGAAAAGTTCAGTGTAATGTCGTACTGCGGGAGGTGCCCAAGCCAGCGAAGCACTCTAGGACTTTCAAAGTCCTAAAAGAATGGTTGTCGATCTGGACAATAGAACAACGCCTATCGAAACAGTGTCGGCATTCTTCACGCCATGCTACACTGCTTAGAGTTCTTTCCCCTTACAGGGCACCACTGTTCGGCCTTGGGAAAGAAATGAAGGTAAGCAACAATACTTTGGTTTTGGGAAAACATGTAGCGAGTTGGAATGGAGCAGCTCCTACCACTACGACACCAATAGTGGCTGGTAGGACCAGGGGGCGTTCAGAAACGGGCGGCCCATTTGGAGGGATTTAAAGACGGCCGACGGAGCGTGATTGCTGCTGTACCCAGCTCTCTGTCCAGAGCATAGGCTGCCTTTACTCAGTAGATCAATTAAAGGTGCGTCGATCCAAGTGTATAAAAAAGTGAGATATCGGTCCAATAGAACTTCTCAACAGACTTGCAGGTGCGTAAAGGTAAAAGCCTTGATTGTTCCAATTCGTGCTGGACCCTGCTAAGCTTTTTCAGCTAAAACATGCAATACCTAACACACAAGCATTATCATGCGAAACGAACAATTGTGTGCCTCCACATACCACTGCTTCTCCCGCAGCAGCTGAAGTGCAGTACTGTGCACGACACTGAAAATTTCGGCTGAATACAGGCGTCATCCATGCATACAGCATTTTACGTCTCCTTCACAATTCGGGGAAAATTCTGATTCATGGGATGATACAGTTTCGCTAAAGCATTAGTAACTCCAACCGGCATACACGTTTACTCGTTGCGAATGTGAGAGTGGGCTGCCTTGTTGTGCCTGTGATTAGCGCGACTCAGGATTTGTAGGAGAGCGTCAGTGAAGTCGGATTTCAACTTGATTATAGATCGGTGCAACTTCCGCTGCGCGGAAATTTTGTGAGACACTACCGCTAACGTACAGGCCACCTTCGTTCTTAAAGCCTCGACTCCGGGCAGTAACCAGTGCGCTGGTTAATTCCTGCACATCGCCGTTTTCCAGCAAATACTCCGTCTGCAACTCATTCTTTTCATGCCATGAAGCCTTCCGACACCACGAAACATATTTTGGGACTTAAATGGGGACTAGCCCAATATCTATATATATATATGTATATATAGATGGTCCGGTGGACGACCAACAGGTGGCCACCCTGTTGGCAGCTCGCCAATATTCAGCACCTCCCCGAAGTCATCCTTGACGTGTACCTATTCTCGCTATTCTTCAACTGGAACCCCTTCGGATTTACAGGTTAAAAGCCAACTATTGAGCCACTAAGGACGCATGAGCAGAACCGTGTTCTGTTCCTGCACTGCTGATCCGCCCGCATGAAGCCCCCGTCGCATCTTGTGGCGGCACCGACTCTGTCCTGCTCGCCATACATGAAATAGGGGGCTACTATGTCTTGGCATGCACTCCTCCACAGCCCGCAGGTGTGACCGCATGATCGCCTGTAATTCGATCACCCATGGCATACCTAGGAATAGATCACCATGCACGAGTCCACAGCAGAAGGCTTAGACCATGCTGTTAGCACCCACTTACGCTCTGAATTGGCGTGCAACACTAGTAGCCTTGCCTGAGCTCGAGTTCTGCCGCCAGTGAACAAGCCTGAGTCTTAGGGACTGCGCTAACTAGTAAACAGGCAAATTGCACTTCTGCGGTCTCCTCCGACTGCAGATCAAAGTCACACCCAGTGTCAAGCAACATTACTAACTCCTGAACACTCACGTAAGGTTGTACTGGCGTTAACATGTATCTTGGCGAATCCCCAACTGCGGCTCGATCTTTTGTACCCCCGCTCCACTGCGCCGTAACCTGCGCGGGTGCTTCTCTTTCCCTGGTGTGCCTTCTTTGCTCGCCAAGCAGCCTGCTTTCTCTGGACCCAGTTCCTTTGTTCAAGTTCTTTGGCTTTTGAATGCGTTCGCACTTCTGGATTATATGGCCCGATTTCCTACAAAAGTCAGAGGTGGACTGCGAAGGGTGTCTGCGGCTACTAAGGGGCATGGGATTCCTCTGGCTCACTTCTTTCTTTCACCGTCGAGTATGGGCTAGGGCCGACTGACACTGCCCTGACTTTCATAGGTACTACGTGGGGCAATCGCTTATTTCTTTTAGCCACAGACACAATACTCGGGCTCAATTATTCCTGAAACCTCAGGTAGTCCACCCCTTGCGGATGCTTTACCGGTCGGCTTTTAGATGGCTGAGACATTCCCCTTCTTGCGACCTGCTAATGTGGCAAATCGGGTAGACCTGATAAACTACTTCATAGAGCAGCTTTGTGTTTAGGCTGTTGCTTTTGCAAACGAAAAGTTATTCTTTGAAATGCTGATCTATCGATCGAATCGCTGCTTCAGCATTCAACATTCGCCCCAAGTTTGCCGCAGTGCTGATAGCACCACGAGCCGATGAGTCAGGGCTTGCCTGAAGGCTTGAACTGTAGTAATCCATTCAACCAGACCATTTTCTTTGCATGAAGAAAGCCATTGTGTAAGTGCTTTGCCCTCCAATAAACCTGCTGAAAGGACTACTCTATTCACTTCATCTGGGGCTAACAAGCAAAGGACATCTCCACCCGACAAATAAGATCAGCGAGCATTTCCCCACTTCTACTGCCGTTCTGCTTTCGTTGCCAGCATAACCTTTTTGGCGCGTCTATAAGCAACTGAACAGGTGGAAATCGTGCCCTTTTACCAGCTGTGGAGCTGCTGTGTTGTGTTCACATTAGCTTGCAGGCCGACTTCTGCCGCCCCAGCACGCGTTGTGCAGAGTTTCCATTACCAGAAAGTCTTTATACCCATGCCATTGCCAAAAAACTATTTACTAAGGTATACACAATCTAATTGAAACCAGAGAACTACTGTATGGATATTCGCCATCCCACTACCCCCACAACCAGTGGATGAGCGGAGAATAGCTTTATCAACCAAAGTGAAATTTCTAGCGAAACCGCTTCATCTAAGGAGTTCACATGAAGCTACTTGATTCGAGACGCAGTACAACCTTCAAGCAAAGTTAATGCGCTCACCTCGAAGAACAAACACCCTCTCGTGCCCTTTCTTCCCAAAAGGCCAGACATGGGGGAAGGGAGAGCGACGGCGCGTGTGACTGCTCCCTCTGCGCATTGCCAGCCAGTACAGACTTAGCTTATGCTTCAATTAGTCACACTCCACCACAGTAGCCATACTTACCTAAGAAGTAGGCAGCAACTGACTAGTCGGCTTGTCTGTTCGTATATCTCATTTGCCACAGAGTACTCTCGACTCAATATACGAAGACGCAATGTTGTGTGCGTATACGCAGGCAGGATGCTATGTGCAGCTAGTTCTTGATGCTCGAAATGCGTAGAGAGTGCAGCTACGCCCACACTAGCTGTCCGTCTACGACCATGTCCGGAAGTCTGAGGGGCATGAGCCGGTAATCGTTTGGGATGAATTTGATTAGCAATTCCAAGTTTGCATCGAGTTTGAAGGAAGTTGCTCATTACGGAGACCCTAGGTGGAGTTTTTCTAGCTACATACATAGGAAGGTGCCCCAGCTAGAAACCTGACATGTAGCTAGAAGATTTTCTCGTTCCTGCAGGGATTTATGCAACTAGTATGCGCCTCTCCCACAAATTCCCCGGGACGAAAGGAGAAACGTCAGCTAGACTATAACTAGCTGCACCCCTTGAAGGGCCCAAGAATGGGCATACTGGCTCAGCGCGTAGGATCGGACCGTACATTTTGCTTGTGTGACACCAGCCCTGAGCCGTCATCAACATATTTTCAGGCAGTGTAACCACGCAGCGTGGGCTCAAAAGGAGCCGAAATACATGTAACAAGCCCCGCGGAGACTGATGCAAGCTGGCTCCCTAGGGTAACTTGGTGGTTCCACAGCTCCTTGTCTCTCTCGGTGAGACCCGCCATCAGTATCTCATAAATCTAGCCCCCCACTACACTGGCAAAATTAGTCCGTGTTATTTCCGAGGGTGAACTGCACTATTGCCATCTGAGCGCAAAGTACACTGCTGTCCTCGTGCTTGGGATGTCTGCAACACAACAGCCTGGGCCCCGTAGACGTCAAGATTCCATCTGAAATCCAGAGACTAATAATTTACCATATGAAGAAACAGAAGTGCTTAAAGGGGTGAGTTTGTAAAAAGCAGCGAAATAATACAGCGCTTTCAAGGAAGGGCGCCCCTGTAGCAGCCACCCAGAGACTACTCGACTAAGTCGGCCGCAGCCCCTTCTGTTTATGATTTGATGCTGCGAAAACTAGAGGTCAAATACCATTTTAAGAAATTATTTGTTAGTATTTCAAGATGAAGAAAAAATAAGAGCACCAGACATACACCTCGCTGAACCCAAGGATCATCGTTCCGCAGGGCCCAACAGACCATTGGTATCGCCCAATCATCATCCCCTTTTCGAACAGCATTGAAGAGTGCTACTACCTAAGTACCTGTTAACACTCTAAAATAAGTATAAAATGCTTTCAGATCTTTTCTAAGAAGCCTCAGAAGTTTCTGAGCAAAAACTAGCAGAAGAGCATCCTGGCCTGGACCAGGGGACCGCGGGGACTCATGCACTAAGGCGGGCACATAAGCCTCCAACAGTCCAGACAAAAACGTTCACTAGTACTACTTTCAGGCAGGCTGATGATTATCCAGGGCTTCACGTAGCCGAACGAACGGCTTCAGACCCTTTTTGCCCAGGTGCCCCCAACTTCTTGCGTGGCAAAAACCGCTATGGGAAAGGCCACCGTGCAGCGATCCCAGCGGGCCTTTGTGGCACTGGCTCTTCTGCAATTTGTGGGTCTCGTGGTGGAGGGTTTTAGAGGGATCGTAGGTGAGAGGGCATTTGCACACGCTGCCATAAGCCTCGGAATGTCTCTCCCCAGCAGCTTCCCAGCCATCCTGGACTCTTTGCCGGGCATCGCAGGGCAAAAACACGTGCTACGCAGAAATTATAGGCTTTAGTTACTGTCTTATTGGTGCACGCCACTCGAGACCTTGCGACGCCGATGCTCTACGCCCCTCTTGTGTGCCCGGACGCAGGATCAAGACACCCGAAAGGATCCCGTTGGATGCTGGACAATGGAAGCATTGAGCTACCATATACATTTTTGAATAGGAGTAAAGCAGAGTCCTATTTTCAGGACAATGCCTTCTCACTGCTTGATAATTCCTCTCATGCGCTTGGTTCTGAGCCGTCTTCTGACAAGGTCTCGGTAGGCGCACTTGAACGCTCGCCACTCTCCTTTCCACAGAAGTCAAAGATCACAGAAGGCAGCGCTGCAGGTGCTGACGTCTTCGGTGGGAGCCTTAGTCCCGCTAGCCCCCAAACCTTTCCATTACCCTTGACTGACGGTCTACAGAGGGAGGCGCCAAAGCCTTCAGACAATGGTACGCTCGGGACATCGTACAGAGCCATCATTGTGGCAGTTTGAAGATTTAGACCCGATGAATCTTCTAGATTGCTCGCGTGTAGGTGTATGCACTTCTGAGGCCTCCCAATCTTGTACTTTCTCCCAGAATTTAAGGAGGAGGTTGTCGGAGTGCTGACCCCTGCCCATTATGCCACTTATCTTCATTGGGATATTAGTCAGAAGCTTCGCATGAACCCGTAAGTGCTTGGATAGTCAAACTTAAGGTTTATTATCACTGCTCTCAGCCGCTAGTGTGCTTAGGCTTTGAAGCGGCCAGGTAAGAGGCCGGAGCTTCTGCGTCCTGAATACATGGGGCGCAGCTTGCTCATAGAGCCTCGCCTAATATACCTAAAAGTCCTTGCATCATAGCTCTGAGATAAAACCAGGGCATATGGCTTATGCTGTTTCTCAGGGGGGTTACACCCATCATTCGCGCCCGCTGGCACACTGGTGAACAATTCGTGGCCGCTGCGGCATCCCTACGAGATGACAGGTGCACTCCAACAACAGGAGCCCATCAGTTGCAACGCCATTGGCCAAACCATCCTGTCTTGGTCGCTTGTAAGCAGCCCAGAACTGTACGCACATGTATATACCTGTGCGTGTACGTGTTGCAGGTGGAAGCCGTTCTTTTACATCGTCCTCGCTCAATAGTAAGCCATCGTGCAGGAATCCCTGAGTCCTCTCTGACTACTCCTCCTCTGTTGACACTGCCTTACTGTTCTTCTGATTCACCTCCATCTGTTGGCTCTCTGTGGCAATTGGTCCGCTGCGTTCGCGGTCAAAGTAGGCCGACAGTACCTGGGTGGTACAATACGATTGACACTCGCGTGTCCTTGTCTTTGTTCTGTTTTACGTAGCGCACCTGTGCCAAGCCAAAAATCAGTCTTTTTCTCATCTGAGGGCAGTTTGGCGCTGATCCCCGCGACTCAGGAGTCTCAAACAGACAGCAACGGGCGGCTCCTGCCATATCCTTTTTTTCTACCGACACCCCTTCAGCTTCTTCAGGGTGCTTTTGGAAAGGCATACGCCGTTAAGGAGCTTGGAAATTTCGATACATCCGTGTCTGCCCCTGCATATGGGGACAATGAAGCCAACGATAAGCAGCCTGGGGACGCAAAGACTGCCTCCTTCCCAGAGCAGGAATTCCCCGCTGAACGAAGTAACTCCCGTAGGGACACCAGTACGTTTCTGCGGTGGGTCCCTTTTGGACTCACGCGAAAATACTCAGGAATTGGAAATGCACACCTCGAAGGCTCCCTTGAGCGGCCGCCGCCGGAGGAGGACACCATGGTGGAGGTTGCTAAGCGAGACAATGAAGAGCTATTTATAGAAGCCCTTTCCAGGGAGTTACCAAACCGATGGCTTGAGGCCCCAGATGGGTAGGTTATAAAGAAGAGCATATGCTCTCGCCTATTGGACTAAAATTCCGCTGATGCACTCCCCAATGTGCAAATATTGCATGCAGGTGAGCATTCATAGTCGGATAGGAGGTCCGATATTAGGCGGTGCCCCGGACTCACTGCAGCACAAGAGTAGCTTCATGCTTGTTTGCAATATCTCTGCTTTAGGAGAAGACTCGTCATTATCTTGAATGACCAGATCATGGAGTGCAGGAATCTACTGCATCTTGCCAAGAGCGCCGCGTGAGGGGACTTGCATCCGTTAAGCCTGTCAACTCTTTGGCCCCTGAAGGCCTCCCGACTGTACCTGGGTGGAGCATAAGCAAGCATGATAACCGCATGGCACCTAAGCAGCGTTTAAAAGTAATTCTAGGTCATATTGATGAGGAGACCCTAGGAGTTCTCGTGCGTACGGCAGAAAGTGCAGAACGCTCATCGCCACGGCTAGTTGAGCGTGGCAGCAGACCGTGTATGCCAAGTCTCCAAGTGTCAATTAGCTATATTGCGCGTGCATAGGAATGACGGTACACCAGTCTTCATGGAGTATTCGGAAGGTATGGATCTGCGGAAACTGCTGTTGCGGTTGAAAGACGAGAGCATTGGAGACAGGAAGATGTGCGCCTCCCCACTTCTTCAGGGCACAGTGATTGACCTTCCTTAGACAGTGAGGTGGCGCCCATGGAAAAGGGCACCCTCGCAGGCTCTGTAGGCTTAACAGGAACCGGTCAGTGTGGTTCATTCTCCCTTTGTCTACTTTTAACCGGTTACATGTCGGTGGTTGCGGGTGTGGCTGCAGAGCCTTCGTTGTCTTCGCACTGGGAAGCTCAGAGCTGGTCCCTTTGAACCGGGCCTTCTTAGATCGGGCAGTCTTGCGAGTCCCCAAGGCAGCAGATATCAAAGCTTTTTTAAATCGAAAAGAGGAAGAGGCAGGTGCTGCTCTGGCGGCGGAGATAGAAGAGGAAGAAGAGTGGCGTCGCCACATGCATAAACACAAGGAGCATCTTAAAGAGATCGAGGTAGAAGCAAAGGAGCAACAAGAACTCAAAGTCGAACTGGGCATGAAGACAAGACAGCAAGCAAGCCCGGTATGACCTTTGTTTGATTCATTACCATTCTTTCTCCAATCTTACCCCTCCTTCCATTTCATTGTTTTCCCTCCCTAGCGTAACACTCCTGCTGCAACCTCTTCTACTCGTGGCTTTAGTAAACGCAGAGAAGTAGCAATCCTCGTTCCTACTTCGCTTCTACGCAGAAGGCAGAAACGAACCCGAGGCTTGAGACAAGCGGTAGAAGATCAGAAGAAGAATCCGAGCAGCGACCGCAGCAGCAGGATCCACCAATATTGGTTTTAAACCCTTTCGAGGAATATGTGCTGCGTTTTAATTACACTGAAGTCGGCGATATACGTAGCTACGCAGCGACGCTCGCCACGTCTCTCAGAAATGAGCCCTTAGAAGTGACTATTGGGTAAGTGACAGTGTCTCTGTGCCGTTACTATTTTCTTGATGCCCCACAAGCCAGGTGTTCCACATGGCATATTGAATATCCTTCTCTTATAGAAAACAACATTCCTTTAGGTCGTGATGAGGAATTTCCCAGAAAGCGCTGCAGGAAGGTGGTGGCCAGGTATTTGTGCGCATGTGTCCACAGAAATCTTTTGCGCATTTGTTGTCTGATTGACCGCTTTCTCAGGGGTATCTCGCACAGAGTTGCAATAGTAATACTCTCGGAGCCTTTCGAGGCGGAATTGGAGCCCAGCCAGACTTGGTTGCGTCTTCATCGTTTTGTTCACATGGCGATCGCCATCTCAATGATTGTCGGCCTTTTGTGCTGCCTTTGCATGTGGCGCCTGATGCTGCTACTCAAACAGCGCTAGCAGCACTCAGCTCAGCAGCAACAGTTTTACTCTCCCAGGTCTTGGAGTCGGTTCATAAGCTTCAAATGAGCACAATACGCGTGGAAACCTTAACGGACACGGACCCAATCCCTGCGGAAACATCCGCAAACATTTAGGGTCAACGAGTGCACACCAAAGGTCCTTTTCTTGCTTATGTAGAAGCCTTGCTGGCTTTAGTATACTCGCGCGCATTACTCTGAAATCCGTCATTTGTTTTGTGTGACGAAGCTTGAGACAGCATTCGTAGTGAGGCTTGTGTTGAGCCATAAAAGCTAAAGAGAGCTCTAACACAACATATTCAGCTGCATTAATTGCTGGATCGTTTTCCGTTCAGCTGCCCAGCCGTATTCTTACATGTAATCAACATTTTCGGTATACATGAGACATATTCATGTACATACGTATAACCGGCTCAGTGTAGACTGGTCTTTCTTTTTGATCTGTCTTTATAAAGTTCATTTTGATCATCCGAACTCTTTGATGCATGCTAGTCAAGGTAGCTAGAACAACCTGCTCTTAATGCAAATTTGAGAAGAGCTGGACTGGGCATTACTATCAGAGGAGTGTAGGAAGCAACGACCCGGGCTATCCTTAGACAGTTGCGTTCACAGTTTCTATAATTAATGAATGGGGTATGCGTATGCTATATTGGCTAGCTGCCTGAGTGCTCTACTGGTAGCATACGGCTAGCTCCATACCGAAAAAAAGTTGTTGTAAGCCTTTCTGCTGAGTAGCTGCAAATAAATGTGCGAAAGCAAACTAAGGAGTGTAACGATGCCACCATTTGCACCTGAATACCCTGGCCCTCGATCTCAAAGCTTCTGTAGTATGAAGAAGGCAACGTAAGTGGTCTTTTGAAAAAAGAAACTGACGCCTTTGACAGATATGGCTGCGGATCTACCTATGTTGACTTTACAAGGAGCGTTTCAACCCACATCATAGCATAAATAAAATTGTCCCTATACCAAAGTACTATACGATGACGCCTCTAGCTCGCGGTACCGGATACATGCGTACATTCTTTGCAACGCTCACTTTCTCCTTCCTCCTTCAATGCCCCCCGAGGAGTCGTGAACCAAGGGCAGCCAACTAGAGACACACACCACACTTGATTGCACATGTTTTGGAAGCAGATGTCTTAGGCTGAAAGAAAGGCTGACCGCTGAATCTGTCCATAGCGCAAGCAGTGACTGAGCTAGTAGGATCCATGTATGTCTCACTCGCTTGTCTCAGCCTTCAAGTGCAACAAACACAATCAACGGATGATGCCCCTTTAAAAGCAATTTCTCGCATGTTTGACTCGTACTCAGCTACTTTCCTTGCTGCTCTGCTTCAGGCACGCTAGTAACTACGCTCATTGAATATAGCAGTATGGCGATCATGCTGTTCGGAGATTTATGGGTCAAAAATGTTACTCGACTTCAGATGCATACACTTGGAGTATAGTCCATCAAGTGTAAGACGGCTGTTTAGGAATGCTGTGAAACAGGAAACGGAAAAGCTACCACAGCTGAAACGGAATAAGGGACCTGACCGGCGGCCTAAGCCGACTTTGCCCTTCTTCCTTCTAAACGCTCCTTTCATTGCCCCGCTTTACGGTAACCTTTTAGAGAGTTTTATACAACTATACTTTGAGAAGTTTGTCTGTTTACATAAAGGCTCCAAGGGAGGCACACAGGCTGCAGCTCCCCTCGAGGCGCAGTCGCAGAATCAGGGAGCTACGGCTTCTAGTGGTGGTCCGGTCCTTCTAATTGTGTTTTGCTCCTCTTGTGCGACTTAGACTCAAAGGCCCCTTGAAATACACACATACTTTTAATTGGAGCCTCACTTTTCGTTTTTGAGGCTGCAGTTTTCCAAAGATGGACCTTCTCCCATTGTAGGCTCGAGGGTGCCTGCCAACTCTATCCAGGCAGGGCTGAGTTTGCCAGATGTGTATGTACCCGGTCCCGCTAGCCTTCTGTCGCCACAAGTGCAGCGTCCATGTAAATTCCTCAAAAGGTCACTCGCCTACCCCTTTGCTCCTATTTCTTCTATGGCTACTCGTGAACACTTGCCCAAGGCACCAAGTCGGCGTGTCACATAGCTAAGACAACAGGCTGTTACTATCTGCTCGACTTCCGTAAGGACTCCAGCTCATTGGTGATCGAAACTGACGTAGGTTGGTACCCTGTGGCTCAGGAGCCTTTGACTCCAGCGAAGAGTCCCTATGCTTGCCCAAGGTGACAAGGAACCAGCATGAACAAGGCACACGCTCCACCTTGGGCTTCCCCCTAGCCCTCTGCTTACTCTTATCAAAGCCTTAATCAAGTGTCCTTTTCTGCACGCGCCGCAGACAAGCCAACTCCATGGCCACTGCACGTCCGTATGGGGAGCAGCCTCCGGCAGCGGCTGTAGCTGCTGCTCCCCAGCAACAATATTCGCCCTCTACGGTCCCTTCTGCAGCTTTAGGCTTGTCCAATGTTATGCGCTTCTGGCTGCCGAACCCTGGTGCCCACGGCTCGGGTGCCAGCCTGAGTCCCGGATTTTTCTCTACCCAGAGGCAATTTCACCTTCCCACTTCCTCTCCCTCCATGAAAACCCAGACAATAAAACCCCAAAACCACAGATCGCAAGTAGATCTTTGCTACTCTTCGCGTGTTCCGCAAGCCTCACCAGTGGAATCTGTTAGGACAGCAGCTCTCACCCCTGACTCACACTCACACCACGACGAACGACTGTCCAATCCGCATGCTGTTTGGCGGTCAGTGACCCCTTCCGCGCATTTGTACAACGGCTATAGGCCCAGACCAGTGGCGCCGAGGCGCTCGGTAAGCGTGGGGTCAAGAGGGATAGTAACTGTAGAGGGCAGGGTGGAGGAACCGCGTGCCCCCGAGAACTCCGTCCAGCAGCAGCAGAATTTGCGCAGGGTACCTGCAAGGTTTTATCAAGAAGTTTGGGGCCAGCCCGTTCTGAGGCCACAGCGGGCAGCCAACGAGTATCAACAGCGTTGGCGTTGCCCATCAGTTCAACTGCTGCAGCGAGACTCAGCACAGCTACCAAACCCTTCAGCCTTAGGAGTCTCTGCCCTGCAGCCTCGCCTCCACACCAAATACGCCGGAGGAGCTGTTATACAGGCTCCTGGCTCTCAACACACGGCATCTTGGCAGAGACCTCTCTCATCGCCCGAAAGGCTTGCACGCAGGCTATCTCCTAAGCCACACGGGATTCACACGTGGAGGCCTCTTTCTGTGCCTCCCCAGAGTTCTGGAGGCCCCCGCTGCGCAGATGCCGTTACTTCACGGGCCGATGTAGGGGCTCACCAGTACGATGTACGAGTCAGGCAACCCCCGATGATGCGAGGAAATGGAGGACAAGAGCATCTTTCGGCTGCCTCGGGCAGCCTAGTGGTGCAGGGGCAGCGAAAAGTATGCCGGTCTGTGAGCACACCACCCCTCATCCAACGTCAGTTCCCTGACCTTGCCAGTCGTCTCTGGTCCTTTTTTCGGGCAGGGCAAGAACCTCAGGAGCGAGAATCCCCGAAGGCGCAAGCTGTAGATAAGAGGCTTCAGTGTACCAGCAACAGAAGCAGGGATCCCCTGGTGCCCTCAACAGTGGATTGGGCCTATAAACGGCAAGGAGCTCAGCACCACTTGGCGCAGGCGGGTATGTTCACTGGGGCAGACTCGCAACCATTGCACCAGGTGCAGCCTAAGTCGCAGCCAGGGCAACGACCGTCTTCTCCCCACGTGCAGCTGATTCAGAACTCCCGGCAGAAGCCCACTGTGACCTTTGCGCCCATAAATCAAGCAAGGGCCCCCATGCAGAACCAACCGCAGTGGACAAAAGAGCAGGAAACGAAGGCTGGTGAGTGGAGTCCCGACGTGCAGAAGGTAGAGAAAGCTTGCCAGGGGAGAAGCGCAACCCAGCAGGAAGCAGTGGCAATGCAGATGCAAGCTGCGTTACAGCACCGCACGCAGCTAAAGGGGCCCTCGGCCCAAGTGAAGCAGGTCTTGTCCTCGCAGCAGCAACGAGACCAGTTCCTCTGGCAGCAGCACCAGCTGCTGCAGAAGCAAAGAGAGGTGCTGCAGCAACAAAAAGAGAAATTAATGCAGCAACAGGCATGCTGGCAGCAGCAAAGACAGAGGACTCTGCCACAAAAAGAGGCAGGGGCCTCGGGCCATCCACAAGCGCCCCCAATACGACTGGAGCGAGATACTTCTGTAGAAAGCTGTTCAACAAGTTGCGGGGTTGACATAGCTAGAGGTTCACCCTCAAAAGTATCAACAGAGCTACAGGGGTCCTCTTCTTTTGCCAGGAGCTCTGGTGTAGCAGGCCAGCAGATCTTGACTGCCAGTGCGGAGGACCTGTTCTCTGAGCCAACCTCCTCAGAGAGGGTCAAATCGTCATCGGCACAGCCAGCCACGTCGGCAACCAGGGCCCCGCAGCAGCGAAAAACCCAACAGCTGCAGCAGCAACAGCAAGAGCCTCCCGCTCTTCCATCCCCGCGAAAATTTCGGTCTAACGAATTCGTTGTTGGGTCCCCACCAGGTTCTGCCACAGCTGTAAGAGAAAACGGGAAGGTCAGCTTCACCATGGTAGGCGGCAGCATGGAGCAGCGTATGCAGCTGAAATGCGAGGTCATCGGACACCATGGTGTTGCTCTTGCTGAGCCTACGCTTAGCAGCGGATTATCGAGCATACGGAAGCACCAACAACATCAACCATCTGAAGTTGCAGACTTCGGGTGCACTAGGGACAGGACAGAAGGTGCTTTGGCCAAACAACAGCAGTCGCAAACGCACCTCATGGCTACTCCACGGAAAGTTGTCAAGGACCCAAAAGAGGGCACCCAAACGGCTACTTTAGGGTGTTCAGCAACGGCTACTCAAGGACCAGCCGAACAGGAAGGGTCATGCAGTCCTGTAGCTGGGACAGACACACTGGTTTTAACAGATACTGGGGATGTTCTGAATAGAGAGCTTCAGGCAGAGCGAAGAGAGCAAGAGCCTTTCCCGCAGCACCCTCAAGTTTCACGCAGGTGTAAGTTGAGGCGACGCGACCAAGACTGCTACAAAGTGGGGCCCCACGATCTACTTCCCGTGGGGCCCCTGATAGCGGCTATCTGTTCTCTTGGGGAAAGTGGAAAAGAAGAGGGCGAACGCGCTACTGCAGATGAATGCACAGAGGATATAAGTTATATTGAAGCGTATCTCCCGATCAAGTCACTGTCTGAGTTGGAGAGTGTAGAGAAGGGCCAGGAAGCAGAAGATCTGCTGGACCTGCGAAGAGACGTGGTGGGTTGCGGGACCTACGGAGTAGTGCGGAAGTTGAGGCACAAAAAGGGTGGATTTGTAGTGGCCGTAAAGAGCATTCAGAAGGAAACTGTGGTGCGAGCGGGCATGGTGGACCAAGTGGAGTTTGAGCTGTACGTACAGCGGGACCTGCTCAGGCATCAGAATGTATTACGCTGCTTCTCTTGTGTCGAAGACGCAGAGTACTTGCACATGATATTAGGATATTGCGATCAGGGGGATCTGTACAGGCGGATTCGAAAGCAGCCAAACCGTCGATTTTCAGAGCTTGAAGCGTTCTGCTTCTTCGCTCAGCTGATAAACGGTCTGCAGTGCGTACACTCCAGCGGAGTAATTCACAGAGATCTGAAGCTCGAGAACTTGTTGCTCACAAAAGGATATGTATTGAAGATTGCAGACTTTGGCTGGTGCGGGTCTGTCGTTGGGCAGAACCGAAGCTTCAGCTTCTGTGGTACTCTCGACTACCTCGCCCCAGAAATGGTCAAGGGTCAGGGGCATGACTGGCGAGTTGACTTGTGGAGCCTTGGTAAGCACAAAGAAAACTAGCAGGCCCATTTTAAGCAGACAGCACGGTAAATAGGCAGACTATCTTGTAAACCTGAAGGAGGCAGATACCTAATTAAACGAGGTGCCAACCACTGCCTCAACTTCCCATGCGTAATTTACTGTGGCTCGTCCCTAATGTTTATCAGCACTGCCTCCGTCTTTAATCCAAATCACTGTGTTTGTTCTCAGTGAGCACTTGCCTTCTATTGTATTTCGTGTGCATGCAGGGGTACTGCTTTATGAGTTGCTAGACGGGCGGCCACCCTTCCAGTCGACGCGGCATTTCGAGCTAGTGCAGCGAATTGTCACTGTGGACATCAGAATGCCTTGCGTAAGCTTATCCTTTAGATTGTTGAACTTCTGCTACTCCCAACGATGGGCAAACTATCCGTGAAGCACACAGATTGACATTTGACTGACAGGTTGCAATCGCTGGTTAACGCTGCTGGTATTTTGGAATTTTCTGTGTTTAATGGGCGCCTGTGCCTTTTGAAAGCTGACTGCTTTTGATGTCGCAATGTTGCTTGTTCGGACTCTGGGTGTCTGAAGATATGTGGCCAGGAGTTTTTTCTGTGGATTCGAGCGGTCTTGATATGTCCTCAGCACGTGAGCAGTGACGCCGCTGATCTAATCAGGAAACTGTTAAAATACGACCCAAGTGAAAGATTACCACTAATTGGTACGAATACACACAAACACCCTCGAATACAGACTTTTTGTCCATGAATGTGAATGAATGCTGCCATGCGTAATGGTCGTTTAGTCAATGCATATATGTACACCAACACGTGTATATAAATATGCAGCTCAACACGTATCTTAGTGTTTCGTACATGACGAAATATGCTTGCGTATCCGCTTACGTTTATATAGGCATACGAGCCCCCATGCATGCTAGCACAAATAGTTATACCCATTTTTGTAGCTATACCTCCGTTGTACGTGCAGAGATACATAAATATATACGCATGTACACGTGGCAAAGGTGTGTATCTCTTCATACAACTATATTTTCCTGTGCCTTTTTGTATTAAAAGCTTAAGCGACTGAACTAATATATGTCGATGCATCTCTTCTTAATCTTGCTGTGCCACAGATGTTGCACAGCACCCCTGGGTGCATCGCATGTGGAAGGAGCTGCAGCTACATCTGCTGCAGAGGGATCCTTCAGTCGACATAGAGGCTTTGTTGCCTGCTATCGCCTCTCCCTGGCCCTCGTCGGAGCTGTTGTACAGCGGTGCTCCCCATCATGATCCTCGTTGTCATATAGCAGCAGAGGCAGCTGGCGCATGTGGCAAACATTCAACGGCCAAAGGGTTCGAAGGAGTAGGCAGGAGCAGTGCTACAAGGAATGCCATAAGGTCCCCTGTGGTTCCCATTAAAATGCAACTTACAGACAAAGGGACACACCTGCCTCCTCTCAGCGGCCGGAGAGGCCCCAACAGTGTGTATCACGAGTGTCTCCCCAGTGAGCGGTCGCTCATATCTCTATCCACAGAGCGGATGGGGAGAAAAAGGACTTCAATCGTTAGAAACGGTTATGCCTCCCTCAACCACCACCCACGGCGTCGTACGCTTCCCAAGCCGACGACAAGTGCCACCCAGTCCAGAGCCATTCGAAGCACTAGCAAAGCCCTTGGCAGCGCCACAGCCAGACAGCTACCGACTTCGCGATATCCGGAAAGCGCAGAGACCGCACCTGCAAACTCTAGCGCAAAGAAAAGTCCACTGAAGCGCCCTTCTTGCGCTGCGCAAAGGCAAAGGGGACGCAACACTCCTCTTCTTGACCAGTCTTTTGACTTACAAAGTGCCGCGGAGACGGCAGACACCTGCGATGCGAGTGCTTTGACTACCGAGGCGAACACATGTCACGCATTGCACACAACTGTTGATGGCGCTACAGATCAGCAGGAAACAATTTCATGTAAGCTCCTCCCTCCAGGAGACGATTCGACGACCAGAGATGATCGGCCTCGTCAGGTGCCGATAACAGAACTCCACACCGGAGCACATTCTCGAAGGGACGCATCCTTAGCACCAAGCATTCTGAACATCCCTCTGCCGGCTAGTGCAACCTTTGATCAGGAATCACTGCCAAAGTCAGCGGCAGAGCAAAAGCTTGTTGCGCTATCATTGTCCGCTGATGTAATCCAAACATCCGCTAGTACTACCGACGCCACAGCACTACCAAGCCTTAAGAAAGTGCGCAGCGCCTCCACCAGGCCCCGAGGCTGTGGGTCTGGTGGTGCAGTGCTGCGAATGCAGTCAACTCCCCACAAGGCTCCGGAGGCACCCGCCACGTGCGACTTGTATCGGGGAGTGAAGGACTGCCATGGCCAGCAGGGAATGGGTCCTGGTTCGAACCATCTCGGGCTTGTACAGAAAATTTGCAAAGGCACAACTTTGACGCCTCATGGGAGAACACAAGGGGTAGCCCATTTGGATCCATTCCACACCCAGAAGCCGTGGCCATCCATGGCCACGGCTACAAGTGGATTGAGCGTCATGCGGCCGTCGTGCTTGACAAGCAGCCCAAGTCAACATTCTCAGTGGCATCCAGCTGTGGCGGTGATGCGGCCTGCTCTGCCGGGACGTACGCATCAGTGGCGTTTAGAGCAAATGGTGCACCCCAGCAGTCTATCTAGGTTGCAACAGTTTGAAAGTCTTCCAAGCAGCGATTCTACAGGAAATCTGCATTACCCACACTTGCCGAAATACTCTGCAGGTGGCTTACATCAAACACTGCAAATGGGGGACAGATCCCGACCTCAGCTCCACATGGCCTTTCAGCCTACGTCAACGCAAAAGCAACGCCTGGTGGATTTAGTGGCGGATTCTCCTCCAGGAAGACGGTTTTACAGCCCTCCGTCCAATGGACTCCTCTCTTGGGCCCAGCAGCAACCAAAGCAGACCCCAAGTCCCCTTGCAAAACGGCAACCCTGTGTTTATGGAATGGAGAAGAATGTCATACCTGGACTGCCTGTGGTCGTTGGAATACAGAACCCTACCAGCCCAAAGTTCTTGAGCAACCCGACATCATTATTCAACTAGCGCACAATAATGGGTGAAAGAGAATATTCCAGATTCTCCAATGTTTTTGTTAATTGTAAATTGTATTTTGATCAAATTCGTCTCTTGGCATTGCCCCTGCTCTAGCTGCAGGTAACAGTATTCATACTCTTAAAAGGAAAGATGGGAGCATAGTCTGGCCAGCAGATTAAACAGCGGGAGCATGCCTGTACTTAATCGACTTGGCAGTACGCTGGTGATTCTCATGGGTCGCCTGCATATTGGTTGCACTTTCGAGGTGATGGGCAAACAGGTGGAACAGACAAGGAAATACTTGGCAGGACAGGAGAAGCAAGCAACCACCCTACCCCGCACGGCATTCATTTAGCCTTACAAATGTATTCCGTCTAAACAAAGTTTAGATCCCATGTTTGTGGCCCTTGGTAGATTCTTCTTTGGCATGAAGTGTGCTAAGAAGAGGATACATATATTGTTCATAGGTTGATTTTGAGTGCTACCTAGTTGGTTCAACTTGTTAATATCACCGGAGGGTGTCCCATAGGGGACCACCCTACTGCAACAGCTTGGTTACATTGGAGAAAAAATTAAAGCAGGAAGAACTTCAAAGCTTAACGTACTTCCCGAATTCTATGATTCACCGCTTCTTGCACATGCCCTCAATACAACTTAATGACCACCATTAAATGACTGGCTGGATGTTTGATACACTGGAAGCTTTGTAGCGTACTGATTTGGTGCAAGGAGTCATTTTGCTCTTGAAATGTGGATAACTCCGTGATGGGGGGAAGAAAAGGCTACTTGTTGCTTGGTAGGCACAAAGCCGGGGAAAGGCCGAAATACTATGCCTGGGTCGTATTATTCCTTTGTGTGCACATAGAGCAGCATGTCTTTTCTATGTGCTTCTGCGCTGCTTTGATTCGCAAAACGAGATTTGGTGGAACACCACGCCCTACATTGTAGCACTACAGGCTCAGCAAGGCAACAAATTAATATTAGGCAGTACAACATCCACCGACCAACGCTAAATGGTAACGAACTGAGAAAGTGAACGGTCGAGAGCAGGACTTTGTGCTGGAGCCTTCCAATTAGGTGTTCCTAGAAATCAGATATGGCATCATGTATTCAAGCACATGCATATGGAATCATCGGATGTAGACCAATGTAAATGGGACTGCCACACGATACAAAGCAAAAATGGTCAGAAATAAAGTACACAGCAGTTCTGAATAGTTGAGTAGTACACAAATTTCGAGAAGTGCGAGGTACTTTAGGAGCAGAAGAAGCTCCATTCGAGTGATGGAGGAGCTGTCCAGCCCAGAGGCTTCATGAAAACTAAGCAGAAAAGCTTTCAAAAAGAATTTTTCCACATTTGCATAGTGTCCAATGCTCTACTATCTTCTTATTTGACGCTTGGGCCAAAATTCAGCATGGGTATCTCTTTCAATACTCGATTCTCCCACCGCATCCAGCACGTTCCCACACCCACTTGGAGATATATGTTGCACAGTGATTCCGTTGTTTCTTGACACAGGAAACACGCCATTTTCCCCTCTATATGATCTGCTTTCCCATCAATACGAGATGCGTGGTGCTTGCTGACGCAGCTAGTGCGTCCCAATCTGCGGTCTATGGCTTGGCACCAGACAAGCTCCAAGTGTCTGAGTAAAAAGCTGTGTCACTTGTTCCCCTGCTACCTGTCTGATGGAGGCCATAATCTAGCGGAAGAATGTGGGGGTTGGCTGGTCTTCTCACAGTTCCGCGGGGGAATTCTGTTTGCCCTCTACAGCCCACGAAGTGGTGCCCCCGCGTGCACATACACACCGCACAACGCAAAATCTGGAACAGCTGGTTCTCAATTACTCATGCTTGCGTTCCTTCTGCAGAGATAGCGGCACTCTCAATGTTCTTGCCAAACCCACGAGTAGCTTTCAAATGCTGCTCACCCCCCTTTCAACACAGCGTTGCGGCGAAATTCGGCACAAAATGTCTCTCTTCTCTGTCAACCAACTCATTCAGTCGTGTAACAGTAGTAGGCCGCTGCAATGTGGGGAAGAGCAGTCTGTTCAATTGGTTCCTTACTGCAAACAGCTCAGCTTTGCCAATGAATAAGCAGCAGCACTTGGCCCTGGTAGGCCCTGAACCCGGCACCACAAGGGACCGCAGGGAAGCCCTTTGTTCGTGGAGAGGTCTACAAGTACTGCTGGTAGACACCGCAGGCTATGAGGCTGAATTTGAAGATAAAAACAGTTCTACTTTGCAGCAGACCAACCAGCAGGTACTCACCAATCCACGCAGCGGCCGGCTCCCCAATGCCATTAATCCAGATATTTAGTTTCGGATTTGTTCGTATGTTAAAACATGTATCTGTATATATTGTGATATGCAGAGTTTTATGAATTACTGTGTTTGGCACGTGCCACTGCAGCGGTGTAGCCGAAGCAGTACTGACTAACCTGCTGTTGCATACTCACCTTGGCTCTCATGCAGGTGTCACAAGCGCTTGAAGACGCCGACTTAATTATGTTTTTGGTTGATGCCAAGGAAGGCGTCACACCGACAGATGAACTTTTTGCGAGGCGACTGCGGAGCCTTTTAGAGAAGCGGCAGGCAGCGGAAGCTGAAGCACCAAAGACACATAAGCATCCAGATACCACACTCAACGGTTGCAGGAGGTGGCCCCCGGAAATAATACTTGTGTTGAGCAAGGCAGAGGGAACTGGCGTGGCCGACTGCATGGCTGACGTCTATGACTTGCAGCTAGGCCACCCCGTATTAGTCTCCACCAGGACAAACCAGGTGCGCTTTCACCACAGGCATGGGTGGCAAGCAGAGCGAGACGCTCCCAACGGAATGCCATGCAACAGTTTTAGGGGGACAGCCTTGGACTGGACGCTTAAGGATGGCCTATGTGAAAACGCTGCGGCAACTTGGGGAAGAGGCTAGCTGTGGCAGGAAACCACTCTATGGTTCCATCCATATTTCCGCCTCCATAGTGCTTCTTTTTGTGTCCTCCCAAGTGCACCTTCATTTGCATGTCTGATGTACGGCTGCCTCCTTTGCATCCCGTTTATTGTGCCTCTCATGTCTCCTGTGGTGGGTATCAGGGCCTCGATGCCTTGCACGAGAGAGTACTATCAGCCATTAAAGAACAGCAAGAACGACACCGCTGCCTCTCCGCAGCTCCAGAGCAGCAGGACGGGACGGCTTTAACGGGATATGCAGCGGTGAGGCAGCGAAAGTCACCCGATATTCCACTGCAAGTGCCCCACCACAGCACAGAATCCCGTTTTGCCCTGACCTATACGTTTTAGAGTTGGGGCGTAAGATGAAGTAGTGAAAATGCTTCAGTAGGCAGTATTGCTTTGATCTAAGACTTTGCGTGCTTCTCTAACATCATACGAACGCAGCAACAGGCGCATAGATGGCCATAAACAGGAGTCGCCACATTAGTGCAGTCAAACCGGAGCCAGTGTTGCCACTTGCAGATGCTGCCCCCCCTCATATTGACTTCTTCTTCTTACCCTTGCAGAGCCCGCGGGAAGGACCTCCTGGGGGAAGTGCAGCAGCGGAGGCCTGGCTTGAGGGCTTGGCTCGACGGTACGGTCGGGGTGAACATCCAGCTCTGGCGCACAACGAAGCTCCCCAGGGGTTTCCGCATCTGCCCTGGTCACTGAAGAAGGTTACGTGCGAAACAAAAGAAAAGACGGCACAAGAGGAAACAGAAGAGGGGCTGTTTCTGGACCCAACAAAAGAGCCAGCACGCGAGGGGGTAAATTGTCCAGCCAAAGGAGAAAGACGCGCCCTTCTGCTCATCCTGCGTTGACTGGCACAGTGCCGTATTCTCTGTGCTTTATGCCACAGGAGCAAGAGATGCCGGACACGCACACTCACCAAGGCAACAGCGAGTTGTGGCCCAGTGCCGAACTTGAAGCCGAAGCGTCTGCTGGTCCTGCAGAATGCCCTGAGGCACCCCCGGAGTGCTTGGACCAAGTGGCGGAGAATTTGTTTAAAGCGGATGGAGTCAGGGATCTCAATGCGACGATCGAGGAACCAATACGACTGACATTTATTGGGCGTCCAAATGCGGGGAAATCAAGCCTTATCAATTCCATCCTGAAGGAGAACCGCCTGACGGCCAGCGCCACTCCAGGCACCACCACCGACTCTGTCTGCATCAACTTTTGTTTCAAAAAGCAGAAAATGGTGTTGACCGACACCGCCGGGGTCACTAGAGGCTGGAAGATGCGGGGGGACGATCTGCTGCAGCAGGCGTCCCTGCAAACAATGCGTAACATCCGTTCGGCTGACGTGTGTATACTGTGTCTCGACGCTTCTCGGATACAAGCGACAGGACAGATTAGCTCTCATGACTTGTCTCTAGCAAACCTGGCAACGGAGAAGGAGGGCCGTTGCATGCTGGTGTGCGTTACTAAGTGGGACTTAGTTGAGGACAACAACAAGGACTATGTGCGATCACTGATACTAGAGCGGCTGCAAACGGGACTGGGCCACCTAAAGGCCTGCCCCGTGGTGTTCACTTCTTCGAAACAATCACAAAACCTCAACTCCCTGCTCAATAAGGCACGCTCTGTGTATAAGCCTTGGTGCAGTCGTGTGCCAACAGGAGTACTCAATGAGTGGCTGCAGGATTACACTGCCCGCTGGCCGCCACCCTGGAGACTAGGGTCTCAGTGTCAAGTAAAGTACATCACACAGACACAGGCAAAGCCGCCAACATTTGTGGCTTGGTCTAATGTCTATGCGCACTTCCCGACTCACTACAAGCGACAGCTGATCAATGCAATAAGGGAGGAATTCGGGCTTAACGGCATTCCTGTACGTCTCGTGCTACGCACCACAGCAATGCCGAAACCCGGCGCAAAGCTCACCAAGGCAGAAGCTTTAAAATGGAAGAGACTGGGGCCGCATCAGGTAAGCATAATAAAATATGCAAACAGGATACTGGATCTGTGTCAGTCTATATCATCGTACAGAGGTGCAACATGGCATACGAAAGTGCGCAGAAACGCGGGAAATAGATATGTCTGTAGTGTAGAAATGCAGCGGTAACTGTCCGCGCATCGTCTCCTGCGGTCTGATTTGTTCGCAGCATCTGGCAGCGACAAAGCTTTCGCGCAAGTACTTGGTGAAGAAGTAGCAGTTATGGCCTGCGCATTGTGTAAACTTTAGAATTCAGCCCGCGTGAAGCGCTGCTTTTTAAATAGGGGTTCGGTCCGCTTAGAGGTAGTCTTCTGGGCATAAATGCCTCAATTCAACCTCTGTTCTATTCTGCAGAGAACAGGTGTCCCGTTCGCTAGGTTTTTGACTGATTTAGCGGTGGTCAGCTCGGCGCCACGATACGTTGTGACCTTGTACTTTAATACGCGCCGAAGAAAATAATCGTCCACCTAATAATCACTGGTTTTTGTGTAAAACACCCATGACCGACGGTCGGCTTACGGGTAGAACTGATCAAATCACAGTTGTGGCGAAATGCGCGCTTTTAACATCATCTAGCATCATTGGGCTTCGAGGCCCAAAAACACACATCAAGGCAGTAGTAAGGAGATGAAATCGCGCATGATACACAACAGTGGTAGTATTTTTGTATACCACTACACATGAGTGCCCCTAGAAACGTAATGAAGATTCAAGCTGCCACTATATACACGCTACATATTCAGCATAGCTGTGGGATATACAAGACCAACTACGCAGGCTTTTCCAGTCTCTGCGCGTTGGAGGCACGTACCTAAAGTAGAGCGGACATATAATAGCGTTGCTAAGATAGAAGGAAGTCACAAGGTTGGAACAATGGGTCTTCCCTCGGTTTTAGAGTCATGAACAACCTTGAATATGAAGCTTGGATAATGGCATACCCGATCTTCAGCTCTACACGTTGTTAGTTTACATTGCTGACTAAATGTGCCATTCCCATGAGATTCGTTCAACAGTCAATTGTATCTACTGCTCGCGTGTGCCATGTAAGTTGTATGGGTTAGGGAGGGGCTAAAATTAAAATGGACAACAGTCACTGAGTGAGATTAGACAAATCCAGCACCAAATGCCTAGCTAATAGCAGTCTCACTACCCACCAAAAGGGGCTGCAAAGGAGGTAATTAAAAGGATTTTGCTAAAATATCTAGAGGCTGGTAGATGAAACAGCCAATGTATATATAGACACGGCCTCTATTTGGGTAGACCCTCCCCCGCCGGAATGCCCCGAAAGAATTGACTTCTCCTGGTTACTAAGCCGGCTTGGCAGAACCCAGCATGGCTTAGCCTAGCAGATAGTGGCACATGGCAGTGATAAGTGTTTCAAACCGCAGGGCTGCAATCGGAGATCAAGCGTGCACCGGCGCAGTTGGTCTATACCTCCTCCCTAATCCATGAGTCACCGGAACAGCATCAAGTCTGCACCTGAGCCCAGATACTTAATAACTCATTGATCCCCTCCATCTCCTTCGCCTTCCCACGCAACAGCTCCCTCCTTCCTATGTGTATGTCTCGGGGTCGATGTGACTGGGTATGGGCTTGATTTCAGTCCCCAGCTCGTGCTCGATCCTGAAAGACAAGGCCACTCGGAAATCGAGAAATTTCTTAACCACGCTACAGAACAAACAGGATCTTAAAAGGCACTACACGTTTCAGATTGCAGGCATCATGACCACGGGGGTTATCCCAATTTGTATGGGACATAAACCATCTGTTTCTACTGAGCGAAGGATGTCGCATCCAATCAAATGGACAAGCGGGAGACATCACAAAAGCAACGAGTGGTTGCACCAGGTGCTACACATGCCAACTCCAAGCGACATCTGCTTCACAGGAAGAGGGCATGAATGATATTTACACTGGCACGACGATGCACATGGGTTTTAATGTAAAGACGAGCACAAGCGCCATGCTCCCCTCAAGCGGCACAAGGAACCCGCTGCAACTAAAAAAAAATTTTACATGATGATTTTTTATTACTTTGTTCACGCCAAGGCGCGCACACTAATCCAAGACGACCAAGCATATGATGCGTGTTCTTGCAACTAGCTCAGTACTCTTAGCGCGAGCAGCAGGAGCTGCCACTTCCAGTCCACAATTCTCAAATTTACGACTTCCTTTTATGTTAAGACGCGATGCACGAAACATTACGTGCGCTCACAGGAGCGAAAAAGTGACGAGAGATGCCGCCATTATGAATGCGTTTACGCACGATGAAAGGCTAACCTGTGGAGATTGAATCGGTCGTCATACGTCACGAGGTTCACCGCCAATCCCAGGTGTCCAAACCGACCAGACCTTCCTATTCTGTGCAAGTATGTTTCCGAGTTTTGAGGAAAATCAAAATTAATTACAACATTAACAGACTGAATATCAATGCCTCTGGTAAACAAGTCTGAAGACACCAGGCAGCGGCATGCGCCGTTCCTGAAATCATGAAACACTCTGTTGCGATGAGACTGTAGCATTCGTGCATGAATGTAGAAACACGTAAAACCCAATTCGGTGATCTTCTTTGCTAACAACTCAACGCGAGTCACACTGTTGCAGAAAATGATCGCCTGGTTTATCTGAAGCTGAAACGCACAGGAACAGAAGTAAAACAGAGCAAGACTACAAAAAAGAAACAGGGCGGAAGCCCACTGAAGTTCTTGCTTTGCTCTTTCCGAATCGATCTGTTGTAAACAAACTATGCCAAAATAACATAACGGCTAAACACATCCAAACACGCTAAAATAACGTTGAGTTCGCATGAAACCTAAGAGAAACAGAACGTGGAAACTCAACAATGTCATAGCAAAGGAGCCCAAAAGAATGCATTTAACACAAAAAGATGCACGCGCCAGCTGCAGGGACTTGCCTTTGCAAAAAGTGTATTCAGACAATGAACTTTCTGGCGCTCCTCCACGAAAGCGTAATACTGGGTGACACCCTTGAGGGTGAGCTCCTCCATGAGATTTATTTCATGAGCATCTGCAAGGTATTTACACTTGAAGTCCTTCACTGTCACAGGGAAGGTTGCAGAGAACATCAGAATCTGTCTCTGCATGGGAATAAACTCGATCAGTTTCTCCACAATCGGCTGAAACTCGGGGGAAAGTAGTTTGTCCGCCTCGTCCAAAACAACGATATGGCACTGCCGCAAATCCGCCACGTCCTTGTTGGCCAGATCGAGGATCCTCCCTGGAGTGCCCACCAGTACATGAACTGTGCTGTGCAAACGCATAATGTCGTCTCTCAAGCTGGTGCCACCAGTCGAAACCATGCACTGCACGTTCAAGTATTTGCCAAGTTCCTTTACCACAGCGCTCGTCTGAAGAGCAAGTTCGCGGGTGGGGACAAGGATCAACCCTGACGGAAATGCACAAATCAGTACAACGTGCTGCATTGGAACCTACACCACAAACCACGAACACCACCCTTCGCTGTAGCTACGTATTCGCCCCATGTGCACACAAATCACCGCGCTTACCCTGGATTGCTCGTTTGTTTATTTGGCATTTCTCAAGCACAGGGATTGCAAAAGCGGCAGTCTTCCCCGTTCCATTTTTAGCTCGTGCCAGAATGTTTCGGCCAGAGAGCGCCACAGGAATCGCTTCCTCCTGAATCGGCGATGGCTTTTCAAACCCCTTTTCAAATATTCCCTTCAGCAGATCGCGCTTCAGGAAATAGTCCTCAAACTCGTTGCCCTTGGTTTGAGTCACATCCTAAGACAAGCCATAAAGAAAGAACCCCCTAAGTACCACAACACTGACCAGTGGCTTCTTCTTTCGTCCTCGAACCAGGACTCACCAGAGGTCGTTTGTAGACAGCCCCTTATGCAAGATGGAATGGCCACACCACCAGGAACAGTTGTGTCGCTAAACACGTGCTGGGAATACGACTCCCTCGAGAAACACTCAGGAAACATCCAAGAGTTTCTATATCCATCAATAACTCACCGCCGTGCGGAACATGTTTTGTCGCACTGGCCTAGGGCCCCCATCTTTCTGGCCGGTGCCACCCAACGCCCCATTAGGCTGGGCTTGTGAGGGGGAAGGCCTTGCAAAAGGGGCCTGAGGCTGCATCTGCTCTGTAGTGTTGTTGATAATCTCTGGGCGACCTTTACGAAGAACAGAACACTTCTTCCATCCGGACAACAAGACTGTTGTGTGTCGCTGTCACTGCTGGGGTGTGTCTACAGGGATGCCATATAGCATCGTTCTCCAACGGCTAGGCACTACAACGGCAGTGTGCTACGCACCCTGCAAATACAAAAAAAAGGTGCAATCCTAATTCAGCCGGCGGTGCATGCGCCAATGTCCATGCAATGCCAGTGTGGCGTGCGAATGCAAGCCGTCTGTCACAGAAATCCTCGCGCGAGTCTCCGCACAAAAACACGACCCAGAGCCTAAAAGACACACATCACAAAGATTAAGCAGGTCGGCCTGATCACGGAGTCTCTCCAGACGCAACGCAGAACACCGTTCCTTCAAAATGCAGCAGCAACCCTCCCTAACGACAAATTCGATCAACCAGCTGGACAGAATGCACCCTCACAGCCGACTAGACCCCCATCGTTGGAGTCAGCTGGCCGTAGAACCTCTTTGTTAGCCTAGTGGCTGCTTTTTTTCTGGAGTCTTCCCCCCCCCCGTTGCCAAAAGCAGCCCCTCTGAGCAACCGCCGGAGGTATAGGAAAGAGGTGGGCCACCTCCTGCCCCCAGCACACCCATTCTCAGCCATTTCAATAAGTAACTAGGCAGTTCGGTTCAAATAGATGTACGTACACAGTCGCTGTGCATGCTGAGTACCCCCACGTCCAGAGCGAAGACGAGCAGTCCGTCTATTTGTGGTTGCACAACAGCCCCCGTATGGCTTGCCTAACTCAGCTGTTGGAAAAATACAATGGAGATTCGCGCGAGCTCCAGCAGCAGAGATGCAATGGGCAGTAGCTGCCACAACCTTAGGTAGCAACTATTCGTTCAGTCCGGCCCCACCCTGAATCAAGGAGGCCTCTAGCACGCTCTGATGCTGGTGTTCCGCTATAAATACAACGACTTACTTTATCACCCGATGGATTTATACTTGAATTAAAACGCAGGAATGTGCAGAGTATGCCCGGAATGGCAGCAAAGTTGCGCCAACTGTTGAGCTTTGGTTGTTGCCCTCTGGCTCGGACGGCAGCCGCGCAAGCCCTTTTCCTGGTCTCTCTCAGCATTAAATGAAGACATGGGAACAAATTTAAAAGGCGAGCTCGCTGACAATCTACACAGCCTCTTCTACTTCTTATGACTAACCGGACACCTTATCGTGCCCTGGCTGGCAGCAGCTGCAAACGGTGGCAATTTTACAGCATGAACTGGCTGAGTTGTGACCTGCTCAACTCCCATGCTTCGATGTCTTGGCTGATAATTAGTCTTCTTCATTACTGCTGTATTTCAAACCCACTGCGAACTCAATTCTTTCATATGCTTCTCTGAGCCACTCCTGTCTCGTGTTTGCGTTGAACGGGAAGCAGCAACTGGAACGTGAAGCAAGTTGACGGATTTGCTCACATGTATTTTGGGGGATCAGTTTGTAGTGCACACGTCTCAATGTACAATCTGACCACAAAGAGCCCAATGAGACTAATCTTTAAATGGCGTACCCCATCAATTTCACCTTCGTGATTCCCGCTGCCACTACCAGGAAAACCCCCTGCATTCCTACGGCGCATGTTGGCTAACAAGCTGACCAACTCGTTGTTTACTAGTGAAACACTTTACTTCTTTAGCGCTCAGTCACTTCTCCCGGTACAGAATGGGCGGCAATCATAGAAGCCTAGCGTAACGCTCCATCAAGGGGCTTCAAGCGGGGTAGGCCATAATTTAACATATACTCCACTAGGTATGTTTGGCCAAGAAGAGCTTAAGGATTGATTAACTGTTTGTCTGCTCGCACATCGCATTCTTCGCAAAGTACCGCGCATGAGCAATGGGTACGATGGGCAACTGGCTCCAAATGCTCCAAGTGCTTTGAGGCTGCAGCTGCGTGCGCCTTAGCTGTTCCTCTCCTTTCATGTCAGAAACTCTGAGGGCCACATGTGGGGAAAGGCAGGAGCTCTTTTCAGGACCACATAATGACATTTTGTTTGGTTTGTTGTACAGGGCTTGCTGTATAGACTATATCTCTGTGCCGTTTGGAGCTAGTAATGGCCCAACTTTGCCGCGACGCCAAGTTGATCGTAACCTTTGTGAGCCCTCAAGGAGAAATGAATTGCTGTCTATGTGGATGACTTCCTAGGAATCAGCCGAAATGTTGAAAAGTCCACAATACGGCATAAAGACATAATCGAGTTTGTGAATGCGAGTGTGATGGGTTGTTTTGTGCTTGCTATCATGGTGAGTGAAGCTTTCAGAAGATGCTCCAGTCGATTGAGCACATCCCCGACCTCATGCTTAAACTTTGCTCATTCCTGCAATTCCTTGGCTGAGTGTTCAAGTAAATATCTTAATACAGAGCCAGCTCTAAAGCCAGCTAGATGGGATGCATGCGCAGAACCCTCTTCTCTTACCGCGCTGCTAAGCCCCCATGAAGACCCTACCTAGCATGGTTGAGGCATTGACTCCACCTTGCTTACCATACATAATGTAACAGCTGTTCAGGATTCCAGTAGCTGGTCGTTCCTATTGATTCGTAGCACGTCGGCCTCACAAGTGTGCAGCTGTGGCCGCATGCACGCTTTCCGTTGGTTCACCCATGGCATACTCAGGATGACGCAGCTATGCACGGGTCCCACACAGAAGTCACGGACCATGAAAATAGGACCCAATTCCAATTTGAAATATCATTCAGCAGTCGTAGCCTTGCTACAGCTTGCGTTGGGCTGCAGTCAACAAGACTTGGTCTCAGGGACTGCGCTAACAACTGAACACGCAAAGCTCTCTTGTCCGGCGTCTTTTCGGACCAGAGATGCACTTCACACTCAGTAGCACGTACCACCAGTAGCCATCAGTTATAGCTGTGAGCATGTATCAACCCTAAACAGACCTGTGGTGGGTCCCCAATCGCGGTTGGATTCTCTGTGCCCCCTTTGACAGCACTGCAGCCTGCGTGGGGGGCTCGTCGTTCCCTGAGGTGCATTCTTGCCTCGCCAAGCAGCCTATTCCGATAGGTCTAGTCATGCTATTCAATCTCTTTGGCTTTTGCATGTGCTTGCAGTTTCGAAGTACACGACACAATTTCCTACAACAGAGACATGCATTCGGGGGGACTCTAAGGCTGCCTAGGAGCACGGTTTCATCTGGCTTGCTTCTCTCGTTCACCGTAGGCCGTATGCAAGGGCCAGCTTAATCAACCTCTCCTTTCTAAGGGTCTCAACTCCCACTGGCTAATGGTCTTAAACCAAATGCACGAAAGCTGCGTTCATTTGCTCCTAAAACCCGATTCTATCGCCAGTAGATTCCCCACCGGTAGGTTGACATACAGCTGAGTCGAAGCCCGTCTTTTAACCACCTGACGTGGCACTTCGGATAACCCTGACGAGTTACCAATAAAGCGACGAATTGTTTAATTTGTGGCTAAGGGGAAGCTAAGTTTCACATTTCCCGCTATACCGGTCCACTGACAGATTTCCTTGCTTCAGCTTGCTGAATGATTTCAAATCTTGCCGTTGAGCTTATCTTGGCGTAAACTGATGAGTTAGGGTATGCATGAAGGCTTGACTTGTAGTAATCCTTGCAAACAACACAACTTCATGTGCATGAATGGAGCCACCACGGGGGTTTATCTGCCTTCAGTGAACGTGCCATGAGCCTGGTTTTATTTCATCTGGCGATACTACATGGCAAGATACACCTCCAACCAAGTGATAAAATCTTCAAGTACTTGCCCATCTTTACGGCCGCCATACTTTTATGGTTGGCAGATCCTCATTGACGTATCCATAGGCGCTTCGCCAGCCAGTGAATCATGCTTTTCTTACGCTGAACTTACACAGCCTTACAAGCCGATGTCTGCCGCCCCAGCAGGCTCTGTGACACCATCAGCTTTCATCGCCTGAGAACTTTTCTCTCACACCTTTGCCACAAAATGCCAATTGTTGGATCGTCGATTTATTTTAGTCGAACCAGACACATCGTAGGGAACCTGATATCCCACTGCACCTACAGTTGGCGGGTGAACAGGAGAACAGCGCCATCAAACCGTGCGGTGCTACAAAATGTAACACTTCACTCAAGGTCCCCGTAGGAGAGACTGCACTCCGGTCTCAATGCAAACGAAAGAAAGTCTCACCATATTATCCTCAAAAGAGCTTGCACCTTTTCCCCACACGCGGCACTCCGATTTCTGACATGAAAGGAGAGGCACAGCTAGCGCTTACGTAGGTACATCCTCTATGCACTTGGGGCATTTGGGACTACTTGCCCATCACATCCATTGCATTAGCACACTTCGTAATACTGCATCGAGCTAACGAACTTTGCAACGAGATGTGAGAATGGACAAAACAAGTAGTTGATCGTTTAGGTCTTCTCGGACAAGTATACCTAGTAGAGTAGATGTTGTATAAGTGTGGCTCAGTCTGCTAGTTCCCTCGATAGAGTTTCATAGCGCTTACAGAGACGCGGACCCTAGAAATGCCTCTTCACCCATGCCGGACTCTTGAGAGATGGTGACAGGGAGAGGACGGAGTTCCTTTTCAAGGTTACTCGGTAATTTTAGCTGACGATGCGTTTCGGGTTACGGGGTCTCCCTTTGGAGGCCTTAAGACGAGAGCTAAAAGGAAGAAAGCAGGAGCTGGGAAACGACAAATGAGCTTAAAGTATTGTCATAAGATTTGAACATATGTTCAAGGTATTAAGCAGTTCCTGCACGGGATCGGGAACCCACAGTCGTTGAGGTCGAATCCCCTACTGTGTGGCACACGTCAGACCCTCGTCTGTGCCCTTGAAGACTCTGTGTGGTGCTACATGAAAACCACAGGCTTAAGCCAAGACCCGGTCTATGTTGGATGTACTTGAAGGCCTCCACAACGGAGGCTCCTCGGCGTCCGGGCCACAGGAAAATCAAAGCACTCACGCCTTCTCCCCAGAATTTTTCGATCAGAACTCGATGTAGAAAGAGGAAAACGTTAGATGGGGGGCATATTCCGCTCAAGTCTTCTATGTCGGGATTATTATGGGCACTCCCATTGTTTTCCAGTCTGCAGCTGCACCGTATAACAAATATTTCTCACATACATCATCTAGGGCTCAACCGGAAACTCTTGTGTCCGGTGCCTTGTTGATTTCTACAACTATCTTTTTCTTCGGCCTTTTGGTTGGATTATGTACCTCCCTTGTGACATATATAGTACGCTATTAATATTGAAGGCATAAAGGAGGAGGTAAGATGAGAGGCTGCTTAGGAGGAGGTACAAGGCAGAGTGGAATGTGAGCTTTGCGTAGATCAGAGGGCGCTGAGCTGCGGGTTCAGGCAGCCGCATGCCTGCAGTGCACGCTTGCTGTCACTCACCCCTCCTCTTCTTCAGGATTGTTGGTTCTTCCAGACAGAATTATACTTTGTCGGGATATCTTGTTTGTCTCATCGTTAGGCGTAAGGTAAGTGCCAGAGACGGACCCGATGGCATATTCTACGGGGCTCTGCCCGCCCCCGCCACGCCCTACAGCAATGCGATGTTCCACATTTTGTAGACCCCCCTGCGTCTTTTGGCTGCAGGCCCTGCTCGTTATTCTTCTGTTCCTATTTGCAATATTCCATGAAGGAGCTGTCATAATATAGGGGAATTAATTCTAGAATCCGCCGCTGCTACCCTACCGCGCTTCTTTCGTTTTTGCCCCTTGTTCCTCGTTTGTTGGGCTGTCAGTGTCGGTTTTCTTGTAGGAATAAGGAACTCTTGTGAAGCCTGCTACACGAAAATGAGTGATATTCAGAGGGGAACCTGCAAATGGTTTGACTCGAAGAAGGTTCGCAGCCAGTTTTTAACGCCACTCCCAAATATGCGTGCGATAAGAGATGAGCACTTTGTGGACCATTATACAGTGCAGTACCGTAGCCCACAAAACTGCAGTCTCTGGTTTTTGATAAGCAGAGTATCGTGCTCGATTGTACTTGTTATTTGTTATTCGTGTTTAGGGCTTTGGGTTCATTACGGCTGACGATGGGACGGATCTCTTCGTCCACCAGACAGAGATAAAGGCGGACGGCTTTAGAAACCTCTCCGAGGGGGAAGAGGTCGAGTTCCAAGTTCAAGCAGGAGAAGATGGGCGCAAGAAGGCCGTCCGCGTGACAGGACCTGGAGGCGCTCCCGTGAAGGTAGACGGCACACACTAGTGCCTGCATGTGCATTTTTCCTCGATTGCTGGTCTTCTCACTGTCTCTTTTTGGATATGTCTTGTATCAAAAGCAACGCCGACGTCCAGCGTTTTCCTTCTTTGACTGCCTGTATGCAGGGCGACACTAGAAGAATGTCTCCTTCTTATGGCGGTGGTGGCGGACGTGGGGGACGAGGTTATGGTGGTGGTTATGGCGGTGGCGGCTACGGAGGTGGTGGTGGCGGCTACGGTGGCGGCGGCTATGGATCCGCTGGGGGCTACAACTCCGGAGGAGGGGGAGGAAATTATGGCGGAGGCTACGGCGGCAGTGGCGGGGGTGGCCGTTCAGGTTATGACAGCGGCAGCCGAGGTGGGGGCGGCTACGGAGGCGGTGGGTATGGAGGCGGTGGCTACAATAACTACTCATAATTCAGATGTGCCAAGTTGGGCAGGAGTTCCGTGATTCCGCTTATTTCCTGAATGGTATCATTGAGGTTTTGCTTCTTATTGGTAGATTTACAACACACCAGTATCGGCAGCCGCAGTTTTGCTGGTTTGTGTTTTACTGGTTTTGCGTCTCTTTGCTACCCCGTGCACCGATGCTTCGTCTTGGAGTCTTCCTGCTTTCTGAAAGCGCTCACCTATATACTCGGGGATGTGAGCTTATGTTTGTTCTTATCACAAGCGCATCGCAAATCTGTTAACGCCACTTGAAGAGTTCTGTCAGGTGCCGGGTTATCCCATCTATTTGAATTGGAAGCGAAATGTATCATTGGACATTACGAAGGATTGACAAGAGGGATAGTTGCTAATACAGACGGACCGTCTCGCATCATAGCGGGATTGCAGTGTCGGCAATCTCATATGGGCATGTGGTGTATCTCTGCCTTGGATCACGCTGTTCATCAGCGTAAAATATCGAGCAGCAGCTTTTTTTCGTCGTCCCAATGTTCCCTTGATCCATATAGCATATCATAGTATATATATTCGATTATGCGAAGCTCGGTGGTGCCCGCCGAGGAAATCTGTCTAGGGAACACCTAACCCGCGCCGACAGTTGAGATTGCGTTGTAGTTATTACTGTGCTTGCTGATTCCGGACATCTAGGGTGTGCGGATGCTTCGCTTTCAAGACTGATGGGCAGCGACAGAGTTGTGTGCTAGCTCATTTGGGGATTTACAGACGACTGTTGGCCGTGAATTAACCCATTCCGATGCCGGGTGTAGGTGTAGTTGCTGCGCTCGCAGTAGTAGTCTAGTTCGCCTAATGGGCAGCGCGGCGGTATATGTAGGGGGGCGCACGTTACTTCTACCGGCGCTAGAGTTCGGTCGAGCCGCCATGGGCTGACACTTCTTGAATAGTGTCCTACGCCCAAGTTAATAGGTGCAGTACGGTTTATCTCTGAGAAGAGGCGTACCATTATAATGGATTGCAAGTGCTGGTCCGTAGCCGCCTCCTTCAGTGCTCGTAGTTTATTTATGTGGCTAGCTGTTGCGGCTGCACGGGATGCCGTAAGGTCGGGAGTCTTCGGGGGGGCTTGCGGCGCGCCGGCGTTCGACGTGGTGCTGCCTTTTGATTGCAAGTAGACAGTGCCGTTCGCGTCCACAACCTGTCCATGATACTTAGTTTCTGCAGGCCCGATAGGCCCTTGTGCATCTGGGTTCAGCGCCTTAAGAACTGGCTGGAGTTTCGGGAGCGTAGCGAATGCCGAAATAGGGAAAAATGCCTGCAAATCATTGATGTGGGCCCTTTATACTCAAACTTGGGGACTTTGTTCTCAATAGGGCATACTCTGCACCGTCCCTCGAAAGCTCGTTTTATATCCGCGTCGAAGCTCCGGAAATCGACACGCGTTTGGCACGGGCCGGTATACGTCGACGGCGCAGTGCATATTCCTGTTTCCTGGGACTCAAGATGCCAAAGAGAGGGACATGCAGCCTCATAATTTCGCTCGGTGATGTCTTTCATTGGCCAAGTTGCTGAACACTTCATCATCTATTGTAAAGCCAATACCGCATGGGCATCATGAGATACAGACATCAAAGTATCACAGGGCCAGGTTGTAATAACCACTCACAAATTCGTATTTCTCTTCATTGGTGAACATGGAAAAGTTATGCACTTTTGAGCAGTGTCCAAAATATTCATCCGGCGCGTGGCATTCTACATTCTGCGCGGAGATAACAAGTATTGTATATACATGTATATATATATATATTCATAGGTCGTATTCTACTGCAAAAGAGGATTGCATCACCTGATTAGGAGAAGTTACAAGAGTCCACCCCAAAGGACAAGGTTCGTTGAAAGCATAATGGGATACAAAGTTAACTGGCCATTCCAGTTCACATGCGGCGGCAAGCCGAGCCTTTTCTGCATTTGACGCTTCGCCTGATATCATGTTTCCACATTTACAAATGTCCTCATTTGTTTGTTCCTCCCATCAACTATCCGAAGCTGAGGGACCTTACCAATGCGCAGAATTGCATCGCAGGGTCCAGAATAAGTCGGCGGGGCTTCACATGCTTTTCCGTCAACTGCAATACCGGTGCATGTTAGCTTTTCATGAACACTGGAGCAAGAAAGTTTCAGTTCGTTACCGCTTAATGTCCACATTAGGGGGCATGCACTGGTCAGAAAGTCGGCGTCATACCCTTTACATGGCCACCTCACATTGCACTCCTTTCCACATTAAGGAATGACCAAGTATAGCTTTTAGTGAGAGCAATCCATCGACACACCTTAGCCCTACAATCAATTGTGAAGAAAGAATGATGCTTCACATAATGAGGAAGATAATTTAAGTGTACACTAACCAACGAGCCTTGGATGCTTCATCAAAGTCGTAAAACCGTTTCTGAAGAACACAACTGAAAGCGTGCATCATATTCTCATCATATCAGCAGTTACGAGCCATAAAAACGGAAGCTGGACGTACTTTCCGCGGTAGGTAGAAGGCGCCTTGCATAGGCCTTTATCATTGGACCAGTTGTCAGGACAAGGCATACTTATACCAGCCATAAATTTTCAATTATAAAGGTTCTAAACAGTACTCTGAGCGGAAGACAAGCTATATTACCTGTAATCCTCGTCGCACGAAGTGCGGCATGGCCCTATTGCACCCGATCAATACCATCTCCACGTAAGTTGGCATACAAGCTCTTGCACGGAACTCACAGGAAACGTCACAGCGCCGAGCAAAGCTCTCCTTTGACAGGGGTGTGGCATCTGGGATCATTCTGCTGCATCGCAACAAGACTGTGGTGCAGTTCGCATTCACGTACCGGAGAAATCAGCTGTCCGCTCACAGTTTCCTGATTATAGCTATGGAAGAGAGTGAAATGGCCACGCTCAAAAAACCAACCACACCCTTGTATTCACGTGGAGCCTGCATGAACAGATTTCAGTCATCCCATGCAAAATGGCATATGACCATCGAACTTGCCCTACAAGTCTTCCCGTCTCCGAGTTCATGCCATCCAGCAGGACCTATTACAAAAGAAAAGGTTGTAGTCAATAAACATGCTTGCGCAAGAGTACCTGCCGATGACCAAAGTCTTACACATTCGAGAGTAATTGCGTGAAGGGCATCGATCAGCATCAGGGTTTTCAAGCTGTTCGTTGCGTGAAGCAGCATCGACTTCAGCAGCAACTCTGTGCCACACAACTGTAACAAAAAGAAGTGAGATAAAGCGTTTGACTATTATTCGAAAGATATCATGAAGCGTGGTTCAAACAACCGACACACATGACGGTGAGAGATTGTGCAATACGCTCATCACGGCGACGGCAAGCTCGTCCGAGAAATTTGACAGATTTCTTGGATCTTGTGCATCTTCCAGAAGCTTATTAAATGAGTCAAGGATGTTGTTTCCACTTTCCTCTCCCGGTATACTTTCAAGAGGAAACTCAGGCACCCCCAGTCGGCTGCCTGAGAGGGCCAACGGGTGCACCAGGCACAGCCAATAGAGAAACACGAAAAATCGCATGCGTTGTTGCATTGTTTAACGATAAATTTGCGAAATACAGGGGAAAGCTATGTACCGGTAGACACACTCCACAATAAGTGACCAAAGGGCGAGCTTTGCTTAGGCGCAGGCGTACATACATTTCAGTGGTTCAGAACTTTCATTTTTCAAAGGCTTGTGGTGGAAATCACCACAAGCATCTAAATATATATAGTATCTTTATTGCATGTACAATTTTACCTATTCTCCTACGGCTCTTACAGTATGCCACTCACTAATGTGGTCCCGGCATACAGTGTACTGTGCGTGTTTTCAGCACAAAAACCACTTTAATTTCATCAGACATCTGAGTGAGGCCCTCATTCAAATGGACAAGTCTCCTAATATTTAGGCAGGCTTTTTGAGAGGACGAAGCAGCTGGGGCTCGCTGAATCGTGGCCGCATGCAAAATGTATCACATTTACAGGAGCTGAGTACAGCAGATCTAATATCATGAATCCTTATACAAGCATGGCTAATACATCTCTATTCCTTTGATTTTTTGTTGGGAGCTATTGTTTCGGTTGCGCAATGCTGTGTGCGTCATTATGCTGTGCTCCGCGGGCCCCTCTTTTCTGTAAGTATCCTCTTTATAGGAAACGGAGAGAACTTGCAAAGTAAAAGTTACTGAAAGGTTGTGAAGAAGTCGAAGGGCTTTCTTGAGATGCACGTGGTATAATGCTGATGAAGAGGAGGGTTGTCTCTGCAATGGAAGATGGCCGCAATTCGTAATGTTGATATTAGGGTCCCCCGCGCAACAGCCACGTCACCAGCATTGCAGCGCCTCAACTCTGTCGTTCCCCGTTCGGCATCCGCGCTGGCTTTGTCTCTTCTTCGATGGCGTAGCAGTGCCCCTTCTCTAAGACGCCTGGCCCCTAGAGGGTCGGGCAGCTGCTGCGGCGGCAGCCAGGGAATACGGGCTGGTTATGCGTGCTTGACTTTCAATTCTTTGAATTGCGTGCCTCGAAACCGAGCTCTCTCCTCTTCAACCAGGGACTCGGAGAGGCTGCCAGCAAGTGCGAGTGAGCAGAGGGGGAAGCAGACAGAGGAAACGTCGCAACGGAGCGATCATATGGGTAAGCCCCCTTCGGAAGGATGGCACGAAACATACATAGACAGAGAAGGCGTATTCTAAACAAATAGGAGGTGACTACTGATAAGTCTTCACTGACTGGGTAGCCGCTGTATTCGCCCTGTAACAGGGAGGGTGCATGCCGAAATCAGGCATCATCAGCGAACGTGATACCCCTACACCACCAGCCCCTCATCCGGTCTCGTAGAGGATAGCTTTGATTTATATGAGTGCTCGTGTGCCAGAGGCACTGTGTGCATTTTTCCAAGTGCAACATGTACTCAATATGCCTATGCGCATTGCTGCAAATGGTTACTAAAGTGTGTGTGGCTGTTGTAGTTCCACTGCACAGCAAGAGTGCTCAAAAGTCCAGGAGTGATCTTTGTAACCTCCATTTCAGAGAGTCATGCATAACACCGCTTTTTCCGTTCTCGGTGTGCAGGATGCGAAGATAGCGTGAAGGATCCAGCACAAAATTCGCTGGTCTCCCGTTTGCTGCGGCGATACGGAATGCTGCGCCCGGAGGATCGCCGGCTACTTCTTCAAGCACACAGAATATCTGTCCAAAGTCAGGTGAGGCAAACAAGGCCACGATGGATCGTGTAAAGTGTACAGAAGCCTGGGAAGAGTCTTGAGGTCTGTGCTTCTCCCACACGCAACTTTTCCCGACAAAATAAAGGGCCTATCGGGAATGGTTTTATGCACCAGTACCTTGCGAGGGGGCACCTACATGCAGAAAACGAGTCACTAGAAGTTGTGTAGAACTTACGGCTCGAGAGACTGCGAAGGAGGGCAGAAGGAAGGGGGGGGGAGATCTGCTGGGTTGAGTGCACGCGGATTTCAACTTGCTATTTTCTGTCTACTCTTGGCACTCTGTTCTGGTTAAGGGCACTCCCATCATTTGTGAATCGCCTTATTATATACACACAAGATGACACATTACTCGAGCTCAGGAAGCGTAGTGCTGTATTTAGTATTTTGTAAACCTGAAACCTGGGGGACCCTTGCGTTCCGTACGCAGTTGTGTCTTCGCTTCTCTCTCAGGGATTAGAGTGGCACAGCTTCCGCGCTAAAGGGATGGACGACCACTTGCAATCGTGGGAAAGCGAAAAAAGGGAAAGAAAAGAAAAGCTGGAGAGGTCTTTGAGACTTCGTGAGATATACAAACCTGCTCACCTCAGACGCCGCAAGCAGAAAGTTAAGAGAGTCCAGCAAGCCGAGGAGCAGGCCCCTCCCGTAGTGTAAGTATATAAGACTTTTAGCTTGTGTGTTTTGGCTGTTTAAGGCGTGAGGGGACAGAGTTTCGTATACGAGCACACAAGCAGGGTAGCTAGCAGGCGGAGCCGGCTGTGACATGATGGTATGAATATCTCGGTGTGTTTGCGAAGGGCGGCTAATTTTACTGAAGAGGCACAGACTCTAAGTTTGATTGAAGATATCCACAAGGCGGAGGTGTATCAGGAGATATGCGCCAAGTTACAAGCGCACTGGGAAGTTCGAGTGCGCAACTTCGCAAGGGGGGCAGTCTCCTTTTCGTCATCTCTCGCCACTTCAAAAATAGCAAGGATGTTCTGCACACCCGAAGGACTCGCGCTTTTAAGCCCAACGCGTCTCTCGCCCACCCAATAAAAATGAGGATCCGTCAGCCTATGCACACAATACTTAGTTGTGCTGCTGTTTACCTCCTCCCTGTTGCAGGATTTTCTGAGTGACCGCTTCGTTGATATTATGAAGCAAGCAATTCGCCTGGACCTCATGGACCAGAGGCAAGGAAACGCGGCATTTCCTCTTTGTCATCCTGCTTGCTTGCCTGCCTCCTTCCTTTTCCCTGTGTAATGAATGGTCTTTTGCAATAGTGGTGCTCCCCTGCACCTTTAGCGGCTTACGACCTCCTGGGAGATCGGTTGATGGGAGAAGCCAGATGTGTGTGTTACTCTGTCCGTACTTGTCGACAAGGGGCTGTATTTGAGTGTGCATCTGCCTACATGGGGATTGATCATGAAGGTTTTGGAGTCAATGATTGGCCGTTGTCATTGTCTCTGTCCTTCTCTCTGCAGTCGTCCGACCTTAGTGAATGAATTTACGGACTTTGAAAATCCCTATATGTTGAAGAGACAAGCACTCAAGCGTTTACTGGAGGAGAGAGGCACGCGGAATGCTGTAGATGAATCAGTGGTAAGGGGTCATGTGTTGTGATCTGCTTGTCTCGGCCAGTATCTGTTTGACGCTGCTCTCTCCTTGTGTTCCTAACTCTCTCGTTTTCGCTTCATCCGTGCTGACTGTCGGGTCTGCGGTTTTCTGAATGTTTTGAGTAGCAAGTAATTTTGTGCCAAGAGCTGGCGAAGTATAGCGTCCTTATTGTCGTATTCTGTCGAGTTTTTTCTTCAGATTGATACGTTTCTAGACAGACGGCCTGACCTTGTAAAGTTGAGGCTTTCCGTGAGTGCCACCAGTTTTGCAATTGTTCCCCGATTCCCAGCTCTTCAAGCGTGCCCACGGGTGTTTCTCTTTTTTCATGTTCGTATAAGGATTCAAGTCCTGAACTAACCGAATTGGCGTTGCGTGGGGCCTAAAACTCACGCTCAATGTGAATTGTCGAAATTCGAGATTTTTTGCTGAGCGTGTAGGAGTCAGCGTTGGGGGGTCTAGGGTTGCTAAACCTTTCGTGTGTGCAGGCGGATCTTCCTCCTGAGGTGGTTGAGCCGCTGGCGGCTTTCCATGGCCTAAGGAGCTTCAGTTTCGACAAGAGAAACAGACTCAAACAAAAAGTTGATGCTCTTTTTAAGGCTGTGGGATCTGCGCACAAGGGTACGTGCATCATTTTCTCATGGGATTTGAGGAAACTCGTGTTAAGATGGTCTTCACTAACAACCCAGATATAAGGTTCGCGGTATCTGGAATGACATTTTGACCAGTAAAATTGTACCAAGGAATGAATACAACTGCACATTAAGTCTTTCTGTCGTGATTTGCTCTTTCCCCTTTTTGTGGCTTTGCAATGGTTCACACTTCGCGAAACACGCCATTCCTGTTTATTTTCCCAGGTTTAGATTCCCTTCTAGGAGATTTAGAGGAAAACCAGCGCTCAGACCAGTAAGACGCATGTGTTCATGGGCAACGATAAGGCAATGAGGGGGCTCTACACGGCATCTTGTCTTCTGCCCTCTCTATCGTTTGCTTAGCGTGCACGATTTCCTTTCTTCGTTGCGCTTAGTTAAAATTTGGAATTTTCGTCCACGGTACTCATGAGTCAAGAGCAAGTCGATGAATGTGTTGGATGCCGCTCCTGGTTCGCAAGCTTGCATGTGTCTTTCTTTGCCATTTGTTTGTTCGTTTGATTTTCAACCTGAGTTCCTCCCGTTGCTTCATCAGTGGTCCGCTGCTTCTTGCCCATGCGTTGTTTCCTGCCTTGATTCTTGCGCTCGCTTCGGATGGCTTCTGTCCATGATGTCTTGTATCGTGATTTTCGAGAGTCCTTCCTGTTGTGTGCGTCCCTGCGTATGACTCTTCTTCTTTCTCCGAAGGCGCTCTGATGCCACATTTGGCGAGTCATGTGCTTTGTTTGAGATTCTTTTTGTGTCTCCTCAGAATTAGCAAAGCGCATCCGTTTAGGAATCATTTTGGTTTCGCGTCCTCTGTCCCTTCCGGGACCGTAGGGTCTGTTACAATGGGAAGGGAGGACAGCGGTGTTGACCTGGAATTAAAAACAATCAGGTAAGACAAGAAGATCAATCTCTTTTCTCTCGGCTTGCCATTTAGGAATAAGAATGTTTGAGTCTTTGTTATAAAGGTTTGGAAGGGAGAGGGGTGGCAGAGGTTCAGCGGAATTGTTGTTTTCAGAAAGAAATACGCAGAGGAGAAATCGATTTTAAAAGGAAAAACGGCAGCTTGTTTTGCCTTTCGAACAGACTTTCCTTCCTCTATCTTTGATCGTTCATCCACTCATCCTATTCCTGTCCTTATTTGTTATGCATCTGGTGTGTTTCTTTGCCTTCTCTCTACGTTTCCTGGTTTCATAGCCTTGCTTGCGGCAAGAGCTTCGATTACTTTCTGCTGCCTATGTAATTCTTCAGGTATCCGACTTTGCAGCGTGTAGCACACAGTCTACCAAAAGACCCAAAGTGTCAGTCCACCCATTCCTCCCTTGCCTTTATTTCGCGCACGTGTATTTGTATGTCATTTTAGCACTGCATTCTATCGATGTACTATAGTCGTCTCAACGCTGATGCTTACAAATATCCACCCTTTACTCTTTGTTTTGAGTAAATCCATAAAGATTCTCAGGAATGCAGCTTAGACTTGGATCTGTCCAAGATCACTCACTTCCTTCGTTCGCATTTCCTTTATTTGTATGTTTTTATTCTCTCAGACAGGGAGATAGTGGCACATGCAATTCGCGTCTTGGAGCGTTCGAAGGGTTGGGATTTCAAGGACAAATTAAAAGTGTGTGAATAGAGCGGCATCCTATTGCAACAATTTTATCAAACCATCAATCAAGGAGACAATTTTTAGTCGTCGAGCCGAGTTTACTTCCGCTCCAAAATCCATTGAATTGAAATGCACAATTATATGCTTTCTCGCAGGCAATCAGCACTCTCATTGAGGTGTACAACTACCTGCCCCCCAGCGCCACCTATGAACGGATGCTAGACAAAGCTTTCCCTGTTTTCAGGTTGGTCAGCGAGATTGAAATAACTAGCAGCCTTTCAGTTAAACTCGAAAGGTGGTGCGGTGGCTGCGATGTGTGCTGCGCATTGGTGACGGGGTGTGATTTGCTTTCCATTTTTCACCTTGTCGAATTAGCATTTAGTAAATGCAATTTTGGAGTTTGTGCCTGCGCAGAACACCGGGAATGACGCGACAGACAAAGTCCAGAAATTCTGTTTTTTGCAGAGGGCTGAAATATATTAGATCCCTCACGACACAAAAGCCTTTATCGATGCGCTTGGCCAAGAAGAAATAGCGAGGGCTTCAGACATCTTGCTCAGCTTAAGAGTCTTTAACCTACAGGAGGCTGCATCTTTACCCTCTCTACTTGCGAAAAAAATTTATTACATGAGGACAGGGCACTGAAGGGCGGAGCATTATGCCACCCACCTCCACCCACTCAATGTGGGGGTCATATGACCTGCATTCAGTAGCTTGGCATTACCATTATACTTGTACTTTCTTCCCCCTAAGCTCGGCTTACCCTGAGGTTCCATCTTTTGCATCAAATTCATTGGCATCCTGCTGAAAGCGCGTGCAAGCGCTGATGCCCAGCGGTGCAGACACGTATTGGCTCCAGGGCCCTGATGCTTAGGTTAGAGTACTAGACTTTACGATAGGAGCTTAAAATTATGGGCTAGAACCAGTGTGACGAGCGTACTGCATCACCTGGATAGGGTGACTTGTCGGAACAGGCCGCTATAGCATTGGGAAGAAGGTGCATTTAGAAGTCCTTGAGATGCAGTCGGCTAAGGGACCGCCCTTATCGCAACAGCTGCAGCAGTGTAAGAGCTGTGCATCCCGGATCGGTACGTTTACTACTCGAAATTTCCAACAATAGTACAAGCAAGCTTACTTGAGTGGAGATAGAATGCTCTCCAGCAGTATAGACTGCGCATTTGGGGTCAGCGGGGTTCTGCTGCTTCCCTAAATAGACATCTGCCGTAGATGTGAGAATGGACGACACAAAGTGTTCCTTTCAGAAAATGTTCGCTTTGTGCTTTGCGATGTATATATTTAAGGCATAGATATTCCTGTTACGACTTGACCAGCCTTAGCAGGTATACGTAAGCTAAGGGTTCTGTTGTACTTGTAGAACACATGAGTGGGCTGCTGCTGAAACGAGCAAACTGGACATCTAGACATGAGAGGAACGAATGCAAGTACCGGACTAGGGATTGCTCCAAAACCATGATGATATCGCATTCTGAATCCTCACAGAGCCGGCTGGGGTTCATGGGGGCATATTGTTAGCTTGTGTTTGTGAATATAGGAAAAGGGGCAACTGTGGCTTCTCCAATCTCTATCACTATACGGCTCCATTCGCGGTCTTGGGTAGAGGCCACCTAACTCCAGACCAAATGCAAACTTGAGAGAAAGTTGCCAAGCACTCCTGGTCTATACGAATAGTTCCATATGGCATTTGGCGTAAACGCACGCAGCACTGTACCTTGTTTCGAGCTAGCAATACTTTAAAATACATGAAATATGCGAGCAGATAGACCGAGTAGTCAAATCCTTTGTAAATTCCAGCTGAATTCAACCTAATTAAAACTGTTTGGTGTCTTTTTAGGCCGCTACAGCCACAGCATCCGCAAGGCGCTGCGGGAGCACAGGCTTAGCTAAACAAACGTGCATCCCCCCAATTTTTATTGCTAAGGCAAACATTTAACTTGGATAAAAATGGTTGCTTCTTTATGAGGCATTTATTTAGATCTGTGCAGCAGGCTACATATGTTCGCCGTGATGACTTGGTATTTGTGTACGGCTGAATGGCCAAACGCAGGAGCTGCTCTTCCCGGGTGTCTATTGCTCCACTAGAGCCCAAGAGCTGCTTCGCAGTCAAATAAATACCACTGTGGAGTGTTAGAAATGGCCAATGGATGGGGTGAAGATGCCAAGAGACTTCTGTGGGGCCGCGCGCCAGACCGCGGCCACCAGTAGGCAGCAACAATTGAAGTGTAAATTAAGACAAGAAAAACCTCTAGCACATAAACCTTTCCAAAAAGACCTAGAAATGATGTGAATATTATTTTCTTTGCAGTTTCGACAAAGTAGTGTCTTTTTGGGACTATAGGGTCCATGGAAACACCGCATCGGCGCTCCAGTACGATCGCGTAACAGAAGTGTGTCGTTTGTTTCCCCAGACATTCTAATTTTTGCGATTGATGTGAGCTAATTATCTTTGCAGCCTGAAAAACACACAAATTGGTGTTTTAGGCAGTTGTTCATGGAAGCTTCCGGTCCAGTGTCCGGCAGTTGCCACAGAGGAGCCACAGCAGCAGAATCCGCTTCCTTCTAGGACAGGATCTTCTTAGTTGCGCAAGCGCATTGCAATCTGGAGGTTACCCAAAGGAGAAGTGTATCTTACTGGTCTTCAACTGATGCCACATATCACGGCAGCAGCAGCGAAGGATGGTCTTCCAGCCCGCGCTCTTGCCTCCCTACTAACAACACCTCGTGTCGAAATCTGGTAATCTTAGGAATTGTACGTTGCACGGAATCTAGGCGCATGCTGTTTCCGGCGGATCTGCCTCAGCTTGTATGCGCCTTCGGCACAGACCTCTTGTCTGAAACCTCGGATTTTTGTGACGTTTGGGTGGCTGAGACTGTTGTCGTTACTGCTGCACGCAGCAGCGGCATCTCTGTCTCTCTGCAACCAGCACATCAGAGTCCCCCCTTCGTCATTTGCACATTGTTTTGGCTTACAGCTGCATTGGGCAGCTTCACTAAACGGGGTTTCCGTCGGTAGGGAGGAGCCTGAAGGAGAGGGAGTGACCCTCTGCATGTTTCTGCGTTGCACTGACAACACTCTACAGAAGGTTCATTTCGGACCAGCCTTGGATATCTATGGGGACCTGCGCCACACGATCGTACACAGCGCGTTCCCCCGTCTCGGCTCTACCCACTAGTGCGTCCTCAGCCCCCTGCTTCTATCGCCTTTCCAAGCGCCTTCCTCTGCCTTCTCATGGGTGAACCATGTGTTCCTGCACTTTGGGCTGCACAGGTAGATGTAAATGTACTTCCGCTTTACGTTGGTGCGTCTGTGCGTAAGTGGGGGGGTTTTCTTTCGGTTGCCGCCACCATCGCTGTTCCCTCTTGCGGTGTATGGGCAGACACCCCAGCAGCGGCCTTCGCGGAGCAGGCAGATTGCAACAGAGTTTCTTGCAGCCGGAGTCGTGAGTCCTCCTCTCCCCCCTCTGCAGTAGATGCATCATGCGCGCCCTGTAAGGAGGAGTTAATCTTGAGGGATACGCTGGTTCTGAAAGCCTTGCAGAAACAGAGGCCGTGCGTCCTCTCTGGATTCCCCCTTAAATTGCTGGGTGCTCCCACACCAACAGTTCCACACTCACACCCCTACCTCGCGCAAGCTATCCCCGCGGCTCTGCCAGGCCCCTTCGCACGACTCAGCGCTCCTATCCACACAAATTCAAGTCCGTCCACCCTTCGGAATCTCAACCCCCAAGGCTTGGAAGCCTTCCACACGCTTCAACTCGTCTCGACTCCGGCAAGGCCTTCTGCAACAGGCTCCCCAAGCGCATGCACGTACGCGCCCTCGCCAGCCAGCGCAAGGGCTTGCCCCCTCCCCTATACAAGGGGCCCCTGCTCCTGCAGTTCCTGCGCATCTGCCGCTTCTTCCCCACAGAGCGATGAACACACGCTGCACAAGCATCACAACCCCGACACCGAGGATGGCGGAGAGAACGCTATTGGGGCGGCTCGACTGCAGACGCTGAGCCTCTCGAGAGCTGCCTTACCACGCATTCCCACAAAAGCCGGAAACATTCCGGGGAGCAGCAGCATAAGAAACCCCTTCCCCTCCTGGATGCCCGTTGAAGAAGAAACGCCGCGCGTTTGCATCTCAAGTGCATCCGGAGATATTTCGCAAGAACACTTTGGGGTGAGCCTCTTCGTGCAAGCTTGGAGGGGCAACACAGCAGGCAGTCGTTACGTGCCTTCAGAAAGGGCAGACGCTACAAATCGCAAGCGCAGAAGGCGCTATTGCGACTTCGGTGCACCCGCTGCCGTTAAGGCGGGGGGCAGTAGCAGGAAGAAAGCCAGTAGATGACGTCCTGGAGACGGTGTTCAAGACTGGTGTTGCCGCCGCACTGCGAACCCCTTGTAGGGGTCAAACACTGCCTGCGCTATATTCATCTTCACGACGTTGAGCTTGTGGTATGTCTCGGCTTTGAACTGGTGCAGGAGAAGGCCGTGCGGGTCCTAGGATGCGACTCGCTGCTAACGCTGGAGTCGCTTGGCGTTAGCGTGGTTTGCAGAAAGGGCTTCAAGCAGAACTCTCCAAACAACGATGCCTTCTTTGTTTCCCAGTGAGCGGACAATCATGTTTCAGGTGTATGTACGTACACCTGAAACATGGTCTGGTCGACACAGAGGCTGACCTTGTATCCGCGGGAACGCCCCTTTAGGGACACCTGTTTGCTGCTGTTCATGAAAAAAAGGCCCTGCATTTAGGGATCCGTTTGAGATTCATTGCTCCTTTGCTTCCCCCTTCCTCCGCGCACGCGCGGCAACCACGCAAGCTGCCGCTGTGCCTGCCTGGCTGCTCCATGTGCATCCGTGTCAGCGCTCGGGGTTGCACTGTCTGCTGCATTATTGCTGGTCACGGCCAATACGCCTTTGACGTGTGCAACATTGTGCAACAAGACATGATGCGCCTAACTGCACACAATCGGGCGCTGAGTGTACACCCCAAGAGGGTCCTGCGGAAAGCGTTTCTCACAGTAAGCGGCGAGACTTCGTGTTGCCTATCTTGCGTTACATCGATAAGCGCCACTTTCGATACGTAGACGTTGCAGAAGGAGGCCGGAGATAGGAGATCAGGAGGGGGAGCTGACTGCGCTCTTGCTGCGACGACCCTCTGTGTTTCGCCAGGCACACAGCGAACTGGCAAGGACGTGCAAAGCCCGCAGGATTGACAGCGAACTCAGTGGAGCCACTGTCACTGTGGCAGTCTACCTGAGGAAGCAGCAGCGGCTGGTGGTAGCCCACGTCGGAAACAGCCGTGCGGTGCTGTGCAAAAACGCCAGACAAGGTGTTTGTCACGATATTCTGGGGGGATTCTTGACGGCACTGACGAGTCCTCTTTAAAGCCTGCTCCTCCCCACTCCCCAGCTTGGCCCCCTACCCCCACCAAACCTTCCCTCTTGCTTTTCCCGCCTCCTAATCCTTAAACTATAGTGGCCGTCCGCCTTGTAGCATACCTAAGTCAGCGAAAGAAAAGACGCAAAAAGCAGCGCCACGGGGTGCAGCATCTCTGTTGTCGCCTCTTTGTTTCCATACATTTTGTTGCTGAGTTGCTCTTGGCTTGCAACAGGTCACGGACTGCGAGCCGTGGAGCTGACAGCAGATCATCTCCCAACAAACAAAGGCGAAAGACGCCGCATCACCAGAGCAGGTATCTTGTTGCAGCGAAAACGTACAGCCATCTGCAGGAGCAGCGGAAGCAGCTCGAACACGGTGTCGCTTCCATTCATAGAGCAAAACGCATGCACATGTTTGCCGTGCCTCAACGCTGCCCTCCGCATATCAGCGGCATCAAATCGGCTGCAGAACGGCCCATTCGGCTTAACTAAGCTTTACCAATACTTTAGACTCGCCGTATCTCAGCTGGGCTCGGTTGTGATGCAACATGCAGAAATACAAATGTTTATGTCATGTTTGCACTGCGCAGCGCTACCACTCCCCTAAAACCTTCTTCGCTCTTTTCTCTTTCTCTTTCTGTTTTTTCCTTTTTTTCTCTCTGTCTTTCTCTCGCTCGCTTTGCATGGGCTGTTCCTCACGAAATACATATGCCTGGGCATACGAAGGAATGTATGTATATATGAGTATATGTAGATGCTTTTTATGCATGCAAACGTTTTTCTAGGGCGCAGGTCGCTGCTTAGTCGGTTTTCCACGGTTTGCATGGGGTCATAGGCCGATAGTTGTTTCTTTTTCTTTCCGGCCTGTGGTGTGATCCTGCAGGTGGGGAGGTGAGGCTGCCTGATGGCGATGGTGTACACCGTGTGTTTTTTACGAATATGAATGTGCCGGGGTTGGGCATTGCCAGGGCTATAGGAGATACTCTGGCGTGTGGCGTTGGCGTTACGGCTGTTCCTGATGTCAAGGGTGAGAGGCTGTTACGGAGAGAGCAGAGCGAGCAGGCGGTCCCTCTTGGAAGCCTGGACCGTACAAACTGAATTGAGCTTACTGGGGGGATAATGGAATGGGAGGGTGGGGGGAGGAGAAGGGTGGCTGACGACTCGGCAAGCCACAAGCGCAACGAAACACGCTTCCTGCCTCTCCGCAGTTCGTTGCACTCCTGCCAAGCGAGCTGTGTGCAGCAAGCAAGCGTGCTCGTTCTCTGACATGCGTGTAGCTTGCGAATGCCTTAAGGCATGAAAGCTGCCCTATGCGTGGGCCGTGGTCGTTGTAGTGTGCTAGCATTGAGGGAAGCGTGAACTATTTGAGAGCAAGCACACAACCGTATGCACTGTGATGGCCGCAGCACATGGGGGAAATTTTGTGCCTGCCGCTAAGGGCCCCTAAGCAGCGCTTCCTCCGTGGTGTACCTTGCTTCTGTGTATTTTTCCAGAGTTTCGGATCAATCCTAAGCGGGATGCTTTCCTCCTGGTGTGCTCCGACGGAGTGTGGGATGTGATGTCTTCCCAGGAAGCTGTGGACGCAGTGGCGTCCGCAGAAGCGGTGAGTGGGAGGGGAGGGGTGACGGCTGGATGCTGCATGCCCGTGTTCGTGGGCTGAGCTTTTTTTTTGAGTGGAGTGAGGTGAACGGTTTGCTTTCATAGCCGGGGAGTGGAGTGCAGCGCAGACAGGGGTAGAGGTAGGGAAAACGCGCGGCAGGGGGGCTGTTCGTACACTTGGAGTGTGCAGCTCGGCCTTCTGCCGTTGCTGCACGGTTTGCACTGGAGGACACGTTGACGAGCAGCGCAGTAGAAACGTGGGCCCTAAGTCTGTTCTGCGTTATCAACATGCGGCATGCATGCCTTTTTCGATGAAAGCTTCCCCACGCCGGGAGTCTGGAGTTTGTGTACGCCTTCGGCTCTTGCCGGTCGTCGTTGCACGCCGTGTTTGTTGCACACCGAATTCTCTGTGTGTTGCATTTATTGGCGCGCATTTCGCCTTCACGAATGTGCAGTGTGGAGGACTGCTGTGTCGCATTGCGCAGTGGCAGTCCGCCCCAGAGGCGGTGGCCTGCGAGTCTTGGAGGCGCTGGATCGACCGCGAGCTGATTTTTGCAGACGATATAACGGCGCTGTGTCTGCGCTTCTCCAGAGGCGTGCAGACCTAGTGATTCACTGCCCCCAGGGAGTCTTTGAAGTAGAGAACAATTTTAGCGTAATGCAGTTAAAGCCGGCAAATATGTGTGTGGCCCTCCATAGAGAAGACAGGTTTTTTCTCCGGCTCTAAGCTGCATTTCCTCCTCATTCTTCGATCAGCCGCGGTCCCTGATACGCGGACAGGGAGTGGGGCAGAGCTGCAGTTGCTGTAGAGTCAGTTCCCACCAGACGCTTCGAGGGCGTACTTCTCCTCCATTTCCCCCCCCTCCTCCGCGGCAGAGGCCAAACTTAACAACAGGTAGCACAATGCACAGCATCAAGCGGCGAGCAAGCCTCATGAGAGGGGAACAAAAAATAAGAAGCAGTAGGCGCGAAAAAGACCACAACACCATAAGCCTCTCTTCACAAATTGCCTGCGCTCATTTTTGCGGCGCGGATGATGCGCGCATAGTACATCTACGGACAAAAGGAAAAAAGAGCCTCTCCCGTCTAGCACGTGAGGCGCCTTCCCGCTTCCCATAGCGTTTCCCTTCACAACACTAATTGAAACCGTTAGCCCCGAATTGGCGTCTCCGCTTCTGAATCTCGTCTGCCATGAAGTTACACTGCTTAAAGAACAGCAGCTCCACAGCGACTCCGATGCTCCACCCAAAGCCCTTTTGACAAGTGTAGTTGCCACCGCCCCCACACGACCCCGGAAACAAACTGTTGAACTTCTCGGGCAGCGCGCCAAACGCTTCATACGCCTAAAAGCAGCAGCGCGAAACACACATACAAATGCGCAGTGAGGCGAGGGGAAAAAACCGGGTGTACGTACAGCACCCACCCCAGACGCCGAACGAAAGTCGGGCTTTCCGGACATAAGCGCCTCCTCCTCTAACCTACCCCCAACTGAACCATCTATCCTCAAAGCGGAACAGAGATGCGCCCTTCTGTGACTGTTAGGCCGCGAAACGCGTGCGGATAAATGCACACAGCTGCTAACCTGCTTGCACGAGAGGAGGTATCGGTCGCTCATTTCCGCCGCTTTTTGTAGCTCTTCAGCTTGGCCGTAGTGCACAATGCCCTCAACCGCCATTTGCAGCAAGGGCGGCCAGCAATTAGGTCCATCCCACTGCTCGCTGGTCTCGAGTTGCGTTGTCTGCACCAAGTCGGCAAACGCAAATTTTCAGCAACTCTTACATAGAGACTCAGCGCGTCCTTGACCCCATCCAGTTCTGCTCCCCAACGGCAACAAAACAAACGCAAGTCTCTGCAACTGGCGGCTAGCTTACTGAGAGGCCCCAAGGCTTCCACAGCTGCGACTCAGAGACCAAGAACCGCGCTGTTGCCGCCTGACACAACCTGGCTGCCGTTTCCTCTGCATCCTGTGCGCTTCCCTGGCCTCCGGAGCTGCTGATCGAAACATATTTTCGATCAAAGCTGCCACTGGGGCAGCAGGGAGGGGCACCAAACAGCTGGCGAGCCTGTGTCTTCGGTGGGCAGTGAATCCCCAAACGAAAGGGGATAACGCCAGCGGCCGTTACTCTGCGCGATTGTCGACCCTTTGAAACGTCGAAATCAAACCTGCGTAGTCAACAGCGAAGCGCGAGGGGATTCGGCTCATTCTATCCTTCTAAACACTCGCCTACGTGTCTCTCACCCTCCGTCCGTTCCCCGGGGGGCCTTGCGGTGTACGTACACCGCCGATGTGCACATACGCTTGCATCCTTTTGCTCGCTGTTGCCAAAAAGCTATTTCTACAGGCACCCTTTCAAGCTCGCTTTGCCTAATCGGCAGTCACTAATTGCAAGACGACCCCCCTTTCTTTTCCCAGCAAGGCTGATTGCACGAAACAAAAAGAAAGCAGCGTTCGGAGAGCCGCGAGGGAACTCCGTCGCTGCCTCCTCTTTTCTCCCGAGGCTCTCTCACCACCAGTTCGTTTTTTCATTCCAGAGGAGCCGCAGCATGGCTCGCCTGCGCGCCTCAGCGCTTTCTAGGAAGAAACACGGGGGCTTTGGCTGCCTCGGAAGAAGGCGGTCAGCCCCCAACTGTTTTAGAATCTCCCCAAAGTAAAAAAGGCACAGCTCCGTGTGGTACAGGAAGCTGTAGATACAACATCAGAAGTTGAAGCGAAAGGCAGCAAAAGAGGCATGCATCGAATGATGAGAAAAACAACGAAGTTGTTCATCCTGCACGCAAGATACTGGAGATGAGCGCTCTCCCTCTCTTTACAGCCCAGCCACAGGCAATAGACAGCTCTGCCTAGGTAAAAACCCCCAAAACTTCCGGTGTGGACGCTGAAGCTACACGTAACGCTAATTTTCCGATCGCTAGAGTCTACTGCATGGGGAACCAAACTAGCCCTACGAGAAGCGGCAGCTGCTCCTCCCGGACGAACCTGTTCAGATCCACAGGTATAAAGGCTTCAGTGTTCAGCTGCTCCATCACACCGCCGTCCGCTAAGTCAGCGGAGTCAGAAACCCAACGCGAGGAGAAGTCCCAGCCCTGGTAACGACAGCCAGAAAGCACCGTGCAGGATAAATCTTTTCCCCATAATCCTGCTGAACGCAGGGAGGTGTTCAAAAACGGATGTACAGAAGTAGGCCCTTCTTAGAGAGGCTGACCACAATACCCCCCACGCTCACCCCCAGAAGCAGCCCGTATGGCCATGAAAATCACTGCACGCATCTAAACACCCGAGATCTAGGTTTCACGCTGTGCTGCATGCACGCATGCATGCATGCGTGCGTCTTCTTCTCATGGTGAACTGGCTCCGTCGATATACATGAATATATATGTATGTATATATTGATATCTATTGTTTGCTTGTTCCTCCCGCCAGGATTTGGCTTAACGCGAGACACGCGTCATCGCGTGGCGAGGAGGAAAGTGGAAAATGCAAGTACAAGAAGGGCAGCGCTCAGGTAACAAGCCGCGCGGGGTCGTCTTGTGCAGTGTACGTACACCCCAAATGGCGTACCGACTCAGCTGCCGCTCTGATGCTCCTAAACAAGCGTGATATGGACGCCGACGTGTCTTCTTGATCTATATGAGAGGCTGCCTTCACGTCGCATAGCCAAGACTCCGTGCGAGGCAGCGCTATATGTCCCAAGTAACGACTCAAGCACAGGGTGCTGCCTTTTGCGAATCGGCATAACAACACACCAGACACCGCGATACGCCCACATTTCTCCCAATATCCAAGCAGCCACCCCCCTGAAACGCCACTGCCATGAATGCCTGCGCTTCGCGCCTTCCTCCGTTGTAGAAATCACGAAAGAAAATCGCGAAACACCCGCAATAAGATAAACATTCTCTGCCCCCTTTCCTCTCTTGTTGTATTCGGCCATAAATATTTTGAAGCGGGGAGGGAAGAAGTTGCAAAGGCGGCTGTCTCGATAGCCATATCACGATAAACGAGTTTCCCCTAAATCGGCTGCATACACCTCAACAGCCCCAAAAAGACCTCCTCCTGCTTACCCTCAACGCCGCAGAGCTTTCTGTTGGGATCCTCTATCCAGTACAAGTATTCTTGCTCCATGTCCGAATACGTCTCTCTTATGAACTGCACAACACAAAAGCCAACCGGAGGAACGATGCAAGGCTTCCTTTTTCTGACCTTCTCGGCAGCAAACCGCACAACAGGATGCGATCTCGCACGCGAAAGCTACGCGAAGTCAGCAGATAGTCCTGCGTCTTGCTTTTTAGAACGGCCTGTTCAGATGTGGCTTTGCTGCACTGTACACCTCGAACTGAAAAGGCCAGCTTGGCAGCGCTTATGGATTTCCCACACCCCGTGACACGCTGTAAGTACAGCCTCTTACCTGAGTGTCTCCAGTAAAGGAGTAGTAAGCGGCGATCATCATGCTGAACACTGGAGGCTGACTTCGTGTTAGATAGTAAGAACGCGTGCCATCTGTAGGGACGCCTCAGCAAGGACAGCAGAATCTTCACCTTACCCCCCCCGTCTTCCTTGAGGAAACGGTGCATCCAATGCCGCATGGATGCAAACGGAAGTCAGATGTCGCGTGATGAAGTAAAAAATACGCGTCACTTGGCTATTCGGTAAAAGCATCAGAAATGGGATGCGGCGTACTGGGGATGAATCCAAACCTTTTGATCAAGTCTGAGAAATTCAGGATCATCCCTCGAGCAGTGGTGCGCATTCCACTGTACAAGAGGCCTCGGATCGTCCAGTACGAGTCCCTGCATGCCACCACAACTCAAAAGACACCTGCTGCATCCTCGTAAAGCAGGAGCATCTTTGTAGGTAGGAGTTCATGGCGAAAAAGGTGGCCAAGACTCTTGAGGAGGGTTGCCTTGCTGCCTCATCAGAAAACTCATGACGAACAGGTGCTCCTGCAGGGGCTAGATCAGCTGCCAACGTATGGCCTTGATTTTGCAAGTCTACCGGAGATCGCGTTGCACAGTCGCTGATGCGCTCTCAAGGACAGGGCACAACTTTAGGCGCACCAATAGTACATCTCTCTGAATCTCCCTCCAGGGATTATGAAGCCGAAAGGCAAGGGGATCAGAGAGGATATAATCGGCTGCCGTTGCGGCTGCTCCGTTTGTGGTTGTTCTTCCCTCGAATTCAGCACTGCAGGGGTGTATGTACACTCCGTCTTTCTTCCCAAGGCGGCCCACAGAGCCAGCATATTGCCCAAAAATTCTTCCTCTGCCGCAAGGACACAAACACTGGAACCCTTTAAACAAATGCATCAGGACGGTGGCTTCTCAGAACTGCTGTTGCTTCCACGATGCTTTTGCGCAGCGCCTTTGAAAACGAAACACAGCGGCGACAGTACAGTGGGTTGTCTGATTACTGCATGTTTGCTCGATTTGTGGAATGTTACCCCTAAGCTCTGTTGCCTGATGGGCGGCATCCTGGCGGCTGTTCTTCAACCAGCTGAGCGTCGCTGCATCGCGAGTTGAAAAGAAACACAAGGTAAGATTTCTGTCTCGGGGCCTGAGATGTGGGTAATAAATATATGTTGGGCATGATGACGATGCACCAATAAAGTCAATTCACGATGCCAGCGCAACAGGCCAGATCCACCTCAAGGTGGGGAATCTGGGAACCTCGGGCATTCCGTAAGCTGGAGATATTGAACCATTATGTTCTCGGCTCATGAAGAGCCAGAAATACATGAAGGAAGTGAAGGCGGGTCCCTTAGGTGAACGTACATTTGGGGATATCAGGGGGAACCCATTCAACGACATCCGGAAAGCCGTCATAAAAGCAGTCTCTAGCGAGTGCTTCAAGTTTTTCTTTAGGTGCATTGGGGGGGAGGTTGGAGAATTGAGTGAGAACGTCCCTTATCGGCAAGCGCATGCAAAGGTCTGCTAAGTCCTTCGAATCAAAACTCCCGTACAGTGAGCGCAGGCCTGGTCATAGAAGCAAAGCCACAAAGGGAGGCATACAAACAATAGAAATCAGGAAAAGGAAATAAGGCAAAGCAGGTAGGGTGACTCCCTGTGGGACAGTCACTTTCTGACCGAACCTCCAGGGAGAAGATCACCGGTCCACTGCCGCTAGCTTTCTTCCCGTGGAAAACGGATAGGCGCACAACAAGGTGCTAAATTCATTTTATAATTACCACGGAAAACTGGTCCATCATGCCTAACAAACTGGTCTAGCGAAGCAGTGCCGCCTTCCTCCGCATCAGAAACCGAAGGCACGTCTGCATTCTTCATGTTAAACAAAAAGGGGAGGACACTATGAAAAAGATTTCCTCACGATAAAAAAACCACGAAGGCACCTAATGATACTAATACTAGCATTAAAAGTAAATATAATTCCCGGCAATGAGAACAGGCTTGAAACAAAAAGTGACCACTCCAATTTCTCCTTGGATAGTCCTGCGTGGTCAGCTGTAGCTGCCAGTATGAAACTCCGGCGTGTTTCATCACTCAGGTTCCCGGTTCTGTTATTTTTCTCACTAGTGTAATTATTGCGTCAACGGAGTGCATTTTATACTGAATAACACTAAGGATGCCGCTTCACTCTCTAGCTGGGCTTTGTCTCTGCTGTTGTCGCTACGCGCCTCAGAAGAGCTAGTATTCCTCTTACCTCTGCAGTGATACGTAGATCCTGATTGCAAGGACATGCAAATGAGCATATCGCGACAAACAGAGAGAGCGAAAGAAACGCGATGTCTGAAGAATGTACACCATTGTGTCCAGCATGCAGGAGGCCACCGGTTCCACTTGGCCACTTTCTACTACAGTGGATATACTGATTCATACTTGTCAGAAATCGACCGTTATTTTGGCGTGGCTACGAGTATCCCTATTTGGTGCGGGGTAGAGTCAGCCGAATACGGAACGATTTAACGATGCATGCCTGAGCGCTAGTTACTACGGGAAACTAGCTGAGAGTGTTCCGAGTCCCTGGGGGGTGAAGCAACGTGTACTCCAGTGCAGTATTCTTCTCCCCATGCATAAGCCCTAAGACGGTGAGGACAGCGCGGGACGGAGGGAGTGAGTTGCTTTAAAGACACCCTCAATAATCCCTTTAGTCGTGTATCGGGTCTGAAACCAATAATGTTGCACCCCATGGAGAGCGCCGAAGAGGGAACGCCACGCAGAAGGTGCTCCCCAGGTGTTGTGCTGATACAGTGGAAGCGTAAGTATCAGTGCATCTTTCTAATCCTCCCGGCTGCCACTGTTCATGGCACTAAGCGCACCACCAAACACCAGCGGGAAAATACACTTCAGCCAGCATGACTTAAACGCGCGCTGTGCTGCAGCATTCATGCACGGGCTCCACGAAAAGACCAATCTTCAACGGTTACACATCGGGTCTAAAGCTCTCATCGGGGAGGCTGTATATCCATGCTTCCAGCGACTGCATGCAGCCGTACTCAGCGAGCCGCAAGGGCAGGGAAGAGCAGCATACGCCGATTGTGCTGCACAATCCTTCTGGTCCAGCCTCCGCCGCAAGACACTTCTCAAAGAGTGAATCGCAGAGCGCGGCCGCACAAGTATTCAGAACAAAGCAAACAAATTGACGAAGCTCTTACGCCAAGTGTCATTGCTGCTTCAAAAGCGCGACGTGCGTGCTCGCCTCAGCCAGGTGTCTCTACAGCTGGACTGTACCCACAATCGCCACGCTCCGCACGCTTCTTTCCTACTGCCCCGCCCACAGGCCCTTTCAATCCCTACGATTCCCCAGAACTCCCTTCGGTTGGATCTACATCCGAACACGACCTGGCGGTTTCATAGAGATCGCGGAGAGAGAGCTCTAGACTGAAGTCCAACTGCCGCATGCCATCGCATATCGCAGAAAACTTCCAGTGGCACTTTGGCTGCTGAAGCCTCAAATTGAGCCACGGAGCAACCAGAAGACCCTCATTATCCTCCTGGGAAGATGAAAAGGAAGCAGATGCATCACGGAATGGACCCGACGTTAGATGCAACTGTCCGACAGGTCCATATGCGTCCACTCTCCCGTCACTCTCTACTCTTCTGTCTCCTTCTGCATCCCCCAATGGCGTTCCGCCCTTGCGCCTATCAGCGCCTTTCCGCACCTCTCGGCCTTCCTGTACCACCTCGGCTCGACGGCAGCCTGCTTTCTCCCAGAAAATCCTTTGAGAGTTTGTGTGACTGCTGCCATTTTCGCCCGAAGGCGCCACATGTGCAGCTGCCACTGCAGCACAACGCAAGATGCAAGCAGCCAAACGCGTACTGCACAGGCTGTGCGCTGATAGCTGCCTTCCCGATCACACCCTTGTGCAACACCAGAGAGGCCTTTCTCTCGAGTTTGTACCCGCATGACGACAAAGTCCATGACAACTAAAGACTAGACACATTTGCGGCATCCTGCCGCCCTCGTCGAGAGCGTTTCCTTATTGCGTATTCCCATATATAAATATATGTATGTACATACGTGTACGGTTTGGCATGTGCTCACCAGATCCCACCATTATCACATGATGAGTCGAAAGAGGAAACTCCTCTGGCAGGAAGGCTAATAAAGATGCACTTGGGGTCAGGGAAAGGTCCTGCAGGCATGTACAAGAAAGCGAGCTGCGCAGCCCAGAAAATCAAACCGCAGAAACTTGTTAGCGACTGCTGCACGCACAGCCCCACAAAAGAAAGCACACAATGCGCACTTTGTGACGGATAGCCAACATCATCTCCAAACCATCACCCCCGCCGCATACACAGACACCCCCCAATTGTGATAGTGCCTTTTCAACTGACCTCGTCCACCAGGATGTGGCTGCGGAGTACGAGGCCCGCACACAGTCCCGCGAGTTCGATCCCACAGACGGCGTTGCCTCTAACAAATGCGCGCCTCTGCCTGGCCGCCTCCAGGTGCCTATCCTTTGCACAGAAAAAGCACAAACACAGCCGAGACGCCTCATTCCCTTTGCACTGAGTCGTGCAACACGCGTCACACGCGCAGGTACGATCTCCTTGTAGGCCTCCCTCGAAGCTGCCCCTCTGGCGCCTCCCGACATCTCCACGAACACCTCCGACATCCGTTGCAACGGCGTTTGCGAAGGGCAGAACGCCTCTCGAAAAACTCCCAGGAGCTAGTCCCCCAGCAACCAGAGGCATGGTGAGAGTCTTCAACTCAAAGCTCTCGAGGACACAGAATCTATCGCTCAAAGAAACGTCCTCCAGCCGAAGGCTGTCACAGCGTAGGACCCTCCCGCTAGATGCAAAAAGCAGATCCTGCAGATGTGGTGGCCGCTCCTCTTCACGCACAACCGGAGAGGCACCTGAAGAAAGCGGCGCTGGAGGGAAAGAACTTGGGGTAACCAACGTCTGCCAGCGACGTGGCAACACTTGACAGCACACCGCACTGCACAAAGCGCAGAACGCCGCACATAAATATACATATATACATTTACTGAACCAAGAACAGTAGGGAAGAAGCCGAATACAAGGGCGATGCCTCTACCAATCAGGCAGACCCTTGCCAGCGCACTGAGCGAAGCACACGATGAAGATTCAACCACAGCAGCAGAGGAAGAAGACACCGACGGTCACGCGCTGCATTGACGACACTATGACGCAGCCTCATTAGCCACTCGAAGGAGCTAGAAAGGCCCGTAAAAACAAAACGCTTCAGGAGAAGAAAGGGTGCTTCTTGCAGCCCATGCTCGAAAGCAAATAGATCCTGCATCTAGGGCCACCATCACCACCCACATGCACAAGGCAAATGCGGCCTTGGTGGCGTTTACACCATCGCCGTTGAAATTGCAGAGACTGTTGCCGGAGGGGAGGGGTGGGGTGGAACGGCATATGTGTAGAGGTGGGATTGCAGAGATCAGAGGAGGAAGGAAAAGAGCAAGACTCACCAAGTGTACGCCAGCATAAATTCGAGGATTTGAGGAAGGCCAAATGCGGAAACAATGGGCCCACAGTAATCTTCATCGATGAGCACAAGTCGGTAGCTGTGGATTTTCTTTTGGAGGTGCTGTGCCGTTAGGACCTCTGCCTCTTTTGCGCTTGTTGTCTTGGAGGGCGAATCGCTGCGCTGAGCGCTGAACCCGCCGACAGCTGCAGTTTGTGCCAACAAGCTGTCTCTGCGACTTCGGTAGGCACTTCCTGGAGGCGTGGGGGCAGTGCGGGAAGAGGCTCTGAGGGCCTTTGAGAGACACGGGCCGAATACCGTAGCCTCCAAAGCCTCCAGCGAGGAAAAGAGCTTTATGTTGTCTCGATGCATCAGGCACCGTGCAACGATGGAGGCGCTGGCATAATTGCTATCTTTCATCTACCAGAGAGACAGGCAGCGAGAGAGCAAACGAACGAACGCCCATGAAGGCATGCCCACGAACACAAACAGACGCAGCAAGGGCATGCAGGAGGAGGGGTGGAGACATGGAAGGAGATCGCAATACGTGGTTCACACATATGCGAAAAGGGTGTCGACTGTTGAGAAGGAAGCGAACACGGGAAATTCGGAATGCGATGAGAGATAGCGCAAGTGTCTTTCTAGTGGTTGCAACCATGCATGCAAGATATTTCAGAAGGGGGAGCAGCGATACTTGAGGGGGATGCAGAGGAGCGAGCCTCGATATCGCACAGAGGCCTGCCTTCTAGTAAGGGCCTGGCTCAACCCCCGATCAGTGGCTCTCTGCTATGCCTGCACGCCTCTTAACGCGAGCGAGGATGCAAACAAAGTTTGCTTACAACTACCGTGTGAACCTCTGAAGCTCCCAGGGAAAGCGCGAGCAGCGACGAGCGCAGCAGGGGATCTTCCGATATGACCAATACGCGATTTCGGGGGTATGTACAGCTGCAGCAGCAGGGGGCTGGACTTGCCGCGGCGTCGGCTGTATTGCCATGCGCCTGCGATGCCTGAGGCTCGAAGGTATAAAATTCTGCACGAGGCCTCCCCTGCGCATGCAGCTCGCAAAGGGTGCGGCAGTCAGCCACTGCCGCATATGCGCAAGGCACAGAAAGCGGTGGCACCCGTGCCTCAAGAGCCACGTCTGCCACAGAAGGCCTTCTGCTGCACTGCTTGCACGCCTGCAAGGGCCAGTGGCAAGGCTCCAAAGGAGTTGATAGCCGCCGTCTGCATGCATGGCAAAACACACACAGAGCAACAAACGCACTTCTTTGCTGACCAGGAACCCCTCACCGACGCCCCCGTAAATGAGGAGCTTGGTAGCATGCGCAGATTGGAGACGTCGCAAAAAAAGACGCCTTTTTCTTGACAAAAACAAGGGATACGTAAGGAGCAGACACAAGGGGAGAGGATCTCGCGAAGCGAAGCACTTGTCTTTGTGCTTGTGTGAGAGAGAGAGAGAGTAAGAGAGCGAGAGTAAGACAGAGACAAGAGCTCAGAGCAGAAGAGACAGCACCGAAGGGCCTCCTGAAAAACTTCCATCTTAAACTTTCCCTGGCGAAGCCACCGCAAAGTCATCTCTCCGGATGGCCAGCAATCCTTCAGAGCCAGGTCTGCCTGATGCAAACGCAAAACAACACCGAACGCACCATTCCCCCTGTGCATGCAGCACAAACTGCAGGCGCTAAACGGCAGACCCTAAAATCTCGAAGCAAGCCGCACCCTGAGGCAGTGTGAGCGACTGGTAGACGCTAAAAATGGTCTGTCTGCAGGTGGACGGACGGCATCTTGCAAGTGCAATCAATGTGCGCAGTGTCTGTGCGATCAAGGGGCGAGTCTTAGGTTTTGTTTAAGGCCTTGATTTCATCTCCCGAAGCGACCCACATCAGCCTCCCGCGCCGCCACAGCAGCAGCAAGAGCAGCAGGAGCAGCAAAAGCAGCAGAAGCAGCAGTATCCACACAAGTCTTGCTCTCTTTGACTCCTCTACCATGCGCGGCATAGTCTGCAGGGACAGACTCGGCGTTTAACAACGAGGGTGCACCCGTTGGGTTGCAGGGAATCCTTGTCTCGATCCTCCCTACTTCTGGAGCGAGAGGTGGCCGTGCCGCTGCAACAGCGAGCAGTCGCTTCTTTTCCTCCAGAGAAAGTGGAGCGAACCACTGCGCTTTCCTCCGCATGCGAGGCACCTGGTGACGAGCACATTCCAGCAATGCATGCAGAAGAAGGCCGTTTTCTTACAGGCCGTAACCTCAGAAACTGCTGAATGGGCAACGGGTCCAGAGTGCGGGCGCTCATGAAGAAGCAGCGCGCATGCGAAGGAGCAGCAAGTGCAAAACGATCCCCTTTAAAAAGCCCAAACAGCGTAGGTAGAGATGTCTTGGGGAAGATCTCGCTTTAAATTCTGCATGCACGGACCCTATTTTTTGCCCGCAGGCCAGAACTAGGGCATTTTTCGCCTGTTAATCACGAGCACAAGCATTAGGCCAGCATAAAAACTCCAGACGCCTTACAGGGTGCCGGTTAAAAATCGTCAAATACGAGTCCTCATGAGGCCGTTTTCCGTTCCTCTTTGAGCACTTCATTGTAAGGCACGTCGCGTCTCGCTTCCTCTGCCCCCTGCTCCTCGGCCGCAGTAAGAAGCCTTTCTATTGGACCTGTTTAGAGTCCATTTGGAGTCACGCTGTCCACTCTAGAGGAGGAACACAGCAAATCGGTTCAGTCCCCCCCCGCTACCCCGTGTGTGACTACGGCAACCGCCTCAATGCCGTTCGCCTGCCAAAGGTGCCTAGAAGGGCCTCTTCGTTGTCGGTGAGGAGGCTGTGCGCGCACGAGGAAGCCCAGGCTGCGCAGGTGGAAAGCGCCGGGGGAAAGCGTATCGGAGTGGGCGGCTCGCCATGTGGAGTCTTCTTTGTGTCTTCAGACACGAGAACGCAAGATATCAGAAGCTATTTCACGAAAGAAAGGCGGACAGCATTTTTAGGGGCCAAATGACCGAGGTGTATGTACACCTGAGCTTCTGGGCAGTAGTGGCACGAGGATACGGTCACCGCCCACTGGCAACCACCGCCTGGGAACAGGCACGCATTGCTCTTGAAAGCTTCTACAACGGACTGAGGAGGTTCCTTTTTCTGCTGATATAAAACGACAGACAATCGGTTTCTGCTGCGCTAAAATGCCACGGTCTCTGTACTTGCAACTCGGAGGGAGGCACAGATCTTATTACTGGCTGCCGCTGCAAGCTGCTGGGCTGTGCGCATAACCTTACAGAAGCTGAATGCCAGAGCCTTGCCGCTGTGGCCTTTATGCTGTGTGCATTATTAAGGGTACATTTTCGCTCGAAGAAGGCAAAACCACCGAGGGCTTTTTCACGGGAGGCTTCTGCTAACTTCCCTGGGGACCCTGAGCCTCATGAAGCCACACCCCCAACAACACTTGAAAAGCCCCCAAGTCATGAAAAAAGGCTTTTGAGAATAGCAGCAATGGGGAGGCTCGATATGTGGGGGGTTTTCCTAACATATCGGGGGGCCCTTGAGCTCCCTTCAGCTAAAGCGGAGATCAGAGAGGCCAGAGCCGCACGGTGGCGCCCCTCTGCAAAAAAAGAATTACGGCGACTACCCGTGCAAAGTGTATTCGCGATTATTGTGAAGTCAACTAGGCGTGTCTTCGGCACTGTGCGCCAAGCGGCTGGGACCTATTTGTAGGAGACAAACCCCACTAGCGCTGCCAAACAAGTCCCTTTCGTAGCTCCGGAGATTCTTGGCAAAAAGCTTACTATATCGGAGGGCCATCACCATATGGGGGCCTGATTAACACAGAAACCGCAGTGCATTGCCGCCTTTGCTTGCTTTCATTGCTGCATTGAAACCCAGAAGGGCGGAGGGGTGCATTCGTTTTTAAATTGCTCGTGAGACATCCACACGTAAAATCGCAGTGCAGAAAGCCAATGTCCATAGCTTCTATACCCTATTTTCTTGCTCTATGCAGCATCAGTCAGTCTAACGAGGCATGTTAACAAGGCCCCAGGAGCTTACGCACAACGCTTCATCCAAAGCCCCCCAGAGAGAGACAGTTAACGCTCGACTCAATACACAACATAAGAGAAAGGCCTTTTGGGTGCCCTATCAAAAGAGCCGTCTTTCCTGTCCTTGATCCTCGACATTCCAACATTGCGGGCGGCTGGCTGAGTTACTCCTTGGCAGATCCTGTTATCCTAGTTGTATTGATAGGATAATAAAAGGAATCGACTAATTGGCTACTCTATGTGTGTATCTCATCGATTGCAGAGCTTGCTAGCTCAATTCCAGAAGGCGCAATGGTGTGTGTGTGTGTGCACCCTAGATGCTGTGTGCAAGTATTTGTGAATGCTCGGAGAACATGAAGGTCGCAGCTACGTGCAGTCCAGCTGTTCCTCTCATCTCTGCCATGAGAAGGCCCACTAAGCACTTCTCAAAAAAGTGCTTAGTGGGCCTAAATTAAGTTTGCGTGGAGTCTGGTGGGAACTGTCTCTCAAGGACATGCTAGATGCAGCGGTAAAGATGGGCATTTTTTGTTGCATTCTCATGGCACTCTGAGCCTCCATGGAAAGTTGCACATTGCGTCAATAGCATGCACGCAGATGGCGTCGCGTTTTAAGCTATCGGGCCAGCTGTGCTTTGCAAAAAGTGAAAGATTTGAACAGAAAGGTCAATTAGTTAGTTTTTTTTCCTAAACATAATTAGATAAGAGGTGTAGTTTTGGAACGTGCCCTAAGTGTGACGTGTCCTGCTACACCTCCTACCAACAGGTCTGTGGTGCTTTGGCCGTGACCCTTGCTGCCCTCTCATGTTTCTCTAGAAGCGCATTTTAACGGAAGAATGCATATCCGCCTGGGGGGCAGCAAGCACGTAAAGCCGTGAAAAGCCTCTCCGTGTGGTACGTTGGGCCTTCTGCAACACTTCCGAAAAGAATGCTTCCTCCCAGCCCCCTCCCCCTAAAAAAAGGTCTATTCGAGAGCAGAATACAGATGCATCTAGGCATCTGTGAATAAAAGAAGGAGCAGGAAGGAGTAGGGGCAACAAGGAGACTGCCTGTGGGGCCCCCTGAATATGCAGAGCATGCATGCACTCACTCTGTACGCAATAACTCAGCCCGTATTTAATGTTGCACTCAGACCCTCCTTCCCCCCTCCCCGGAGGCGCGATGTCGTACAGATGCCTGCACCAAAGATGGGGAAGGGAGGGGCGGATGCCTTTCCCAGGCAAGCCACCGGACAAAGACAACCCCACCTCTGCCTCCGCCGTGCAGCGACCCGTAACACCCACATGCATGCGGCAGAAGGGTGAACAGGGAATGCTCTTTAAAGCGCATTGCGAGGACCGACTCCTCGAGAGGACCGACACCGCAAGTCTCGGTGGTCTTTACGCGGGCAACCTCTTCCCCAGCTCCTAAGCAGCAGCAGCAACTCCTAAACAGCAGCAGCAGCAGCTCCACGCCAACGTAGGAATAGGCAGAAATATGCAGTGCAATACAACAAGAAGATGTCCCGCAGCCGCAGCAAGAAGAAAGAGGGCCGAAATTCCCCGGATCCTTCAATGGCTCTCCCTAACATTGTCGATCGCCGCTTTCTGCTGCCCTGTAGCCTCGCCTCCGCGCGTGCTTCTCTTTCGGCTTCTCTTCGTCCGCAGGACTAAAAGCCCACAGCTGCCACGCTTGCAAGTCTTTGAAAAACAGAGCAAGCGCAGTTTCGCTGACACACACTGCGCTCAAGTGTCTGCGCTGCGCATTGGGTCCAAGCCTCGCCACATATCGCTGCCTTCCTAGAAGGCCCACCATGAGGCCTCCCTCCCCTGATCCGCTCCCCAAATTCGCTGGCGAGTAGGAGGAGCGTGAGGATGCATGCGGCGGAGGCAACGGAGAATGCACGGGAGACGCAAAGTCGCGCGAAGAATTCGCAGGAGCCGCTGTTTCAGCGTCTCCAGGGGCCCCCTGCTGCTGAACGCCGCAGCCCACCTGGGGGCCCCCCTCCCCACTCTTCTCCCTCCGCTGCGTTGACAGACTCCTCTCCACGATCTCTCTTTGGCCACTGCCATGGCCGTCGTCGCCGTGTCTCTGCTGCAACGCCTCCCACTGCGCCGTCTGCTCCACGTACAGCTCCTCCGCGGAGACTCCCAGCGCAGCCGCTGTCTCCTGCAAGGCCCTCACGCCTTCCCCCCCCAAGACACTCACAAGCGCAGGCACCAAAGGATCTTGAGGTCCGGATGCCCATCCCATTCGCAGGGGAGCGCTCCCCCCCCCGCTGGAAGAAGCTGCGGCAGCAACCACTGCCGCGAAAGTCAAACGCTCAGTCTCTCCTCCCTTGCTGCTCTCTTCGGGAGGTCCCGCTGCTGCGAATCTCTGCGCCGCTGCAGCAGCCTCTCCGAGCAGAGAGCCGCTTCGAGCTGCATCCTCCCCGTCAACTCTCGCACAGAAGGAACCCCCGCAGTCACCAGCAAAATCCCCCTGGCCATCCACTCCGGAGGCTACGGCAGACGCAGACACCTCGATCTTAGCACCATCTGATACGAGAGTGCCTCTGGAGGCGCTTCCATTACTACCAGCAGAACCAACAGAAACAACAGCGGACCTGTTCGTCGACACCGCTGCACTCAAAGGCCCCCTGGAGCCTCCGGGAAGGCCTTCTGGAAGTCTTCCTGACGCGCTAAGGGCACCAAGCGGAGGAAATTCATCTGCATACACCCTACACACTGCTGCTGCGGCCTCCTGACAGACACCAGAGGGATTATCGCTGTCTCCCGAGAACAGCTTTCCAACAGCAGACGCGTTCCCCGCGCAAACTCCTCCTGCGTCCACCTGACAAGGCGAAGTGGAAGCCCCCCTGTCACAGCCGTTGCCGATTTGGATACTGCCGTCGCTGAGTCCCCTGCTGCTGCTGCTGCTGCTGCTTGTTGTGTCGCTCTTGCTGTTGGCGCTGTCGTGAGCCACCATTGGCGAAGCGCAGACCGCCTCGGGAGTGCTGCGGCTGCTTTCAAGGGCTTCTGACTGCTGCCAAAGCTGCTGCTGACTCGGAGCATGCCTCGCGAAAAAAGGGCCCGCTTTCTGTCGAGCATCGTACAGCGTCTGCAGCTGCAGCGCCGGTTCCAGATCGCTCTGAGGAAACAGGAGGCCTCCTACGGAGACAGCCTCTGCTGCGTACAGGGGGCCCCTGCTGCTTGCACCTGAGCCAGCAGCAGCAGCAGCAGCAGCAGCAGCACTCTGTCTCCAGGCGTAGTTCGAAGACACGCAAGCTGTGCTCGCGCAGCGGTGTGCAAGGAGCTGTCTCTGCAGCCATGCCCCTGTCGCCAGTTGCTTCTTCAGACTGGCTTTCCCAGCCTTCCGAGGTGCAGCACCAGTCCTCGTGATGTGGGGGCATCCATGAGGCAACCGCGTTTGGCAGCAGAGAGGGGGGGAGGCCCCCTGCCGCGAACCTCCTCTCCTCACGCCAGTGCGTCTAGAGGATCGCTGCGGCTCATGTTCGCTTTCCAAATCCTCGCTCGTGATCTCTAGCTCTATAAGAGGCTTGCCGTCGCCTCGGCTGCCCTTCTCCACGTCGTCTTCGTCATCGTCTTCGTCCTCATCGTCATCCTCCTCTTCCGCGACTGCCTGCGAAGCCTGTCGCAAGCTCCTCCTCCGCCTTGCCCTTCCCTCCTCCCCCGACGCCAGGAGATTCATCCCGAAGAGCTTCGTGAGCTTCTGCGTATCCCACACGATCAGATTTTCCTGCAAGTCGACTGTCACGAGTCGTCGGATGCCGTCGAAGGCGCACTGGTAGATCGCGCGGGGATGCGAAAAGACACACAGATGGACACACTGCATCTCGGGGGCCTTTCGAGGCTTAAAAATCCAGGGAATTGCTCGCTGCGTCGCGAGAGGCCTCCTGAGATCCTGAAGAGGGAGACGATCGAGCGGATCGCCACAAGAGAGCATGCGCTGCTGCTCGCGATTATCGCATGCCTCCTCAAAAGGCGCCTCGTAAAGCCGCCACAGCGAATCCGTCTCGTGGATGTCGAGCTGCACGACGCGAATGACTGCCCCGTCAATCACAGCCCATCGCCTGCCCCCCAGAGGCTGCAGGAAGGAAGGCCTCCTTGCAGACAACACCTCCAGACGCGCGCATTCGGCAGGCGATAACAACGCAGCAGCAAACTTGGGCTGATGCACAGGAAGAAAGCCCTCCCCAGAAATCCGCTGAGGCCACGGAAGGTTCTCAAGGCTTCCCATCACCGAGAGATCTGCAGAGGAGACGATCGGGCAGGCAGTCGAAGAAGCCACGTAGACGTGAGATGGAAGCAGATGCTGCACCGCCACAGGCGCACAAACAACACGGCAAAAAAAAGCCATGGAAACGACCCCCAGTCAGATCCACAACCATAAATCAAGCCATCATCCGTCTTTTCCCTCCCTCTTCTCTTTTCCCTCCCTCTTCTCCTCTTTTCCCTCCCTCTTCTCTCCTCTTTTCCCTCCCTCTTCTCCTCTTTTCCCTCCCTCTTCTCTCCTCTTTTCCCTCCCTCTTCTCTTTTCCCTCCCTCTTCTCTCCTCTTTTCCCTCTTCTCTCCTCTTTTCCCTCCCTCCCCTCTCCTCCCCTTCCCACGAAAAAAAATACGCAGGCAGCACACTGCCATACCCTAAACCAAGGCACCGCCACCCCCCTTACAACCAGAAAGCCTCAAGGGCCTCGCGATCTCCCTTACTCGAAAGCAGAAAAAACAAACGCGCGCATCCGTGGGAGTGCACACGGCAAGGACGCCATTCACCAAGTCCAAAGACACAATTGCACAGCTTCCTCGAATCGTCAGCATGCACTTCCAAACCCCACAAACGCTCTGATTCGCGTTGTTGCCGTGCTCTGGGGATCGTCTTCTTGCAGCCGCCGCTGCTGCCTCCTCCTCCCCCCCCTGTCCCTCCTGGACACCCCACATAAATCGAAACACCTTAATACCGGATGTCTTGCTGCATGCGAAAATCCAGAGGGCCTCTGCTTCTATGCCGCCGCAAAAAGGAGCGCGCGACGTCAAGGGAGACAGCTCGAGGGGGCCCCTCCCCGAAACCTCGGGCAGGGGGCCCCCCGATGCTGCCGTGGGGGCTCTACACCAATGCCAAGAGAAGTCACGCTGCTGACGCTGCAGTGACTGCTGCTGCAGCGAATGCTGCAGCGACTGTTGCAGTGACTGCTGCTGCTGCCTCCCAGAAGACACGCCTCCAGGGGCAGGAGGGCCCCACACTGCCTCCTTCGACTCCCAAGGCGTTCCCCGAACGAGCTCAATATAATCCACTGCGCCTCCCCCCTCCCCAAATGTGCCGACTTCCATGAAGGCAACACCACGACTTGCCAGCGCTGCAGTGTCAGACACATCAAAATCGCCGCTGCTACTGCTGCTGCTGCTGCTACAGCTGCTACTTTTGCCACTGCAGTGACTGCTGCTGCTTTTGTAGCTGTTTGCAGACGCAGGCTGAAAGGCCTCAGCGTCGTGCTTGCTGCGTGCCCAGCTAGCTGCCAGTCCACCTCCTTGTTCGCCAACCGCTTCTTGCTCCCCCAGCGCCTCTTTGCTCACGAGCAGAGGCACACAGGAGCCCCCACAGCAGCAACGCCGAATAAGACACCTGGGAGGCGTCGTGCAAAGGACACGACCTGCTGAAGTGCCTACTGCGGCCAAACCCACAAAGACTGCCAGGGGATGCTGCTGCAGACAGAAACTTATCGCCTTCCCATTGCTGGTGTTATTGCTGGTATTGCTGTTGTTGCTGGTATTGTTGCTGGTGTTGCTATTGTTGCTGGTGTTGCTATTGTTGCTGATGTTCCTGCTGTTGCTGGTATTGTTGCTGGTGTTGGTGGTGGCATATGCCCCTAGAGGCTCACAATTTTCTTCGCGGGTAGTAGCACTTTCTGGGTCGTCTTCATCTGTGCGCTTCGAGGGGGCCCCCCCGTCCAGGGGGGGCCCCCTGATGAGCTGCATGCAGGGGCTGCAGTCGCCCTTGCGCCGCTTCTCTTTGCACCAGAGTAGTGTCCTCGCCGTCTGCAGTGTCTCTCCTGCTCGAAGGGCGCAACAAACTATTGCATGCGCCAGGAAGCGTTTCCCCTTCGCGTGAAATGAACATACAGCGACTGGCCACAGACGCGGAGGTGGTAATGGTGGTGATGACGGTAAGCGGAGAGGCAAACGATCAGCAACCCCAGGGCCGTCCTCAGGAGAACAATTGCAGGAGAATGAAGAAACGACATCCTCAGAAGGTACAGCAGCAGCAGCAGCAGCAGTAGCAGCTCCTAAGGAATGACATGCGTCATTTGAGGGGCCCCCTGACGGCACGTCTCCTCGTTCCTCCAGATCCGCGCATGCAGCCGTCGCTGTCGAGTTCTCCGCAATATTCGCGACAGCTTCTGCTGCTGCCGAGAAGGCATCTGTTTCCACTTCGATAGCTGGAAGACACAGACACAGTAGTCGGATATTCAAACACGACCCAAGGCCCTCTGCTGCTGCTTTTGTTCCTCCTGTTGCTATTGTTGCTGCTTTTGTTGCTGTTGTTACTTCTGCTGCTGCTTTCGTTCCTCCTGTTGCTATCTCTGCTGCTGCTTTCGTTCCTCCTGTTGCTATCTCTGCTGCTGCTTTTGTTCCTCCTGTTGCTATTTCTGCTGCTTTTGTTCCTCCCGTTGCTATTTCTGCTGCTCCTCCTCCTCCCGTTGCTATTTCTGCTGCTCCTCCTCCTCCCGTTGCAATTTCTGCTGCTCCTCCTCCTCCCGTTGCAATTTCTGCTGCTCCTCCTCCTCCCGTTGCTATTTCTGCTGCAGTTTCACAGGAAGGAGGGGCAGCAGCCCCCCCCCTGTTGCCGCTCGCGGCGCTGCCTTCGGTGCTTCCGCAGCATCGGGGTCTAAGATGTGGGGAGGAGACAGAGAGGACAGGCGATCCTTCACAGGAGTGTTTCTTGGAGGGAAAGAGGCTCCCAAGGCCCTTGCTAGGGCAAGGCTGCAGCGGATGGGGCGTTATAAGCACCCACGTCAAGTGCAGCAGCCGCTGTTGCTTCCCCAGGAGCTGCTGCTTCTGCTGTTGCCGCTGCTGCTTCTTCCTCTGAGACTGCGACATGCGAGTAGCACTCATGGTAGTCAAACCATTATTCGTAGTAGCAGGAATGCCACTCGCAGCAGCGTTGGCCCCTCTGTGCTGCTGCTGCTGCCGCTGAGGAGGCGTCGCAGCGCAGTCTTCTCCGAGCAGCCATCCCTTGGGGGCATAAGCGCCGAAGCTGATCAGCGGATCGGGATGGCGAGGCACTCTGGAGGGAAGCATTGGCAGTTGAACTTCTACAGAAGGAGTTCGGAGGCTCGGGGAGGGCCCCCGCGAGGCCCTTGTGCTCCCGACGGAGGCGTCGCTCACAAAGACGCGGCCGCTTGGGAGGACTGTGAAGAGGCGCACGTCCTCGTCAGAAGACTTGCTGCCGTCTGCCGCGCCGGCGAAGGAGCCTCTGGCAGCAGCCTGCGAGCTTGGGGGAGGGCTGACGGAGAAGGGCAGCAGCTGCAAGGGGAAGCCTGCATTGGGGGAGACGGAGAAGGCGGAGACAGACGCGCAGAGGGGAGGGGAGGGCAGCACAACGACCCTGTCTAAGGCCTCCTCGGAGCATGGCAGGAGGGGGAGACGTTGTTCGGAGTCATATTTTTGCGATCGCCAGTTGGCATTCAAGCTGCCGATCCTTATGAAATCCCTGCGACTCACGCGTGGAAGGAGGTGGCAGAGGGTCTGTGCGGCGGAAAGGAGGGAGGTCTGTTCTTTACTGCCCTTGAAGGAAGCCTTTCTGCGTCCATCCTTGCAGCCGCTGCCGCTGCTGTGGGAGCAGACTGCCCCACACTGCGGCAAAGAGAGGGAGGGAGACTGCTGCGGGGAGAGGAGATGCTCGTCAAGGCGGATAACGCGCTGCAGCAACGCGAAGCGCATCCAGCAAGGCTGGAGATCAGAGGACTCGGAGAGAGCGAGCAGCGGGGAGTTGAGCGAGAGGAGACAGAGGAAGGAGGGCAAGTCTAGGAAGGCGCAGACAGACTCGAGACACCGCAGCGGTGCAGCAAGAAGGAACTGCTCCAGAGGGGGGGAGGGGGGCCTTGGCAGCGGAGGCAGTTCTGCAGGCGAGACAATTTTATCGGGGGGAGACGCAGCAGGGGAGTTGCTGCCTCGATCGCGTGAAGGAGTAGTATCCCCTTGGGTGAAGAGGAGGCCTGAGGGGAGGGTGGCTCTGTCATCCAGCTCCAGTGACATACACCGCTGCTGCTCTCCTGTTGCATCATTCTCCCTCATAAAAGGCATTCCCAGGGATACAGGGTGCAGCAGCGTCCAAGGGGGGAGGGGAAGGGGGGGAAGAGGCGGCTTGAGGCGAGACGGATAAAACGACAAGGTAAATGGAGAGACGGGCAGATCGCCTGGCGAGAAGGCGTGAGGAAGAAGGGGGAAAGAAAGAAAGGATTAGAACAACACGTCTTCAGACGCTTTTCCGATGGCAAAAAAGCGTGAAAATTTTTGTTCTGGGTAGAGAAGGCACTCCTCGCAGGAGGAGGGGTGGCGCTGAGTGTTTAGAAAGGTAGACAGACACGCTGGTGGGAAGAAACACCTTCTTTGCTGCTGCTCCGTGCAGAAGGGCTTGTTTGAGAAAAGGTTTGAGCACCTTGTTGTGCAGGATATGTGCAGAGAGAGAGAGAAAGACGATGACGACGACGGCTTACCGCGAGACACGATCCCGTTCTCGAGAGGATTCCCTTTTGAAGAGGGGGGAGGGGGGAAGGCAGGCAGGCAGGCTTTGCGCAATCGCGCAGCGGGCTGCTGTTAAACCTCAAAGGCGTCAAGAACTATCCTTCAGACCTCGGTGGGAGAAGAAGCAGCAGCAAACAACAGCACGGTCCAAAGAGAAGTGCGTCTGCTCTCCGCTTTCCTCACACAGGACCCTAACGCGTCTCCCGTCAGCCGTCGTCTATCCTCTGTTGTCTTTGCTCGGAAGCCTCTTAGGGAAGTTCGGCGAGTGTCTCCTCGAGACGCAGAGAAAAAGGGCAGACAGGCGCTCACTGAAGGCTCCTCAGCGCCAAGCGCTCAAGCACGAGGTCTGTCGACGCTGCCGGGGGGGGCAGTGGTGAAGGGCAGCGCTAGCTCTCCCTTGCTGCGCAAACAGAGACACCCCGAGCCTTCCCCATGACTCGAGGGAGCAGGGAAGAAGCGAGAGGAGACGAGATACAGTGGCAGAATGCACCAGGAGGCGTCTAGAGGACAGGAACGCGCGAGGGGAGGGGCCCTTCGAGTGGGGCCTCGCTCAAGCAGGGGGCACCCCTAGGCAGAGAGGCAGAGGGAGATACATATATATAATCCTTGAACAGGGATGCACTAGGGTGGTAGCATATTTTTTTTAAAAGCTGCAAAAAGAGAGCCGTGCATTTGTTTTGGCGCCAAAGACAACCTAGAGACGAAGGGGGAAGCGGGAGGGGGGGGGAACGGGGCCTTCTGAGTCATCATTGATACACTGCGGCTGCCCCTAGGGGAGTTTCCTGGCGTCGACATTACAGCAGCGGTTGTCATCTGGATTTATTGGATGAGTGAGGTGGAAAAGTCTTGGGTTTGCTTCTTCGCCGAAAGATAGAACGCACAGCTGATGGGGGTGAGTCCGTCGGCTGCGGGCAGCTCCAGGAAACTGCGTGCTTTGCTTCACGAGGTCGACTGTACGGGTGCTCGCGCAAGCTGCAAGTGTCTGTCCGTTTGTCTTTCTTTGGATTCTGCATGGTCTATGCACCGTAGGAATACGTCACGAACGCTAGTGAGCGGCAGCGTCTTTGGACGATTATTGACGGGGGTGGCTGTAGGGCTTTGGAAGTCCATTCGCAACAGCACAGCTCTAAATACACTGCATAAAAACGCCATGGGTGCCTCGTTAATTCTGCTCTGTGTCTGCATGGCAGCGCCAGACAACACGCTGCGGAGGTTGGTACGGATGTTGGCGGGAAAGTCGGAAGGGGCCGAGTTTCTTTGCAGTGACCCTTACTTTCCACCGCTGACACACCTCCATGAGCTGTACATACACGCGCGCCCACACAACAAGCACTCCCAATCCTGAAGCGCAATCCCCTCTAGAGAATTTATCTGCGGGGAGGGGACCCGTCATACGTGAACAAAAACGAACCAGCATTTATGTGAGGACACGAATCAACGAGGGGAAAACGTGGACTAGAGGCCCCTAGTTAATGCGGATACCAGCGGAAAAGCCTAACTTGAAGGACGGATGGTCACCTTCAGGGGAGAGTCCCCTGCCTAGGCAAGGCCTTCCTCAACGCCAGCGCGAGCGGTTTAGACTGAGCTCCTCTCTTCTAAGGAGGGTTCAGCGGCCTCAGCGCTGGCAGGCACACACACTGAACCTTCTTGGTGATCCCCTTCTGCAGCAACTGGAGGACTATAGGGGCTAAAATAGAGAACCTTTGAGGGCAGCATAGCGTCGGTGCTGGCTGCGCCGTAGCGTACTTCGCCCTTTGCTTTTCAGTCACCAGGCGGCTGTTCCGAATGGTGGGCGGAGACTCACTGCCGCAAAATAATGCAGGCAGGTGCAGCTTCATACAGATAACACAGCCAGCTCACTGGGTGTCCTCTGAGCTCTAGCGGAGGGCCGCTAGCAGCACACCAAGCTGCGGCTCATAGCTGGCTTAGCTGCACTTCATCCCTTCGTACTAAACTAGCTATGTTTATCTTTAAAAAGTAAGCGATTGACTTGCTTGTTTGCATGCCTCTCTATTGCAGAGTACTACTAGCTCGACACAACAAAAAGGCGCAATGTTCTGTGCGAATGCGCTAGATGCTATTTGCAACTAGCTACGAATGCTTGGAGGACTTAGAAGGAGCAGCTAAACGCACCCTAGCTAGCCCCGTCCCCTCATGTCGGCATCTCTCAAGGGTGGGGGCAGGGGAACAAGCGACTTGTCTGCAAAAACTCGATGAGCTTCGGAGAAGTTTTATCAAGTCTGGGGTACTATATTTCCCTACGGAGACTTTGCATGAAGCGTCACACGCTGCGCCTGGTTTTATTCGCTCTGCACGCTGTAATGCTCCATAGGAGGTCTCCATAGGGCGACATTATTTCAATTTAATTCACGATTTCATGGAAAGTATTCGATTGCTTTCATTAAAGGATCACGTCTTCCCCTGCCGGGCTCCCCTCAGAGCTTTTGAAAGGAGGCGAGAGAGAGCTAGGGTGCGCTTGCCTGCACCCTTTAACACTCCGAGCATTCACAGCAGGTGCACATTGCATCTAGCACACTTGCACACAACATTGCTGTCTCTGGCGTCGAACTAAACGGACTAAAAGTACTCTGCAATAAATTAGGTATACGAGCAGGCTAACAGATTCGACAAATCCTTACTCCTTCCTTGTTAAATACCACCGGTGTAGTCAAAAGTGTTGTTTGGCTTAACCCGCTACATAGTCCCCCCACCTCCCTCGTTCCCGCAATATGGAACAAACACCCTCATGCTCTGTACCTGTACGTCGAGAGCAACTGCGTGTAGGATGGCGAATGAGTTCTCGCTCACTCGTCGCTCCCCAGGCAGCCAGAGACCTGCAGATACTGCAAAAGAGAAGAGCAAACGTTTGCATTGACTGGCACAGTGAATACGACTGAAAGAAAGGCATACACAGTAACCAACAACGAAAGAGAGACCAAACCAACACGATCACTGTGGCCCAACGGTTCGCTGTTATCGAAGTGCTAAAATTTGGGAGCCTTCTGAGTTTTGTGTCTGTGTGTGCCTGCGTGTCTGTGTGTGTGTATTGAACCCTCGCCTTATAAAGCAACCTTCGCATTCTTTTGTATGCACCTTTAGGCCATTAAAGTGGGCAGTGCTGCATGCTCCTGCTGTATTTTCGTTCAAACGGCGTGCCTGAAAGTCCTCCCTAAGCGTATAATATGCTTCAACAAAAATAGCCAACTTCATTCATTGACATTGCTTGAAACACTGCCAGGTCTTACAGGCAGAGCATGCGCGAGGGAAGGGGAGGGACTAAGTAATGCGAGGAATTCCGTCGAGGGAGACTAGCATTTCAAGGCAACGCCGCAAGTTCTCAAAGATACAACAAATTCCACAACTGCCCCTCAGAGGTTGGCGTTCCCGCCCCAGTTCACTGAAAACTCCCGTAAAATGTCTCCGTGGCGCTCAACAGTCCTAGAATCCATCAATTCTATGGCTTCCTGTGGAACCTCCACCTCCATTTGGGTCAGTTGCCTACGTGGCGAATTGCGCGAATAGTTCGGAGAGCTAATTCTAGCAATGTTAGCACTTCTCTTGGGGTCCAATATTGCCACTTTTGTACCACCTCCAACTTCTGGGGAAATCGTTGAAGTAGGAAAAACCGTTGATTCATGAGAAAGCTTCGAATGGTCCTAGCCACCTGGCCGCGACTTTCTTCGTCTAGTCACCTTCTAATGCACCGCGTAAAGTCGGCCGATTCATCGGTAGAAAACTTGCAGGCTTGAGACACCCAGCCGACTGCCGCTTTTCGTGATTACTCGGCGCAAACTTTGGGGCGATAGCCAGTGGCTCTCTGAAGGGTTCCGCTATTAAAATTGGCTGCTGACACTGGACCAACAGATACAGGCCAGGATCAGAGAAATATCGTCATTGCGACAAGGGTGGCAGAAAAGCAACGGGTAGATGAATGTACTGCTGTTTAATCAGCCCACTCAAAACAACGAAGAAAACGAAGCCGAGCAGCTCGATTTCAGTGAGCATGGAGTCGCAAATGCTACGAAAGAGTGCGGCTACTTTTGCATTGAATGCCCATCTGCCTCAGGATAGTTCTCAGAGGTCATTTTAGGATCAATGTGCACGTGAGTCGCAAAGGCACGCAGAAAATGCACAAACGAGGGCAAACTCTGGATCATCGTCTTCACTAATAGTAGTGGGGAGTGGGCAAAGCTACAAAATATATGAAAAGATTATTCGCACAACTTTTTTGTGTAGCCGTGGTTGAGTTGGAGCAAGGGCTTAGATGAAAGCGTTGCAGAGTGGTAGATGCTATGGCGATCCTTGGCTCCCTGCAATCCAACAAAAAGGTTGTTAGGTCAGTCCAAGCTCTTTGAGGAACCAGAGGGCCTCTTAGAAGGCCGGATCTGAGTAAATGGTGCGGGTGTATCTGCTGACAGCATGGGCATGACAGTGCATAAGCCTCTGCGGCGAGACGCATCCAACGCCACCAGAAGGACCGTGGGAGCTTTCCCACTGTGGTGTGAATTCCTTCATAGTCCGGAAGAACATTACCTCTGCTTTGTGCAAAGCATCACTGTAAATCGAGGTTGGAATGCACAAATGTGAGTTCCCGCTTTGTCTTAAGCCACAGCAGGTAATATCAACATGGCACTGCTTCACCCTTCTGGGCAGTAATAGTGGATGCATGGGTGTCAAAAGCATAAGACTTGCACATTGGCGATAAAAAGCGGCAAATCATCACAGACAAGATTGGTTGAGCTACACAACGGTGAATGGCCAGGACACTGCGAGAGCGCGTCGGCGACTATGCTAATAATGCCTTGAATGTACTTCACTGTAAAGTCGTATTGCAGGAACTGCCAAGGCAACCAACAGCTCTAGGACTGTCAAATTCCTAAAAGATACTGATGGCCGATTTGGACAGTAAAATGGTGCCCATATTAATAGTACCGGTGTACTATCCTTTCCCACGTTGCCGAGCTCCTTTCCCCGCACTGGAGGCAGCTGCTCGATTTCGGTGGAGGGATGGCAATGACAAGCAACAATTTGATGCTTTGGAGAGCCCGTAGCCTGTTAGTAAGCAAGATCAGCCACTGCTACGTCATTTTAACCGTTTTAAACGAAGGATTGGCTCACATTACCGGGTAGCGCGAGTACTGGAGAAGTAAAGGCGTCTTATGCGCGTCCTTGCTGCAACAGCCGCCTCTTTTGTCCAGCTCATGGTCTGCGTTTCCCGAAGTAGATCGGCCAAGAATACAGCCGTCACAGCAACCCATGGATCAGAATTGTACCGATAAGATGCACGCCCATAGAACCTTTCAATGTCCTTGATGGTGCGTAAAGGAAAAGGTCAAGCCTTCATTACTTGAACTTCTGCCGGATCTGGCTCAAATACTGTAGCCACGACACGAAATCCCAGAAACAATTATTTCTCTTATTTATAAAAATTGCCTTCCCATACTTGCATGCCCCACACAAGCTGAAGCGCACCCCGTAGGTGCTATATGTGCTTTTGAATGCTTCCACTGGATACTAAGTTCTCGTCCATGTCGACAGCCATCGACCTCTCCTTTACAGGCTTATATATGTCCTGATTAGCTCGACGTCGCAGCTCACTTAAGGCATATAAGAAGTCAAACAGCATGCAGAAGTGCTCGAGTCTGAGAGTGAGAATGTAGAACGCCCTTTTACGCTTGTCGCCGGGGCAAATAAAGATTTTTGAGAAAACGCCAGTGAAGTCAATTGACAAGTAGACTGCTGATCCATGTAGCTTGTCCAGTAAGTCATCAACATGAGAAATCAGAAAAATTTCCTCCACAGCGATCTTGCTCATCGGTTTAAAGTTAGCCCAGAAGTGAAACCTTCTGTCCTGTCCGGGTACCAACACCAGTCTTTGCCCAACGGCACTCGTCAATTCCTCCAGTAATCCCTCTCAGTGACTCTTCCATCTTTGCCTCAACTTACCCGCCATGCTATAAGGGCTTTCCAAGGCGTGTAACACAGCGTGAAAATGCCCCAAAGAATAGCTGAATAGGGTGCAGTTTGATGATCAGCATGATGCAAGCCTGCTTGCAGTTCGTCATTACTTAGCACATCGGCGATTCCCCCCTTGATATTTGAACATTCCTGTTATACCTCTTTCTAATGCTTACTGGAATTCCCTACTAGCGAATCAGTTGCTAAGCCGCTCATACTGGATGCGTGCTAAGAATTGCCCTCTCTTACTACGCTGCTGAGCCGGCCGTATGAAGAATCGACCTCTTCTTGTTGAGGTAGCCACCCTAAACGGTTCATTATAAGCTTAATACGCGTTTAAAAATACCAGAGGCAGCTTTTTCTAAACGATTTTTGGAAGACTGGTCATTCTGTTTCCCTGATGCGTTTCGTGTGTTAGCCAAGTCCTACCTCTGCTTGGACCAGCTGCGTTGAGCCAGGTCTTTGGCTTTTTGCATGAGGTTGCACTTTCGGCGGATATGGCCCAATCACCTACTATGGAAGCGGATGCGTTGTTGGGCTGCTCCTCGGCTACTTAGAAGCGTGGGTCCCCTTTGGCTTTCTTTACATGTTTCCCTCAGACTGTAGGCAAGGGTTGATTGATAGAGCCTTGAAATCAATAGGTTCTATATATCAACTCGATATGGCCTCTTTAAGCAGAGAAGCAGGCGTTGCGCTCATCTGCTACCGAAGTTTCGCGGAGCTCTTTGGAAGCCCCACTAGTAGGTTGCTTTACCGCTGAGTCGTTGCCATGCTGCGATCACATGACGTGCCACTTCGGGAAGAACTGAGATATTCTACTGATAGAGCAGTATTCGTCTACGTTCTGGCGTTTGCAAAGCACCATTTCCTGCGTCTCGTTATACGAATGCGTTCCCTTTCTCAGATTTCTCATGTACTCCAAAGCTTGCTCTTGTGCTTACCTGTCTAAAAACCGATGTGTCAAACATGTATGAAGGCTTGAACTGCAGTAATACTTGAGCCAGACGACCTTCTCTACATGAATAGAGCCAACATTAAAGGGCGTCGGCCTCCGAAAAATGTACCAGAAGAATCATTCATTTCTTTTGATCTGGACGTGCACAAGATGAGGTACATCTCCAACTGGCTGATTAAATCTTCGAGTACTTGCTTATTCTTGGCCCTTACACTCTCATGGTTGGCATAACGTTGTTGACGCATCCATAAATTTTTTACCGGCAGGGAGCTCATGCCCTTTTGCCAGCTGTGGACCTACTGCGTTCACATCAGCTTGCGTGCCGATCACCGCAGCCTCAGCAGGCGTTGCGCCACCGTCAACCTACATCATAACAGGTATTTTCCCCATAGTGCTGCCAAAGAAAGGCAGACCATTAAGTTGGTGAGGAGCTCAATGGAAAGCAGACAGCGATATCCCACCGCACAAACTGCCACTTGTTGAGCGGGGAGCAGCTGCCAACTGTGAAGGTTTTATCTAAATCCTCGTAGGGAGACGCTCAACACCAGACTCGACACAAGCTTCACAGAGACTTGAGTGTATGTTTGAAACAACTCCCACAATTTCCTGTTCCCCCGCTTTCCCGACCTCGAGAGTAGTTCCCGACATGATGGGAGAGGGACAGCTAGGGTAGGCGTGGCTGCAGCCGCTTGAAGACTATTTGAGCCAGTTTGGGGACCCACAGGTAGCTTTTAGCCCGCTAAAAGCGGCCAGGTTGACTTAAATATTGCGCACAAGATGTTCCCTCCGAAGCAACAAGCCTGCGTGTTCCCTCCTCTCTACAAGGACAACATGATAGCTTGACAGGCAACCGTTGTAGCAGGCTGCACTGCACGTAAGAAGGAAGCATTCAAGTATGTAGCATTCTCAGTCATGAGGATACGAGGGTGCACAGTGTTCGAATAATATCTCGAGCAAATGTAGGGGAAATAACTCGAGCTGGCTCTATATTTATTCCGTAACTCTGCGGTGTGCGACGAGTGGCGAGAAGCGGGAAGCAGCTCTTTGCATTGAGTGCACACCGGCATTCTCTCGAATTTTTGTCCCCTTTGGCACGCAGGATTTTCTGACTGGGGGGCCCCTCATAGGAGCGATGCAAAAATCCGCCGATGTAGAGGGGTGTGCGAGAACAGTCAGCACCCATCAGGCACACGACGCCAGTGCGTGGGAGATGCCACAATCCCAATTACAGCTGCTGCAAAGCTCTAAAAGTCAGAGTTAAGGATTGACGGGCTGCTGGAAGGGAAGATGGTATGTACGGCAGTCAGGGGGGTGGGCTGTAGAGACAGTTTTCCGTCAGTTCGCTTTGCACAGCACCTCCTGAGGACGGCAGCATGGCTTAATAGCTGCTTCTTCATAGACTGAAGGTGGGTCCCCCCGACGATGTCGCGTGTTTCTCCTCGAGTTCCACTAGCCGTTGGAGCGCTTTTGTGCACAGTCGAGCAGATAGAGAGCATGCGACCCTCTCCATGAACACCCCCGCCATCCTGCGGGGTGTGGTGGCTGCAGCACAGCTGCCGTTCCGCTGTTGTCGCAGCAGCAGCTCCTGCGCACTCTCTAGCTGCATCCCCCCACGACTGGGAGATTAAGGGATGTTACTACGGTCTAATTTTCAAAGAACTCCTCGAAAGAAGAATGGAGCAGCAGAACTAACCCCCCGCGCAGCCCCATTGAGCAGCAGCAACACCACCGTCTCATGGAGCAGCAGCAGCCGCTGCAGCCGCCGACTCGCAAGAGCGCGAGCCACCAGAGCTTTCTTCTTTTCTCCACAAAATTATCCAGTTTCTACTTCGCACGTTGGAGGGAAGCGAGCAGACTTCCACTCACACCGCCTCGACTTGCGACCACGCTGTCTACTGCACCGCTGCCGTGTCTTACGACTCTTCCTGCGCTCGCCTCCGCCCTCCATCCCTTCCCTGTCCCCGCCACTTGCTGATTCCACGCGTCGGCAGAGTCTCGTTTCGCCCCTTAGCAAGTTCTTCCTCCAAAAAATCCTTTCGACCCCCTTGCCCCCTGTCGAGGGGGCCCCCCTGGTATGGGCTGGAGGGCCCCTGCCCCCAAGCCGGAGGCCAAGGGAAACCCTGTCGAGTTCACCACTATGCTGCAACATGCACGTGATATCAGATACGCAAGTCGAAGCTCAGCAGCACCAGCAGCACCAGCAGCACCAGCACCAGCAGCACCAGCAGCACCAGCACCAGCACCAGCAGCAGCAGCAGCTGGAAGGAGGAACTCTAGAGGTATCCCCTCCCCTTCAGCAGGAGCCTCATGTAGAGAGTAACCCCCCGCCGCAGCAGCTCCTGCTGCAGCAGCAACTGCTGCATCAACTTCTTCAGCAGCTGAGTGGCGACTCCGAGAAGCTTGAGCTCCAGCAGCAACAGCAACAGCAACTATTGACGGCCGAACAAAAATCTGCTCGAATGCGGGAAGTGCAACAGCAACAGCACCAGCAACAGCAGCAGCAGCAGCAGCAGCCCCTACAGCAGCTGCTGCAGCAGCAGCACCAGCAGCTGCAACAACACCTGCAGCAGCAGCGACAAGAGCAACAGCTGCGGCAGCTGCAGCAGCAACAGCAGCTGCAACATGTTCAACGACAGCAAGCACAGCTGCAGCAGCTACAGCAGCTTCAGCAACTGCAACAGCAAGGAGGCATCCCCGCAGATACTCTTTTGCGGCTTCAGCGGCTACTAGGAGTCTCCGTAAATCACGCTGCTGTTGCAGCGGCAGTGTCGCAACAGCAGCAGCAACAACACCACCAGTTGCATGCAGCCGCAGAGGATGCAACGCTGCGATGCGGAGAAATCGCCTTTCAAGGGCTTGAGCCAATCCAAGCTTCTCCAGTCGCAGCTTCGCAGCATCAAGACTCGATGAAATTGCTGCGGCAGCGCCTCCAGCAGCTTGATCGGATGAAGCACACCCGTGAGATGCAACAGCAGCAACAGCAGCAACAGCAACAGCAACAACAGCAACAGCAGCAGCAACAACAACAACAGCGGCCCCTACTGCAGCGAGAGGGTGAAGCAGTGCAGCATCTGCTGGGCTGTCTGCAAATGCTGCGACACCAGCAGCAGCAGCTACTGCCGACTCGAGGAGATCTCCCTGCTGCTGCTGCTGCTCTTCCTCCCGCTGCAGCTCCTCCTTCCCCGAAAACTGCACATGGAGACGCTCCGCTGCCTTCTCTGCAGCAGCGTTTAGTATCCTTCTTGTCGCAACAGCAGCGGCAGCAGGGGCGACTGCTGCAGATAATTTCGCAGCATCATCGGCAGCAAGACGACCTTCAAGGTGAGCAGCAGCAGCAGCAGCAGCAGCAGCAGGGGGAGGCTCTTCGGCAGCAGAGAGCTAAGCTTCTGAATCGCATCATTCGACTTTTGCAACAGCAGCAGCAACAGCAGCAGCAGAGCAGCTCTGGGGATGGCGAGGACTGCCATCCACAAGAGATCCTACCAGAGCAACAGCAGCAGCAACAACAGCAACAACAGCAGCAACAGCAGCAACAACAGCTTGTTGCGAATCCATCTTCACCTATTGTTGGTGTTAGCGCAGCAGGAGTTCAGCGAGCGACTGTGCGCTTGACTCGGGGGTGTGCAGAGGTGCAAATATCCGACGGTGAGGAGACACCAACAACGGCAGCAGCAGCAGAAGCAGCGATTGCAGCGGCAGCGGCTGTGTCTGCTTCACTGCAGAACGAGGAGCAGCAGGATGTTGCTGGCGCCGCCTTGACAAGATACGCCCTTGCAGGGTTAAGGCCGTTGCTACAAGCTGCCTATGACTTGCCACACTTTCCGACGCAGACTGCTGCTGCAGACAGGCAGCAGGGGGAGGAGGGGAGAAGCGGCAGCCTTCTTGGCTCCACACTTGCTGCATGCCTCTCGGACGGAAATCAGCAACTGCCGAAAAATGAGGCTGGCAGCGCACACATAGGTTTGGGGGTGTCTGAGTGGCAGCGCGACAACGCCTTTCTCTTCTTCGAGCTGGCGAAGCTGCTCCGCAGCTTCGCTGCCTTGCCGCAAGAACCCTTGCTGGAATGCCTCTTAAGAGTTGCTCCGCAGCCACAAGCCTTATCGCAGAGTGCCTCTCAGCAGCAGCAGAAGGGGGGGGGGATGGCGGCTGGTAGAGGAGGAGAAGGAGGAGAAGGAGGCCTAGCGACGCAGACAACGGAGGATACAGCAGCAACATTAACAACAGCAGCAACATTGACGAAGGATGTTACTGCAGCTGTTGCTGCGGCTGCGTCGTCGACAGAGTTGCCAGAAGTTCGCGCAAGCAGCAGGCGGCAAGAAGAAGACATGGCGGTGCAAAAGGATGCTTCTTCTTGCCAGGAAGAGGAAACTGCCGCTGAAGGTCAAACGGCCTCTCCAGCAGACTTAGCCGGAGATAGCGCGGAGAAGGCTGCTGCACTATCTGCTGCTCCCAGTGCAGCCTCAGCGTCCAGCGTCGATCCTCCTGCGGCAGCTGCTGCAGCTGCTGCCGCGGAGGGAGAGAGAGAGAGTCTGGTGCTTAGTGGGGGCAGTGGGGATGTTTCGAGGCAGGCGATTCTCGCCGAAAAAGCCGTCTCAGACGCCCCCTCCTCGCTTGCAGACGAGGATTTTCCCCCGTCGCAAGGGCAGCAACAGCAGCGGCAGTTGCTGCCAGACCACCCCGCAGCTGCCAGCGCAGCAGCAGCGAGCGACGGCTTGGCCTTTATCGTAGCAGCCGCAGCAACAGCAGTTGCATCTGCAGCCGAAGGAGACTTCAAGGAAGACATACGCAAAGAGTTGGAAAGGCAGGAGACACTCGCCGACGACACAACAGGCAGCCTCAGCATCCGTCGCCTTCCCATGGAATTCTCACTTAGCCTCCAAGCCGTCTGTGCGAAGGTGGGTACTTTCGCTAATTAACTAGCACACCTGATAAACGTGTGTTGTTGTTGCTCTTCTTGCTGTTGTTTGTTGCGCTTGTTGCTGTTGTTTTTTGCTCTTGTTGCTGTTGTTTGTTGCTCTTGTTGCTGTTGTTTGTTGCTCTTGTTGCTGTTGTTTGTTGCTCTTGTTGTTGTTGTTTGTTGCTCTTGTTGCTGTTGTTTGTTGCTCTTGTTTTTGTTGTTTGTTGCTCTTGTTGCTGTTGTTTGTTGCTCTTGTTTTTGTTGTTTGTTGCTCTTGTTGCTGTTGTTTGTTGCTCTTGTTGCTGTTGTTTGTTGCTCTTGTTGCTGTTGTTTGTTGCTCTTGTTGTTGTTTGTTGCGCCTGTTGTTGTTTGTTGCTCTTGCTGTTGTTGTTTGTTGCTCTTGCTATTGTTGCTTTTATTTTTGCCTGTTGCTCCTGTTGTTGTTTGTTGCTCTTGTTGCTGCCTGTTGCACTTGCTTCTGCTGCTGCTGTTTCAGTTGCTGCTGCTACTGCTGTTCGTTGCTGCGCAGTCTTGCCCATGCTTTTGAGATGTGCCTACTCCTGCTTTGCCTGCTGTTGCTGATGTGTGAGATGCGTTCAGGCCTTGCGGCAATGCGAAGCTGGGCAGCTGCTCTTGCCGTCTGCTGTGCAGTGTTGTTGGGAGCGCATTCGTCCTCTTTGCCAGCAGCTCGCTGAAGAGGATTCTCTACCAGCCGCAGCAGCGACAGACGAGGCCTCCTCTGGCGAAAGAGGTCCATGTGTCATATGCCGTTTGCTTCAGCAGCATGCAGCTGTTGTCGTATCCCCCCCCCACGGCGGCTGCAGCAGCAGCAGCAGCAGCTGCAGCAACAGCAACAGCAGCGCATCAGCGGGGGGGGGAAGCAGCAGCAGCAGCAGCAGCAGTAGTACTAGTGGCAGTGGGGGTGGGGGTGCTCTTCAGGAGGCCTTTGACAGCTTGCGCCAGCAGCACAGACACGTCTATATCCCGCCGCGCAAAGCCTTACTTTCCAGCTCTCGAAAGGAGAGGCTTTCTCAGCTCGAGGCAATTGCAGCATCAGAACTGGAGCATCTCCGAGGTGGGGAGGAGATACGGGGGCTTTCACAAAAGCGAGAACGCGATCAGGAAGCTGTTTCTGATCGCATGCAGCAGCAGGGGCAGCAACATGCGAACAAACGTGACCAAGCCGAGCATGATTGGAGGAAGCAGTTGCGTCTTGCTCGCGAAGAAGGGGCTTTCGACTGCCAGAGCGATGCAGAGGACGGCAGCGACAAGAGAAGAGATAGCCAGATCGACGAGGAGCAGCTTCTTCTCGTGGCAGCTGCGATTGTGGGCAAGAAGGAGATGGAGGAGCTTGCCAAACAGTTTTTGCTCCGCGTTCATGGTGAGTCTCAAAAGTCGCAATCTTCATGCAGCGTCTGTCTATCCAGACCAGGCATGCCCGCATGCAAATGCGCAGAGCACCTGACGCGACTTTCTTAGAGGGGAGGCTAAGCAAGGCCTGCCAAGAAAAAAAATCCGTCGAGACATGCACATACTTACATATACACTTACACATATACACACATACTTACACATACATACATGTACACATACATACGCATGAATACACATACATACACATACATACACATATACACATGAATACACATACACATACATACACATGAATACACATACATACACATACATGCACGTGAATACACATACATACACATACATGCACGTGAATACATATACACATACACTCCACATATACACACCACCCTTATGGTCTGCTTGCTGTGTGTAAACAGGACATGAGGCCTACCGAGCCGTCGAGTGCAAGGTGCCTCCACACCCTGCTCTTGCTGTGTCAGCAACTGCGTGGCATGTCTTGCTAGCGTCTACTTCTGGCCCTTTTGTTAGGGATTTAGGCGAAGTGCAGCAGGGGCAGGAAGAAGGACTACGTGGGAGAGTTACTCCTGGAGACAAGCCACAAGGCGCAGCTGAGCAGCAGGCGAGACTCAGCTGCAGCAACGGCAGTCGCAGCTTCTCCATCCGGGTGTACGGACACTTCGCGGCTTGCTGCCTTGCCCTAGATACTCTGCAACAGCAGCAGCAAAAACAGCAGCAGCAAAAACAAGAGCAACAAAAACAGCAGCAACAAGAACAGCAGCAACAAGAACAACAGCAACAAGAGCAGCAACCTTTGCTCTTCTCATCTGTTTTGTTGCAAAGAAAGCAGTCGATAGAAGAGGCTTGGTTCGACGCCACTTGGGGACCTGTCCTTTTTGACGGAGAAGGAGGGAAAGTTTCTCATGCGGCTTCGAAATCTGGCGCTGGAGACAGCAGTAGTTCGGGCAGCAGTCGAATTTTGACGCTTTCTGCGCATGCAGTGAAGGATGTCACGGACGACTGTAGAGCATGGGTGCGAAGGCGGTTGCTGTTGCCGCGGAGGGAGAATTCTTCGGAGGTGTTGGCAACGTATCGGGAGCAGAGCGAATCTGTGGGGCCTTACAACAGGCAGCGGCAACTGCTGCTCCTGCAGGTTCCCCCTTGGGTAGATCCCCAGAAAGTTGCATCTACGAAGGCGGCTGCAGAGGATCGTGTGGCAGTGAGTGGCGTTCGCAGTGTCTCTTGGGGGGGCAGGAGGCTGTGGGCAGAGGAGATAGAGACTGCGTAGAGGGGAGGAGAAAAGAGGGGAGAGAAGAGGGGCCTCTTTAGTCGCTTGGGGTGTTGTGCCGTCTGCGAGCTGAGAGGGCTTTGCTCTCGTGGTCTTGAAGGTGGATGATGTACAAGCTGCTGCTGTCGGCGTTTCGCTGCTTGTTGCGCATCAGGCTCCAGGCTACGCCTTGAGGCATAGAAGGCGGTGCCCTCCTTCCCCTGGTTCAGTTGTGCTAAGAGGGGCACCAGGAGAAGATTCGCATCAGCAGCAACCTCCCATGCGCTCGAGTCATTCCCAGCCCTAAAGAAACAGGTTCTTGTTCTCCGTCATCACCTGTGTCTCCCTTCTGTGTGCTGCCTCTCCCTCTCTCTTCCTCTCTTCTCTGCCTTGTGATCCTCCCTCTCAGTCGATCACCGGCCTCCTCGCGTTCCCAAGTGCATCGATTTTTGCCTGCTGCAAGTCTCGGCTGCCTCCCTCCCTTCTAGGAGTACTGGTGATGTTGCATGCGAAGAGGGTAGGGTCTGCATGCTTAGGCCGACACGGATTAGTGCCAGAGGCGAGAAGGAGAGGGCGTACTGCCGCAAGTGTGAGGCTGCTCCTCGGCGCCAAAACGGGGAGGCGTGCGGATGGCTGCCTTCTCACTGCCCCTCAAATCGGCCAAATCCACGGATGTGTGTGCCACAAGTTGTGCAGAGATCCCCTAATTATGTGCTTGCATGTTGCAACCTTGCATCCGTATGTATAGACCACCTTTCCCGAGAACACAGCCAGGTCTGCGTAAATCTTCACGCAAGCATACACCACGCACGATCCTTGCACAGAGAGAGAGAGAGAGAAAGCCTCAGCGTTTCGCTTGCACCACTCGTTTCTGCTGGTGCTCATGCTCGAATAAATCCGCTACCGATCCGGGTGCCCCGCCCCAATGAGCAAAGGCTCTGTAGCTAGAACACGTATCCGCAACAGCCGCAGATCCTGCGGCTCGCGATGTCGATCCACCCTGCCCCCTCAACGCGGCTCTCCATGCACAAAAATTACACCCTAAAACACACTGTTAGACAGCCAGTAGGAAGCATATTGCCCCCCGAGGGTGCCCAAGCTACTTCACCCTAATTCAGCATGCATGCGGTTACGGCGTGCCGCGATGCGGTGTCCATACACTGGGATTCATCCTGATTTCCCGCATCGCCAGAGCACGCCCATGCACATGCATAGGCCGCGCAGAAACGCCTTTGACGAGATATATATATGTATATATATACATTGCGCGCGCACCAGAAAACGCCATTCGAATCATGATCTACAGACACTCTTAGTACTTCCCCATTCCCCCCCTACAAAGTGGCCTGCATCTGGCTTGGCAGCCCAAATAATGAAAGATGCACCTAAAAGTGCGACTTGTTAGTGGTTAGATACCTGCACGATGGGGTCTTCTGCACAGGCAAGCAGCTCCTGGCCAAGGGAACCCAAAGCTTTTCCTGCAACGAAATATGAAGGCGTATATCTTTTAGCGCCTACGCCTAGTGAGCTTTACAGCGGGCCCATATATATATATATATATATATGAACTCGCACATTTAAATAATCAACACGTAGGAATTTCGAGAGGCGCACGCTTCTAGACGAACCTGTTTTTTTTGCAGACAGATGCGCTCTGTATGCGATATAATTACGTTTTCGCTGGATACTTGCTGGCTTCTGCATGCAGAGACTCGAGGCGTTCACTTTTAATGTGCACTTGGGCACAACGTGGAAAGACCCTCTTACTAATTTTCAGGGTTTCCAAACAAATCGTAGCATACTTCCTGAGGCATACACATTGCTCCTAAACTGGTCTAAAGTCTACGGAGATATGTAATTCCTTAGATTTTCTTCCAACAGAGAAGTCCATGATTTACACCTCCGCGTATGGAGGGCCCATGCCTATTGCTGCAAAGAAGATATGCTTACAAAAGTATAGATATGCATATATTGGACTACACTCAGATAGACAAGGGCGCCGTCTAGCGCATGAGTGTTTTTAGCTCCCGCGGGACGCAATGCATCTGCTTCTTGCAGCTACTTTGTCAAAATAGGTATCATCCCTTGTGCACAATAAGGAATCCACAAGGACGGCCTGCGTGGCCGACCAGTCAACAAAACTGGCAGTGATGACACCACTAATAGGCGTGTATCCTGGGCATGCCCGTCTTGTAATAACGCAGCCGTTCCCTCGCTACGATAGGGGCAGTGACAGAGACACGCATTCTGACCTCAAACGACACTGCAGCGCAGGAAAGGACGAATGCGAGGCCAAAATGACGCGCAATCTCATCGGGTGTGCCAGACACGCGGCGACAGATACTCGGGGAATGTCTCGCCACACACTTAGGGAGCTGGAGTCAGCTAGGATGGACACACAATGCAAGAGGTTGAAATGTTCGCTCACCAACACTTTCGTAAGAAGACCTTTCGCAGTTGCAAACCCCATTTTAAATTCAATAGAAAATTGTCGAAGGCTCTTTCAAGAGCACACTCCCCCGTTGCGCGCCGTCTCCATCACTCAGGGTTCCTTCGTGAGAGGAGAGACAGACAGACACACAGACAGAGCTAGGGTGGCAAGGCGTTGCTACACTCTATATAAGCGCTTTGAGCATTCACAGCTAGCTGCACATCGCAACAGCTAGCACACATGTGCTCAACACGGATTTCTGCCTCATTGCGTTAGGTTTATACTGCAACACATAAGATATACGAAGAGCCAAAGCAAACAACGGTTCAGGTCTACATATTTTTAGTTGAATGTGTCCAATGTAGTGGATGCGGAAGTATACCTTTTTGGCATGCTCTGGAGACGATAGGATAAAAGGCGGGCGAAACAAAGTGAGGTGCATGTTCACTAGGAAATATATGAGGGTACTCCAGCATCACAAATAAAAACTTAAGATGAGGCAAAAAGGATGCCAACAAACAGCTTATTGAAGCACTCTGTGTACATCAAAATCAGAAACCTGCACCTGCAGGTTGCTTAAGTCCACACGAGGAATTTACAAGGAAAGGGAGGATGTAATTTCTAACAATTATATTGACAACTTGCAACAGTGTCTCTTCTGCCTTGCTGCCTCCTTGTGTCTGCCAGGCAGACGTTTGCCTACAGCTTTCAGCGTAAACTGCCAGCGGCTCTCCTTTCAGCATATTCCGCTGTGCTCTTCACTCCGGCAGAAACGTACTAAGTCCTGTTGTCGCTTCCTGACCTTTTATTATGGCCCCTACTAGCGGTAAGAAGATTAGTGGAAGTATTTAAAAGATCTATAGTTTTTTGATGCTCCAGAGGGCGCGGGAAACTCCAGGCCAGTCAGGTGTACAATAATTGCAAACTGGCAAAGTGCACAGAGGAAGCAGTCGTAAGTCCTTTCCTCACGTGGCTTCCTTTACCTTGCTTGTGAATCCGCGTTAGGGCTTTTCTTACAAGGGATTGGGTGTCATCAATCATAATCGACAATGGAACGTTCCATTCAGGGTCTTCGTAGGGAAACATCTCATTCCAAAATCAGTATAAAATGAAGAAAAGTTTACCAAGTGCTCCTCAAAAGTGCTCACCCCTTCCCTTGCCTGCATCCCAAAGAGTTTCCAACATCTGCGGAGTAGGGCAGCTGGGGTGCGTGTAGCTGCACTCCCTTAGCACTCCGAACATTCACAGCTAGTTGCACACTGCACCTGGCGGCAAGTAGACGGCATGGATTCTTATTGGACTGAGCTAGAGCCACTCCGCAACCAAATCACATAGAGTAGCAGAGGAGCCAGCCAAAGCCAATTAGGTAGATCTAAGCGGCATAGTAAGGCGTGTCTATATATGTAGCTATGCCCGTTACAGATTGACCCTTTGAAGAACCTAGGTGGTAGCTCCTCGGGCTATCTGAGACCATCTCTGAAGGCCTTGTATGGCGCATTATTATTGTGGAATACAGAAAGAATACGCCTTACCACGACTGGGGTCATAGAATGCGCCATGGCAATCCCCGATTTCTCTATCATTCAGTATCTATTCTAGGGTATAAGTCGCTCCCTACTTAAACGAGTCAACCTCCTTCGTCTCATAGGCTTCCTCTCTTTGCTTATGAGCTTTTTCCTGGAAAAATTCGCGCTTGGTGAATGCCAATAACCCTATATGCATCTTGCCTTTTGGTTGCCCTCGAGAGGACTCAAGAGAGAAAAACACAGCAAGCCCTTTCTAGAAGTAGCACAATAGCTCAAGACCCTACCCATAGTGATTCACGGTTTATTCATTCGACATGAGCTTCCGAGTTTGCGTATAGTTCTTAGCCATTCCTCAAGACTGCACATAGGTGGTGCAAGGTGACTGCCATCTAGGCTACCACCCTTATGACGTTCTCGGCCGCTCGCTTTTGCGTCTGCCGATGTTGTAATCTTTTAGGGCCCACTTCAGTTGCTATAACAACTATTCAGCGGTAGAAACCCCATGGCCACCTTCTGGAAGCCGGGAGGTCGTTGATAGGTTTGCCCCACACCTCTGCATTTATGATAGGGATACCCTTTACAACCCTATAGAGAAAAAATTTCAGACTCAAAAACAGTTTGATTACTGCTTCTTAAAATCTTCAGTGTGCATCAAGTCCTTCTCTACCACAAAATCCTGAGACTTCCGGATTCCTCCCATCCATCAGGATTATGCAGAAAAGAAAGGCTAGTTTGGAATGAAGCTGATGTACTCGGCGATTACCTTTTTTACGACAAAAATATTTAAAAATATAATTGCAGTTTACCTTGATCAAAAGCGCTGTGTCATGAAGAGAACTACACCCGACACCACACAGTCGGCCTAGCCTGTGCACACTGCTCTGTCTTCCTTTAAATATCAATTAGACATGCTTCAAATTGGGACAAATGCGTATAAGTAGTGATATACGGGGAAAACGTACAATTTATATTGTTTCTTTCATCAGGAAGAACTAAGACCTGTTGTGGTCCTGCAGGGTGGGGATGCAGAGGGGCACAGGTCTAGCCATTTTTCCCCATGCACTTCATTTGCCCCCTTCTCTCAACTCTCGAATTGCGTTTTTTTGAAGCTGAAAATTTCTAAATATTGCCAAAAAGAAAGGCCGTTCAAGGGTCATACGGAACTAGCCAGCCCCACCAAGGAGCTAGCCAGACCGTGCGGCGATCCTCCCCTCCCCCCTGTCGCGCGTGTCAGTGAGGGTGGGGTGCAGTCTGTCCCTGGCGCCCTCGCACAACTCATCATTCCGCTTGTCCTGTTGATCGAATTTCGGATTTGTTCGGAAAATGGTTTCTAAGAAATCGGCAAAGTCTGCCAAGCCCGCCAGCGGCAAGGCCAAGGGCAAGGGGAAGAAGAAGAGGGCTGAGACCTACAGCTCCTACATCTTCAAGGTGTTGAAGCAAGTGCACCCAGAGACTGGCATCAGCAAGAAGTCGATGATGATCATGACTTCTCTTATTGGCGATACCTTCGACAAAATCGCCACTGAGGCCGGCAAGTTGTGCAAGTACAACAAGAAAGACACCCTCTCTTCCCGGGAGATTCAGACAGCTGTCCGCCTCGTGCTGCCTGGAGAGCTCGCTAAGCACGCTGTCTCCGAGGGCACAAAGGCCGTGACGAAGTATACCGGCAAATAAGCGATGAGACATCCGATCTTCGGCGTAAGATGAGTAGCTTTCGATGGCCAGCATCATTATACTCGCGACTTTAGGCTTCACTAGAAGCCACCCTATGCGATAGAGCGGGCAGGTCCCCTGCACTTCTGATTTCCGATTGCTCACTGGACGTGACGCTTGTGAGAATCGTGCGTATTGCTTCTTTCCTGCTGTGCTACGGTGGGTACATTCCTACCCTGTAGCCTAGGACGTTGATGGAAGTTGTTCCAAGGCATGTCTGCTGATGATGGAGCGAAGTACACGGCCATAGAGCGATTGCTGTGTAGCATCCCGTTGGAACGGTTGGGGTTTGCGCCAGCTTCGCTGCTAATTAGATTACTCTTAATTCACGTTTTTTTAATTCTCTGCCACTAGCAAGCCAGTACGCGGTTTGCCGCCTCCGGGTGTCCAGACATCGTGTAGGACACTTGTGGACGATGGACGGGAGTGGGTGTAAGGTTTCTTGAATAGCAGCAGCTACGACTCGTTCGAGGGAGGCAATGGCAGAGAGCTGGAGTTGGGCAGTGCAGTGTTGTGTTAGTGTTTGAACTCTACGTAGGCCTCTGAGGCGCGTGATCAAATGGAGCGAGCCATGTGCTCCCAAGCGGTGCAGTTGTCGGTGCGCAAATGAATGGATATTTATTAGTACCTTGTCGTTTTGGTGGGGGGAGGACACATGCTGGGAAGCGGGCTTGGGGGAGAGGAGTTGCATCCAGCTGCAGAACTATCACGGCGCATAGGCACCTTAGCGCTACGGCAATATCCTGTTCACCCCTAAGCTCTCAAGCTCACAGCGAGTTTTGAAGCGCAAACGCCGTGTGCTGTTCAAGTTAACCCCCAGTTGGATTCTTTCAAGGCCCCTGACATAACTTTGCAAGGGGTACTCTGATACAACCAAAACATGCATATCATGTGCACGAGTACACGCGATCGATCAATTTTCGCAGTGGATTCAGGCTTTGACCGGCTCAGGCTGAGGCGTCTGCTGGGCGACTTCGGGGGCACAGTTAGCAGCCCTTTCCTTCTCCTTCTCCATGATCGCCATGAAATCCTTGGTCTTCTTGCAGAGAATCGTTATTTTGGGAACGAATTTTCTCCTTGCAGATGCGAAGTACGCCGTCTCGACCTTTTCAATCGTCACGCAACCCTCATCCTGCAACAAGGCAGCCGTGCCAATAGCTACCTTGGTTGCCATTCCAAGGCCTTCACACACACACAAGGATATCGCAGCGCAGGGCACGTAAGTATAGCCGTAATAGAAATACACACACGAGAGAATACACTCAAACTATGAGCACCCAAGTACATTCATACATACCGACACAAACCTCTTTGCAGAAACACTGCCGCCAGGCAACGTGGACCCCCAAGCATGCATTAAAAAGCGGGCTCTAACACGAAGGACACGCCTCAAAAATGCGTTTCCACTGTACTTGCCCCACCCCGCAATCTTAATCAATAAAAGAGTCATAATGGACAGCGTGCGACGAAGATAGCCTGGCCTGTGGCAGTGCCGAAGTGTACGTACACCAACTCCTTCCCACTCAAGCGCGTAAAAGTTCACACTAACAAATGCGATGCGCGAAAAGCTCTCATGAGGAGCGCATTGAACCCACGGTTAACCCATGAATAGATTCTGCCAAGGGCGAAACAACAACGGCATACACGAGCATCGGAGGGTCATACACACAGGAGGGTTGTGACGAGCATGGAGCCGGGGAAAGGAGGACAGCGGAGGGGTAAGGGAGGCAAGAAAGCGCAGAAGAAAGCAGAATCGCAGTGAATCATGAAGAAACAAGAGGCGAGACACAGACAATCGATTGCATTGGACACGCTGCAGTGCTGAAATGCGAGCCGTTACCCCGTTCCCTCCCTCCTCCCTACACGCACGTGCATTGCAGAATGTGCCCCGCCGATCCACGCATACAAACATGAAGCCCACAATGGAAGCAAGCAACGTGCAGCCGAACGGGTGAGGCAGCCAGTACCAAGGACGAGGCAGCCTGCGCTGCACACTGTCCTTGCAAGCTCGCATAGAGCCACAGGATGCGTGGAATTAGCAGCGCAAGGCACGGCCGTCAACTACGTACCTGAAACGGAAAATTCGTCGAAAGCCTCTTTGCCCTCCCTCCCCATCAAGATCCTCTTGCCAATGCGCGCATAGAAGCGGGGAGTCCTCTCGAGGGAGACCTGAAGCGCAAGACCAACAATTGCACGTGAAAAATACACCTCTAAAATGATAAGCAGGGTTAAGCGGGAAGAACCGGTTCCATTTGCGGGTATATGTGCCCCTTAAGCTCCAGGGCGGGAACACTTGCGTCGATTGTCTCATGGTGCGCTCGCACTATCGGGCGGGCCTTTGTGCTCCCGTCAAATGCAGAAAATTGAGGAAATGCGGCTGAATAATCTGATTATGTGGACGATTGTGGGTAACACAGCCCCCTTAGGGCGAACGCGAGTTACGTCAGACGATGCGCTGGGGGAGGAGAAGCACCCAGAGACGGATAGGGGGCAGAGGAGACTGAATAGACGCCTTACCAAAATAAAGTTCTCGCTCCTCTCTGGACGGGCGGAGGATGCTGCCGTTTGTGCAGGTGTGGTGCTGCTTGTCTCTGCATTCGCTGTTGCCTCGGGTTGCGCCATTTTCAGGAAGGGTGGGGAGCCTCTGTACACTACCGATCCGTCTCGCTCATTCATGCAATCCAACCAGAATTCTTTCAAACTTCAGGCATGCCGCACGCAACACGGCGCTGGAGGGACAGCATGCAGCAGCTGCAGCAGCAGCAGCGGCAGCGGCAGCGGCAGCAACAAGAGGGCGTGCTCCTGTTCTATGGTATCAACATATACTGAGGTCTCTGTAGCCTCCAGAACTACTATCTACAATTAATATAGGTTACTGCACTACATAAGAGAATGAGGGCAAAGATAGACCAGAGGGAGAGAAAGGGAGACTCCATGAGCGCGTCTTTTGGGGGGCAAACGACCCGATACGCCGCATTCTTCCTGAGCAAGTCCTCCTGCTGGTGGGAAGGGGCACGTGCACGCAACTCCCTCCTCCCATGCGTGTCATGAAGCTACACCATACGCTTGATAAAGCATGTAAAAGTGAACCAGCTAACACTGCTACGGCGGAGATGCCTAACCAGGGCACTCTCCTCAGCCCTAGACACGTATTCAAGAAGAGCAAAGTTGCGTTCTCCTCCCCCGTCTACGTTTTGCTCTCGCCACCCAATGGCTTGTTCTGTTTTCAGTCACCATGGATATGGCAGTTTAAAACTCGATATTTATTTCCTGTAGTGCCGTGTGCTGAATGGAGGCTGAGCGAAAGGGCTCTCAGGACGTCGTGCACTGCTCTCGCTGCTCCCCGCACCGAATCGGGGTCTTTAGAAAAGGCGCCGAGTATTTCAACAGGTGTGCCAGATTTATCCCACAAATTTACAGATCGTGAATTCTGAGTTTAAGGCGTAAATGTGGCACAACCACCGAGCAAAGCGTGGGGGCTGACGGCGGGGGGCGGGAGGCAGGAAGTATAAAAGGAACGGTGTCGCAGGTTGCACTGCTACTTGAATGCTCGCCCGTGTGAAGGCCCATCAGTGCACAGGGAGCCCGTAGGAACCGATTACAATACTCCTTTGCAAAAAGGCTCAGTGTGCTCATGAGTCGTGGCCGTGTGAGCTCTGTGTGGCCTAAAGCTTCCCTTGGGGTCGGCGGAAACACTGCAACTCTTGAACGCTGCGCATTCATGGCAGGCGATAAGGTCGCACAGCTGTGCACGAGACCTTGATGAACAGAGTGACGTTTTTTGGTGTGAAGGGCGAGCCGCAGCTGCAAAGGAATAAAATCAGCTGGTTCGATGTCGAGCTAGTGGCTAGCGCTCGTGCGGCGAGGAGGCTGTGGGCCTCCAGATTGTACTAAAATTCGGGAGGGTCAGGAAGTTCCACCTCGAAACAGCTCTTCTGTCCTCTTAGTTCACATCGCTCCATGAGGCTGCCTCCGGCATAAGGCTAGACACATTGAGCTAGGCTGTGCACCGTTGCACGGTGTGAGCACTGCAAGCCTTCCCTCCCAGAGGCGCCAAGCAGCTTGGCGAGCAAGCACGTGACACCGGTGCTGGAGTAGGAACCTGATAGGGTCCAATCTGTGCAACAAGCAGAAAACATAACAGTCCGGATACCACAATCGCATACAAGGCATGAGCGGAGGTTGAGCTGTTTGCACCCTCGCGGTGATGCCTCCCCCGGGGCTGCAGTCCTGCAAGGAAAGGGGGAGGTGGCCTGTTTGGAACTGATGGATGTCAGCTTACCTTGAAGTTTTGCATAGCATTTATTAGCTGAGGGGCCTTCTACGGAGGCTCACGGGGGCGTGTGGCAGTAACTCTGGGGTAGACCAATTTCCATTTTGGCGCTGTATGCAACATTAGCTATATGTACAGTGAATACTTGACCGATTCTCGGTTAGATGCCTGCGAGTCTTCCGGTGGCATACATAAAAGCAGGCCTTCATAGGTGTACTGTGAAACTGCCCCCGCCTTGCAGCAAACAAACTAGCATCCCCACTAAGCTCTATCTTGGCGGGATTCATCAAATATTCAGCGAAATCTCCTGCAGTAGTGAGTTTTCGTGTAACAAACTGCGGAAGCTGTTTTCGCACGTGTAACTACAATCGTCATACCACAAAGCATGTTATGGAAAGCAGCGTAACGTATCGAGCCTTTGCCCTTCAAAGGAACCGCTCTCAGAGCAGAGGGGAAGGTGGCAGCCGGCATGCTAAATACAGAAGGGCAGATTCACAGATTCATCAGACTTGCTGCTGGGACCGAGATGCAGCCCTCTCGGAATTCATGAGCTCGGCAGCCCAAGGTGCGACGTAAATTCAGGCAAAGCATGCTTCGCCTTCGAATACAATAGACAATAAATACACATTCCGTGAAGGCATATGACATTTCCGAAGTAAGCATTCACGATCCGAGAGTATTTGTAATGTGCTGAAGCCCGAACCTGTAAGTCTGGGAAGGCCACAGGGAGACCCCATCTCACCAGCGCTCGGCTTCACAGCCACTCGATATCCCCAAAAGGGAGTGTATATGGGGCACAAACGCCTGCTAAAGTGTATGAGCGAAGGCTGCCTAATCTGTGGCGAGGCTAGGGAGTTCCAGTACTGAAGGGATTCCAAGAGCAGCGAGGCCTACTAGCCACGTGATATGGCTTGAAAGGCTTTGGAGGCACCAATCCAACAGTGTTAGGTCGGTCCCTGTGGTAAAATGCATCTATACAAAGACGAAATGCTGCTCGCAAGAAAAAACCGTTTAGTGCACGCCGCCTTCAAGAGGAACAAGTGCGTGTCTCGACCGCGGTTTGTGTCGAGCGAAGGCACTCGGCGTTTACTCAGACGCTGCAGCAGAGCGTAATCCCACAGAGAGCGGCTTTTCTCTTTGTATAACAAAGAAGAAAACAGAAGCGCAAAGAGAGATCCAAGCTTATTCTTGAACGGTTACTTTTTCCTTCGTCTCCTTAGTTCCCCCTGTATGTACTTCTTCGTCTCCCAGTTTACAAGCTGCCGTCCATGCAGCAGTACATGTGTATAGATGCAGGAAGCATGCCTTTTTTAGCAATCCATCTACCTGTATATTGGCGCTATTTGTGCGCACACGGGTGGTGCGTGTACACCAGTGCAGACACATCAGGGAAGGTAAGGGCTTCTGTCGAGATACACGTTGGGTGTTCGCGTGGGAATAACACGCAAAAATGCGTTTTAAACCGATTAAAGGCCCCGTAACCGTGGCGTAGGCAGGCGCAGCTTGCAGAAGTGTTCCCGAACTAATGTAAATGTGTTTCTCTACTGCCTTCTGATGAATGGAACGGCAAGGACAGATCAACACACTCGTAAGCAGTTGCAGGAAGCAGTGCCCTCGCAGTCACAGGCAGACATTCAGATATATCCATAAAATTTTCTTTTTCTATCTCCTTTTGGGAGACAAAAAACAGAGAGGCTCCTTGTCGTTGAGGCGCAGATTCCTCTACAGGATATGTAGACCTCCAGTGGGCTTCTTGCTCTCTTACGTCCAAAGGGGTACTGCTGCAGCTACAAAACGACGTTCTAGTGTCTTATGCCTTATTGAGCACAGCAAGCGCTGCAGATGCGCCTGATCCTTCTCTCCTTGTTGTTGTCGGGTGCGGTTGCTTTATGTGTGCACTGCGGAAGAGGTAATGCTTCTCCAGATTCCGATGGATGTTTATGTATGTGTTTGAAATCATGAATAGAAGATTCTACTATCATAAATGCATGGATTCGCTAGGAGGTGTTAGCTTCAAAGATAGATACCTGCATCTATGCATTGAGATTTACACTGAGGGACACGCACAGTGGCGATTGCGCAACATGGGGCTTCTGCAACTGCTCTGCAGGTGGAATTCTCTGTAGAGAGGTTTTGTGTGTGCACTTGATGCTCGGGGTTGAGATATTTTCCTGAATTTATGCTGAGTAGTGTTGCCGAGACACCCGCATTGGGAGACCCCCTGTATACAATGGGCTTTCGCACCATGTTCTAGTTCTCGAAGTGCAGTGCCTATACACCGTGTGTAGACACTTCGTAAGCCGATACTTCATGTATTGAAGAAGGACGCGTGCTCAGGCCATGTGTATAGCGTCCTTCCTCAAAGGTGTTCGTAGGGAGGTCTTGAACTTTTAGACTCAATGCAACTTTGGAAAAAATACCAAAGTCGTTCCCCCCCATCCTGCCTTTCCCTGCCGCACACCTCAAAGCTTTTCCATATGACGAGATAGGGGCAGCTAGGACGCGGATATTTACATTCTCTTTGCACTTTGGGCATTCACAGATACTTACGCAGAGCACGTAGTGTACTCGCACACAACACTGCGTCTTCGTTTTATTTCTTGCAGCAGGAAGTGGCGCCAGCCCGAAACAAGCATGAAAAAACCAAGTCCTCTAAGAATCAGCTCTCGTCAAATTTAAATAACGGGTTGCAGAACGCGCCTGCATGTAGCTTCTTAGCCCGCTACGATAAGGCATTCGTGACTCGGCTGAGGAGCCGACTCAGCTAGCAAAACTTGTCTACTGAGCTGGTTGCTCTTTAATCCTGTGCTCTCCTCCCTCTGACGACCTTCTGCTTTGCGGCACACCGTGTTTCTCAGCCTTACAGAAAAGCTGAATGGACACGCTTGGCTCCCTCTACGCGAAAACTGCACTAATGCACTCCTGCAGCCCTACTGGCGACATGACTCCTACCGCCGCCGTGAGGGTTCAAGTGCCGTGTAGTGCAATTACAGCTGTAGAAGCTGCTTGCATGCGGCACCCTCCCCTCTACATCGAGGCATGCCTCATAAGGATCCAACACGAACGTCGCATTGCTTGCCGGAGACGGGCGACTTAAGCGTCGGAGAGCGCTGCTACGCTTTACGGGGGGATGGTGGTGCCTTGTTGCCCGTTCCTCCCCGTTCGGCTCTTCCTTTTTCCCCTCCTCTCCATCAAGGCAACCGGCTCACTTATTCAAAAGGAGAGAAGAGGCTTGCCCCTAGGGGCAAGCCTCTTCTTCTCCGGGAAGCGAGGCAGCCACAAGACAAATGTTGTTTATACATATATATACATACATGTATATATATATAGTAGGTACATGTGCAGCTGTAAGGGGCAAGTTAGGAGACGGCCTCCTGGGGGGTTCCCCCCGCGAGGCTCATGGAAAGGCAAGCTACACGATCTACCGCCGCTGCAAAGAAGCCGTCTCATACTCTCCACTCTCAGTGCGACCGTGTGCGCATGCATTTCGGAGGACAGAAAGCCCCCTCCCCCCTTCCCCCGTCTAAAGGATTCAGCAGCAACCCGCAGCTGGCGGAACTTCAACATTAAACTATTGCTGCTCCTCCCGATAAAAGACTCCCGGAAGCCACTACAGGCCCGCAGATATTGCTAAGGCCAAGGGGGAGAGAGTTTCTTCCAGTGAGTGAGTGAGCTCGCTCACCCACTCACACCCTTATCTTGCTCTCCATTTGCAAAGCGGGTTGCACAGCACCAGGCAGGGCTTGCTGCCTTTGCTGCTGGACGCTTTCCTGCGCAGCTTCTCGCGGCCCAAGCAGCCGAGACCCTTCAGTGTATCTACAGCCCAGATATATATATATATATATCCAGCGCAGTGCGACAGCGGCACGCGAGGCGCACCCACACGCAGAGGAGAAGACTCCTCACAAGCAGCAGCAGCAGCAGGAGTGTCAGGAATTGGCAACTTCTTAGTTTCTTCACGATGCGAATTTATGAGCCATCAAGAGAGGAACCGTCGTATCTCTTGTTTGGCGAAGTCTCCGCCTTACTTACTTGGCGCTCATGCCCGCGAGAGCCGCCGATATTTTTGCGGCTGCGGCTTTAGCGGCTTCTGCTGCAGCAATGACGCTAGCTGGCAGCCGCGATTGCTGCTGCTGCTGGTGAGACTGCTGCTGCTGCCCCAACACAGACGCTTCCACCTGGGCAGCCGCTGCTGCCGCCTGTTGCCGAGCAGCTTCTGCTGCAGCGTCGCCCTTTCGGCGCGCAGCCAGCGCTGCTGCAGCCAGTGCAGCAGCAGCGGCGGCAGCAGCAGCAGCAGCTGGCGACATGGAAGGCCGGCCGCCCCCCGCAGCTGCTGCTGCAGCCCCCGGTGTATTCGCAGGGGCCCCCTCCTGCGGCTGCATGCGAATCCCTGCACCGCTTCCCCCCCCCCCTGCCGGAGGGGGAGGGATCGGGGGAGGAGGGGGAACATTTGGTCCTGAGCTCCACGAGTTGCTCGTGGTGTTGTTCATCCCCCCAATGGCGGCTGCTGCTTCCCTCGCCATCGCAATTTGTTGCTGCAGCTTGCTCTGGCCTTCGTGAATCATTCCGGGGGGGGGGGGCCTCGGGGGCTTGAGGATCTGCGGAGTGCCATGCGCAGGCGAGCTGGGATTTCTCATGCTGCCTCCAAGCGGCTGCTGCTGGTGCTGGTGCTGCTGATGGTGCTGGTGGGGTTGTTGTTGCTGATGGTGGGGTTGTTGTTGTTGATGGTGGGGTTGCTGCTGCATGCCTGTACCCAGCAACTTCATGCCACCCATAGGAGGCGGGTGTGGAGGGCCGCCGCCCCCGCCTTCCTCTCCTTCGTGCTGCTGCTGCTGCGGAGGGGGGGGGTGGTGGGGGTGCGGCTGCATTTCGTGGCCGTGCGGGGGGGCCCCAGGGGGCCCCACAAAGTATGCATGCGGCCCGTCCATTCCCGCCATGGGGGGCCCCGCGAATCCGGGGGAAAAGGCAGCAGCGGCGTTCCCCGCGCCCCCCATGAAGAAACCTGCCCCTGGCTGCATCATGGGGGCCCCTGGCTGCATCATCAGGGGGGCCCCATGGGGCCCCAAGGGGGGCCCCATGCCATGGGGCATGCAACCCCCCATCGGGAAGAACTGGGGAGGAGCCCCCATCATCCCCATGCCCATGGGGGGGGCCCACGGGCTGCCGTGAGGGCCCCCCCCCCACGGGGAGACGGCAGCGGCAGCAGCGGGGGAAGGAACGGAGGCGGCAGCAGCGGGCAAGGGGGTCGTACCCCCATGCTGCTGCTTCTTCTGTTGAGCTGCTGCGTAGGCTGCAGCCGCTGCTTCGATACTGTCGGGAGGAGGGGGGGCCTCCTCCTCCGTCGGTGGTGCAAGCTTCGCCTCTGCACCGGCAGCGGGGGGGGGCCTCTCGGTCGGAGCATTTCCAGCAGACGCTGCATTCGCAGCACTCTCCGTGCTGACACGACCACCACTTGCTGCAGGGCTTGCTTCCGAGGCTTTCGCAGCCTCCGCTGCTGCTGCACCTGCTGCAGCAGGTGCAGCAGCAGCGGCAGCAGCGCCTTCGGCCGCTAGAGTGTCCTTTGCCGGTGCTGCTGCTGCTGGTGCTGCTGCTGCTGCACCATCAGCAGCGGCAGAAGGCGTGCGAGATGCACCTGCTGCTGCTGCTGCTTCTATTCCCGCCAGGGTTACTATACACGTTGCTGCAGATGCTGCTGCTGCCCCCGCTGCAGGCTCCGGGGGGGGAGGGGCCCCTGCTGCTCCGGTGAGCGGAGTGCTCAGGGGGGGGCCTCCTGCCACGGGGCTGAGCGGAAGGGGGGACGGTCTTGCCGCGGCGAGCAGCAGAGGAGGCCCCCTAGAGGCCCCGAAAGGGGCCCCCATGGGGAAGAAGGGCGCTGGGTACCCGAGGACTGGAGGCGCCCCGCCGGGGGCCCCGGGGGGCCCCCCGACGAGTATCCTGCCTCGGGGGGGGGCCCCCGGGGAGGGTGTTGCGAGGAGGGGGCCCCCCGGGATAAGCGGAGGCGCAGCAGCAGCAGCAGCGGCCGCTGCTGCTGCTGCTGCGCCTGCAGGCGCGCCTCCTGCCGGTTGGTGGGGCCCCACGGGGGGCCCCCCTCCGGCGACGTTTAGATGCTCCTCGCTGTGGCAGAAAGTGCATGAGAGTCCGTCTTTAGGGCATGTGCCAGTGAGAAAGAGGGCACACGGCCTGCAGACGCCTCGCGCATGCAAAACAACTGAGAAATGGCGCTCCTTATCAGCTTTATCGCCGTGCGAGGGGTGGTGACAGTAACAGCAGCTCTCCCCTGGGCACCCCGGCTCCCCGCTGTGCGTGGGCGCGCAGGGGAGACACTGCGACTGCGCATGCAGCAGCGTCAAGAAGTACTTCGGAGAGTCTTTCACGCTGTGCTGCTCATGGTGGCAATGCGAGCAAAACTCCCTGGAAGGGCACCCAAGCCCAGATGAGAAAAAAGAAAGACAAGGACGGCAAGTCTCCTTCTCGTGCTGGTTCTGCACTTCCTTCTGAAGCGCCTCGGCTGCTTGGCGCATTGTTTCTTGCTGCACACCCCCACAAGAGACACACGCTATCGCGCCAACAGGTATGAACACACACTCTGCATATTTACAAGCAAGCCCGTGGTCTGTGCAATACACATATACCTCTTTATGTCTCTATTTACACACACACAAAAGACACGGCGCCACAGATATACACACACACACACATATATATATAGTTATATAGCTATATATGTGTATTGTTATCAATACAGGTATATAGTTATACATGTGTATTGTTATATATGTACAGTTATATGCATGTATACAGTTATACAGATAAAAATCACTCCAAATACTAGACGTAGATCAGTTATTTCTAGAAGTCCTTTTATGCGAGCACTCGTTGAAGCGAAATTCGAATAGGGATGTTGCCCCCTTCCCCTCTCCGCCTTCGCAAGCCGAAAACTGCGTCGAGGGGCCCCGTGCGTGACGTACAATTTCTGGTGTTAAGTGGGAAGAATGGTGGCATTGCATGCAATTCTGCTCGGGAAGACACCTTTTGCCAGCAGTGAGGGCCTTGCAGGCCGTACAAATGCCCTTTTCGTGTTTGCGAACAACCCATCGGTGAGCTTCCGCTAGATGAGGGTTGAGAAAAACAATTTCCTGCGCCAGACACGCGTGCACATGACAAAATAGCAGCAGCCGCCCCACAGAAGCATGATACATACACACACACACACACACACATTCGAGAGAGACAGAGAGAGAACTGCAAGTCAGGTAATTGACCACAAGAGTGCGTCTAATGCTCGTTCCCCTGTACGACTGCTGCTGCACGCGAGAAGTCGCGTGGCTTGCTTAGACAAGCCGAGCGACTTCTCGCGTGCAGCAGCAGTCATACCCTCTCTCGCCCCCTCTTTCCGCTCCCCCTTCTCGCGTGGAATAAAAAAGCAACGTTGCTTCTGCTGTCTAGACGCGCCTACCCCTTCTTCGCCAACGAGTCCAAGCTTAGGCTTTTCCGCGATAAGCGGAGCGACTGCCGAAAGCTTCGCGCTTTCCCCCCCCTCCGCTTCCTCTGGCTCAGCTTCTGGCTGTAGCAAGTCAATGGCCTAAGGAAACATCGACACAAGAAGAGACAGAGTCGGCAAGTCGGCGATTTCGAGCGAAATTTCGGCTCGACAAAATCGCGCAGTCCTCACTAGATGAAGAGAGTGCAGGAGAAGCGAGGCATTCTGCATTCTTTCGGCTCGGCGACTGCGCCTCTCAGAGAAACACACGCGTGTCTTTTTTCAAAAGAAAAGACTTAATATCTACGTCTGCAGCTGCATGCTGCATAGCAGTTCGCCCACCGCATCGACACACACGCCTCTCCCATCCCCCCCTTCTCGGCAATTCCTGCGCAGAGAGGAGACTCTTTGCCAAGAAAAAGAGCTCTCCTCCCCCCTCCGATTCGCAAGCCTCACCAGCGGTGTCTTCATGGTCTTTGGCATTTGTGAGCGATGATCCTCGTGGTGACATTGCAAACAAATCTGCCCCTTAGCCTCCGCCTTGCAGACTGCGTCAGCAGCAAAAAAGGCCTTGCAGGGTTGACACCACCCCTTGCGATGACGTTCCAGCGCATACTGCAGCTGCTGCTCGCGAGCTTCTTGTCGCCCCTTCTGCATGAAACACAACGCCACACATTGCACTACACTAGATACACGTAAAGGGGGCGAAAGATGTAACAAAAACACACATGCACATCCACCCCATAGAGATCGACTCCAGCTCGTCATCAGGAGAACAACTCCTGGCCGCAGTGGGAAGAACGCCGTAGCTTTCCTCCAGAGACAGCCACTTTCTTCCTCTCTCTTTCGCTCTCTAGCCCTCTGTCTCTCTCTCTTCATCCCCCTTCCTTTCCTCAAATTCACGAAAAAAAATTTCCGAAATACGAGACGGCAGGAGAGGCACACCACCACACGCCCAGCGCGCACGCAGGTGACACCCCCGTTTTCTCTGTCTGTCTGTTTATATGTTTGTTTGTCTACATGTCTGTTTGTTAATATGTCTGTCTGTTTATATGTCTGTTTGTCTACATGTCTGTTTGTTAATATGTCTGTCTGTTTATATGTTTGTTTGTCTACATGTCTGTCTGTTCGTCTATCTGTCTACATATCTGTCTATCTATCTGTTTGTCCATCCGTCTGTCAGTCTCTCTCTATCGATCGATCTATCTATCCTTACCCTTTCTTTTCTCGCAATTTGTGCCTGCTTCTGAGAGGCCGTCGCTTCTGCCGAATGATCTGGATGGTGGCAGAAGGAGCAGCGAAGCCCCTTGTTGCAACTGCCGCTCAAGTGATCAGCACAAGGGAGACATGTTCCTGCCCTGTGTTGTCTCTGAACCTGCTGCTGCAGCGTAGTAGGTTCTGCTGAGTCTTCCGTCTCTGCTTCTGGAGTGCCCTCCTGCTGCTGCTGCTGTGAGGCTTCCTGCTTCGACGCTGCCGCGGAGTCTGTGACAGAGAAAGAGACAGTGTCTGCGGCATGTTCGCCATCTTTTTGCTGCTGAGAGGCCTCCTGCTCCTGCTCCCCTGCCTCTGCCTTGTTGCCTTCGACCTTCGCTTCCGAAGCAGCAGCGCTGCTGCTCTCTGCGCTCTGCTGCTCGCCAAGGAGGAGTGCCTCTGCATCCGCCTCTACCATCTGCAGCCGCAGCAGGAGATGTCGACAGAAAAAATGAGGGAAGTCCATAAGAGGCCTGCCTTCAGGCTGCACCCACCCGATTACGCGCAAAGAGAAGATAAGGAGAAGAGAGAAGACGGAGAGAGAGAGTGATGTACATACGGAGAAGCGAGAGAAATAAAGACTGGGAGAGAAGAGCGAAGCGAGAGATAAAGAAAGAAAGCGAGAGAAATAAAGACTGGGAGCGAAGCGAGAGAAATAAAGACTGGGAGAGAAGAGCGAAGCGAGAGATAAAGAAAGAGAGCGAGAGAAATAAAGACTGGGAGCGAAGCGAGAGATAAAGAAGGACAGAGAGCGAGAGAAATAAAGACTGAGAGAGAAGCGAGAGATGAAGAGAGACAGGGAAAGATACAAAGAAGGACAGAGAGAGATGAAAAAGAAAGACAGAGCGAGACAAAGAAGACTGAGACAGATATTAAGAAAGACGGCGAGATCACGCGAGGACGCATAAGGGAATGTGCCCGTCTTCATATATACCGAAAGCAGCAAAAGATAACAACAGAGCTTGCCTCTTTAGGTCGGTAAAACATCGGATCGTGCTCGGCATGATGACAGTATGAACAAGTAGGCCCCCTGAAGCACTCAAGCCCTCGAACGACTTGTGGGCAAGGCTTGCAGTGCCCTTTCCGATGAGCGTCTTGTTGTCGCTCCCCCGCAGTAGCGCCTCTCGAGGCTCCTTGGCCTCCTCCGCGGCGGTGAGTGCTGCCCACGCCAGCGCCTCCGCTGATATCCGAAGGTGTCAGCGAACGAGAAGATTCCCGTGATCTTGAGCGGCTGTCGTCGAGGTCTCCTCCCCCCTGTACGCCCGAACGGAGCGAAGCAAATGGCAAGAGGAAAGAGCTCAGAGAACGGCGGCTCCGAAAAGAAAGCGCAGAGAGAGACACGTGCCAGAGACGGATGCCACGCATGCATGCAAAAGTGGACATGTAAAAATGATGCAAATTGAGCTTCCAAGAGTGGACATGTACGTTGAACATGCAAAAGTGGAAATGTAAAACTGAAGTAAATTGAACTTGCAAATTGGACATGCAAAAGTGGACACCTGCGACTTCGGAAAGTGCAATTTCGGGGTTAGAGCGCCGCTTTGTAGACGCGGCCGTGGAAAGTCGAACAGCGCTCAGCGCAAGTTTTTTCTCATACTGCCCGAGAGCCCTTCGTTGTGTCTGCGGTTTGGCGAGAAGATTTTCGAGGTGCATACATCCATGCATACACGCATGCACGGGTGTGTGTAGGGAGGAGGACCATAGGGAAGCGAACGAAAATGACATACATAAGCACACAAAAATAAACATGCATAAATAAACACACGTACATTCACAAGTAAACACACATACAAACATGAATAAACACACAAACATACATACAAACACACATTTCCACCCATGCTCATGACGAGAACCGCATGCGTTGAATTTTGAGGAGAGGCCCTGCGGCCGGGCGGTCGTCCAGCGCGCTGTCTCGACAGCTGCGTGGCGCAATCCACATGGCCGTTCACGGATGCTGAACTGCGGCGAGTTTTTGCATTAAAGCTGTCTGAGAGGGATTTTTCGCGCTTCAAAGATGCATTTATTTCAGACTAAATGAGTGAGTTGCGTCGTATCCCTCCGCTGCTGGCTGGCGCAGGCGTAGGGAAAGATGTCTGATTTCCGCTCACTCTGCGAGGTCCTGCCCCCGATCTCCGGTAACCTCTTCTATCGCCACGATCTGCTCGCTCTCTAGCAGGAGGGTGGGAAAGGTTCGCGTGTTGTTGTCTCGGAGGAGATCGCGAATAGGAATGCCGTCTTGGGGGCCCCCCTCCGCCCCGCCTGCCGCCACCCCCCCCCGAAGGGGAACGCGAGCGCGAGCTGTCTCGCCAGGGCCTCCTGCTGCGGCTGTTCCCGCCGGGGGGGGGCCCCCCGGCACGGGCTGCTGCCCACCACGCTCCTCCTCCTGAAGTAGAAACTGCACTGCGGTGACTGCCGCCGAATCTCCCCGGAGAGCGCGAGCCACTTCGACCCCGACGACGGGGAGAGGGGCTCCTAGATCTTGCATGCGGCCCTCCCCCTCCCCCAATCCTGCTACTCCTGCTGCTTGCCGCCGGATTCGGATCATCAGGGTGCACCAGAAACACGTCGATGCGGCTGCTCCGCAGGGCCCTTCGATGCAGGCGAAACTGCGCCGACTCCGCCTGCTCGCGACTATGCAACCCCACAAATGCCCGCTGTTGTTGCTGCTCTTGCTGCTGCTGCTCTTGCTGCTGATCGTCGCTCTGCTGCCCCTGCTGTTGCTGGGAAGGAGAAGGAGAAGAAGAAGGCAGAACAACCTGCTCGGGGATCACTCTGAATCCAGAGTCTCTTAGCCAATCCATGATTTCTCCTTTTGAGACGTTCGCAGGGAGGCCCTCCAGACGGACCCCCCACGATCCGAAGGAACGGTGGTTGTGGGGGTGGAGAGGCCCCCCCCCCCCCCTCCTCTGCGATCCCCTCCCGCCCTTGAGCCTCCCCAAGGGGCCCCCCCACTCCACGGAGCCGCTCGGGGCTGTGGCTTGTCTTTCCCGCCGTCGTACCGGAAGCGTTCTCTGCTGCTGCTGCTGCGTCGAGGGGGTGCAACGGGAAAATCAGCAGCCGCGTCGGCTACTGCCCCGCCTCTGTGGTGCGTGCCCCTCGGTGAAGTAGGGGGGGGCCCCCTCGAGGGGCCCCTCGAGGGGCCCCTGCCACGCCGAGCGGAGAGGCTGCGGCTGTAACTCCTGCTGAGACGGGGGGAAGGAGAACGGGGGGCCTCGCGGCTACACCACCGCCCTCGCTGCTGCTGCTGCTGCTGCTGCTGCTGCTGCTGCTGCTGCTGCTGCTGACGGTGATGATGGTGCGACGCAGAAGGACTTACCCGAAGCTCCCCCTCCTCTGTAGCTCCGCCTCCAGAACGGAAGCTCTTGCCGCTGTGAATCGGCTGTGTGGAGCCGGTGGGTGGGGGGCCCCCTCGGACCCCTCCTTCTCGCTCGCGATCTTCCTGCACCCCGTCACTGCCTTCGCTGTCTCTGCGTCGCATGCGTTTGCTGATGCTCTCTGTGGCTGCAGCCTCCGCTCCGTTTGAGGCCTCTGGGGAGGCGGCAGCGCCGTCTCGTTTGTGCCGCTTGCCGCCGTCTGAGGCTCCCCGAGAGGGGGAATCTGCGACTCTCATCCCTGCCGCTTTTCTGGTGTTGACGTGCTGCTGCTCCTCCTCCTCGAAGTGCGGCTGCTGGGCAGAAAGAGTGCTCGCTGTGCCGCGTTGCCGCGGGAGAAAGGCAAAATAGGGTATCGGGCATGCAGCGGCAACGGCTGCGGCTGCTGCTGCACGGCTGCGGCTGCTAGTGCTGCTAGTGGCGCTGCGTCTCTCTTTCAGAGAGGCAAAAAAACAAATTGTAATCTCCTCTCCACCTTGGAGGCACACAAACAGTCTTGCGGGTGCCGGCGCTGGTGTTGCTGCTGCAGCGGAGTGTACGTACAGCAAGAGGTGCGCATACCACACCGGGGCTGGAAGTTGGGGGGAAGAGGCTGCTGCTGCTGCTGCTGCTGCGGCAGCTGCTGCTCCTGCTGCGGCTGCGGCTGCTCCTGCCCCTCCTATGCGCTGGCGACACGGAGGAAAAGAGGAGCAAAGGCGGACTCCAGACAAAGAAATAAAGAAGAGAGAGTCGCACACGCCAAAAAGAAGGGAAAATTACACACCTTCGCCGATGCTACTACAGCCGCAGCTGCTGCTGCCACGAGAGAGCAGCAGCAGCAGCAGCAGCAGCAGCAGCAGTCCGCGTACACCCGAGGAGGCGCCCGCCCCCCTGCTGCTGCACGCCACGATAATCTGCGAGCTTCCTTCGACTAAAAAGCCTTATTCGTCGCACCCAAAGGTATTTGTGAACGAATGGAGGCTGTCTTCCTGTTTGATAGCCAAAAGATCGCTGAAGAAGAGCGCTATGCTGGCTATCGGAACTAAGGAGCCGATGCTGCTACCCCCCCAGGCTTCCAGCTGCAGCAGTCCAAAAGCCTCTCAGAGTACACGGGCATGCAGCTTCCGAGTCGGTGGCTATGGGCGGGAGAAACAACACACACGCACACACACAACCCCCCCTCCTCTTCCCTTCCAGCCTCTAGTCCTTTTTGTGAAATCATGACGTGCTTCTTTTTGCTCTGCGGCATGCATGGTGGCGAGGTTTCGCATCCTTTGATTCTCCGTCTTCTCTTTGTTCCTTCTTTTGGATTCTGAGCGTGCGACTAGCTGTCTTCGATCCGTGGCGTCCCTCTTTTCGCCTTTGGAAGCTTCTCGCAGCTTCCGCATGCCGGAGGGGGTCGTACGGGGTGTTGTGCATGTGTACGTGTATGTGTATGTATGTATAGATATGTATATAGCTTCTAGCTTTAGGAAGGTGCAGATACACCCAACACCCCGTTTGCCCCTGCGGAGACGGCAGCAAAAGTAGCAACAACAACAACGAAGGAGGAAGACACATTTATTCACACAACCTTCCTGTTCGTAAGGATTCGCCGCTTGTGCCTCCCCAGGAAGGCGCCAGAAAGCAGTGTTGCTTGAGTACAGCCTCGTTTCGTTCAAAGAGATGACGATCGAGAGGAGGCTATCCGGGGGAAAGGGACGGAGGAGCTCGGAAGGTGGCAATAAGGTGAGTAGAGTGGAGTCTCTCTCTCTCTTTCTTCAAAGTGTATGCGCTGTACAATATGCAGCATACACTTTGTGCGCTGCTTCTTTTGCTGCAGCTTCTTTTACTGCTTCCTTTGCTGCAGCTTCTTTTACTGCTTCCTTTGCTGCTGCTTCTTTTGCTGCTTCTTTTGCTGCTTCTTTTGCTGCTTCTTTTGCAACTGCCATGAGTGCTGCAGTGTGTATGCGGTACCAAGATGTATGCTGAATGCTGCCGATACTTCGACTCTCTCTGTAGACTGATGGGAAAGAGTCGCTATTTTCGCACGCTGACGTCTATTTAGACGCGTGCTTTCCTCGGGTTTGTGGAATTTGCAGGGTACTGCTGCTGCTGCTGTTTTTTGTTTTCTTGTTGTTGCGTTTTGCTGCTCCTGCTACGACTAGGCACTTGGTGATGGCGCTGTCTGCAGCTGTGCATGTCGTGCTCTTGCTTCCATCGGCCTTCCCCTCTGCATGCAAATATAAATATAGAAGCGGCCTTCTGGGTGCGCTCTTGTTTCTAATGGGTGCCTTGCAGCGTCAGGCTACGCTTTTTTCATTTTTCAAGAAGACGGAAGACGCACTTCCACCTCCACAGCGGCAGTCCACCAAGACAGAGGGCTCCTTCTTGACAGGGGAGTCGACAGCAGGGGTATCAAGCTCACCAGCGAGATCAGCAGAAGTGGGGAAGCCTGCAACAGCTGCTCCAGTATCGCCAAATCGTCAGAAGGAGGATCTTCCCCCCAACAGCTTGTTAGCTGCCACAGCCTCCTCGAAGGAGCAGCGGGAGGATGAAGAGGGTGAGGAGCGGCAGCAGACGCGGGGTAGTCGACAGCAGCAGATGCAAGCAAGCGAGATGAAGTTGTTGAATCAGCAGCAGCAGCCGGAGAGGGTGTCGCGCGAAGCAGCAGATCAGCCTCTGAAGAGGCGGCTGTCCTCTACTGTAGGGTTGGATTGCGAAGAGGAGAGCCTCACGAAGAGAAAGAGGCTGCGGAAAGTAGCGCTGGATTCAGAAGAAGAAGAAGAAACAGCAGCAGAAGCAGCAGCTCAGCGACTTTCTAAGGGGGGTGGGGGGGCGCTCCTCCTGGCTCCTGAACCCATGGATGGAGAGGCGTCAAAAGTGAGCGAGGATAGAGGAGCTGAGGAGGAAGAAGAGGAGGAAGAAGAGGAAGACGAAGAAGAGATGGAAGACGAAGAAGAGACGGAAGACGAAGAAGAGATGGAAGAAGAGAAGAAAAAAGGGGAGAAAAAAGAGAAGAAGAAGCTTGTGGCTCCCGATTTGGAGTCACTTGAGTTTAACACGCCTGCAGCAGCAGCAGCAGCAGCAGCTGCTGCTGCTGCTGCAATCTCAGCCTCATCGGCAGCAGATCTACGAGGCCTCCCATTGGGGATGCGCCGTTTGAGCCGTTCTTCTTCTGCATGCAGCAGCAGCAGCAGCAGCAGCAGCACTAACACGAGCACTTCTGCCGGATCAGGAGGAGGGGCGAGGCGTACAGACAGTGCAGGAGGAAGGGAAGAAGGGGGTACTACTTTGGGGGGGGTGTCTCTGCGCGGCATTTTTTACGACGTGGCTGCCCGCACGAGCAGCCTTTATTTGCGGCGCTACATCGACGACTTTGAGCTGTACAGCGGATCCTTTTCCTTCCCGCCTTGGTTGCACCCCGCGTCTCTGAGAGACGCGCAAGGCCGTTTGGCATGCAAGGATGTCGAGTACGCGCCACAGACGTTGTGGGTGCCTCCGCCGAATCACGCTCTGGCTCGCGAGCATCGCGCGCCGCACTACACGCCTGGAATGCAGCAGTACTGGGAAATCAAGAAGCAGCACCACGACAAAGTCGTGCTGTTCAAGATGGGTCGCTTTTACGAGTTGTTCTACGCGGATGCTTGCATAGGTCATGGCGTTTGCGATCTCAAGTGGATGGGGAGCACGGAAAAGCCTCACTGCGGCTTCCCCGAGCAGTCCTTGCAGCACCACGTGAGGGCGCTTGTCAACGCAGGCTTCAAGGTAGTCGTCGTGGAGCAGACGGAGACTCCCAAGGAGTTGGAGCGCAGACGGGTGCAGGAGCAAACCAGAGAAAAGGCCGTCAAGAGGGAGGCTTGCGAAGTTTTTACGGCCGGATCTATTCCTCACCCCGAGATGCTCGAGGCGGAGGCGAGGCTGCTGCTTGTGCTTGCGGCGTCTACGGAGACATCTGACCTCCCGCAGGAAGACGCAGCTGCTGGCTGCGGCGTGCGGCGAGAAGAAGCGGAAAAAAAGGAGAAAGGGGAGGCAGAGGAGGACAGAACGCACCCGCATGCCTTCGGCGCTGCGCTGATCGACGTCACGACCAACAAGGTGTATCTGGAGACAGCGAGAGACAGCCCTTGCTGGAACGCTCTAAGAGGCCTCTTAAGCCGCTCGCAGCCTGTCGAAGTGGTGTACAGTGCAGCGCGAACTCCCCCAGCTGTAGTGGCGCTCCTCAAGCGACTCCCGTGCCTCCCGCAGCTTTCGCCGCTCGCAGACTTCCCACACACCTTGGAAGCCATGCAGCTCCTCGATGCGCATGTGCGCAGGCGTCGCAGCGTCAGCAGCAGCAGCCGCTGCTGCAGTGACAACAACAACAATAATAGCAGCAGCGAAAACGGAGGCGAAACTGCGCCCTTTGCGGCTATGCCCACCGAAGACGATGCTGGCATTGCTTTCTGCCTGGACGCTTGCGAGCGAAATCCCTGCCTGCTGCGCGCAGTCGGCGCAGTGTGCGTGTATCTAAAGCAGCTGCTGCTGCACACGAAGGTTCTGCCAGTCCTGCAGTTCGCGCCGCTCTCCGCCGACTCCTCCAAGCTGCTGTGTCTAGACGCCAAGGCGCTCACCCAGTTGGAAGTTCTCGCCAGTCAGGAGGGAGATCCTGCTCGCTCATTGTTGAGCTGTCTCGACAACACGGTGACGGCTGGAGGCAAGCGCCTCCTCAGGCGCTGGGTAGTGGCCCCACTGCGGTGTATAGACACTCTGAACTGCAGACTGGACGCTGTAACATGGCTCCTCCAGCGGGAGCAGCAACTCGAACGGCTGCGCAAGGCAGGCAGTGCTCTCCCCGACGTCGAGAGACTCTCGGCAAGGTGCCTCGCACAAAGCCAGCAGCAGCGGCGACAGGCTGTCTACTTCGACGACGTTCATCAGAAGCAGCTGAAGGCGTTTCTGGCACTTCTGGATTCTTTCAAAGCCATGGAGAGCCTCACAGCTACCCTCGTAGAGGCGCTCAAGCGGGAGAACGAGGCAGCAGCTGCAGCTGCTGCTGCTGCCGCTGCTGCGAAGGATGATGTCTGGCCGCAACGACTTTGGCAGCTCTGTGCTCCCAAAGACATGGGAGGCACCTTTCCGCGACTCAAGGAGGAGTGCGACAGGCTGAGAAATCTTGTCGTTGTCAGTGAGGACGGCGTTATCGCCCCTCGAAAGGTTCGTTGTCTTGCGTTGGAAACGCTGCATGCATGGACGCCATGACGTGAAGCCCCTTTCTTGCATGTGTCAGAAATTGCCCTTCTCTCTCGGAATATTTCCCTCCCCTTTCTCTTTCTTTAGTTTCCGCTTCCATAGAGTTGTACCGATTCTCCAGTTGCTGGTAATGGCGCTTTGCTACTGTCAAATGAACTTCTCGATATGTCGTGCTCTGCCCGCAGTGTTGCTGCAGTCCTTTGCGTCTTTCTCAAAGACTTTAACCTCGTAGTTTTTCTTTCTTCTCTTAATCTGTATGCATCGTCTTTCTCTCCGCGCCTCATTAAGAACATTATCAAGGACGTGTGTGATATATGATGTGTCTATGACGTATATGGTGTGTGGTTTCGATGTGTGTATGACGTATATGGTGTGTGGTTTCGATGTGTGTATGATATGTGTGTGTTTTATATGATGTATGATATATAGTGTCAGGTATATGATGCGGTACATCTGTGATATTTTATGATGTATGCCATATGTGTGATACGTGATGTATGATATACGTATGGGACCTTTGATGCGTGTGATATGTGCGTGTTATAGGGGGTGTGTGTGTTATAGGGTGTTTGCGATATTTAAAGTGTGTGCAATATGCGTCTACAGGGCTTAGTTGCGGAATATGATGCGGCCTCGGCGAAGATTGGGGATTGCAAGGCTAAGCTAGAAGACATTCTGAAAGAGCTGCAGAAAACAACAGGCCTAATGAGCGCTATGAAATACACGCACACGAAATTCAGGTGTGTCGGAGCCGTCGAGCAGCCTAGAGGGCCTTTTCTGGAGAGAGTATGTGTATATGTAAGTTTGCGTATCTAGATATAGATATATATATGCATATCTATATATGCGGAAATGTGAGCGCGCCTTGGTCAGATATGAAGTTGAATGTCCAGAAAATATCTCTAAAGAGACGCTTCGTCGCCTCGATGCAGACATTACTTCTACAAGAAAAGGTTTCATCCGGTATACGCATGCACAACAACTCTAGAGGCTCCCTTGAGTTTTCTTTATGAGGCCTTGTTTGCCTTTTTGCTAGGGATCTTGATTGTGGCACGCGCTTAAATTATATTCATGGTGATGTCACGTTCGAGGGGATGCTGTGCAGATTTCGTACACCCGATATTTGCGAACTTGCTGAAGAGCTAGACGGTAAGCGCAGATCTTGTATGAATTATAGCGTCTCGAAAACGACAGACTCGCTTATCGCTGCTTAAAATTGCCCTTCCCCCCTCGCACTTTCTGTTTCTGCAGAGGCGCTCGCTCTGCCAAAGGATTGCGCGTTTGTGTGCAGAACTAGAGCTGGCTTTGAAGGACTCTTTCTACCCTTTCCGTTCATTTTTAACGGGGGAGTTCTCAAGGGCCTTCCCAGACACTTTTGCAGTGTCTATTCAGTGCGTCAACGAGCTCGACGTCCTGCAGAGTCTCGCAACATTCGCCCGCACGCATGCTGGTGAGCCGATGGTGGTTGTGGTGGTGGTGGTGGTTGTTGTGGTGATGGTGGTGGTTGTGATGGTTGTTGTGATGGCGGGGATGCATCAAGTGCTGCATCGATTGCTGCAAGTTGCTACATCTGCGGTGCTCTGCAATTTGCTGTGGACGCCGGTAGGGGAAGGGGTGTCTGGTCTAAAGCTGCACCAGCCTCTCCCCCCTCCTTCCCCCCTCATCTTCATGAGTGTCAAGGTTTAGGCTTTTCGTCATGCATTGTTTATTATATTTATATATATTTATGCATTTATGTATGCTGCAGGGCCGGAGATGACGCGTCCGCGGCTAGTGCCGCCGTCAGAGCATGAGGAGCCTGTGCTGATTCTTCGAAATTCGAGGTTCGTGGTGGGAGGATTATGACGAGCTTAAATTATACTTGGCGAGAAACGCTTGATACATATATGCATATTCATACATGTATGTATCTATATACATATTCACACACATATATATACATATTCATACACACACACATGCACATATTCATACACACACATATATACATATGAGTACATGCGTGCCTGTGTGTGTGTAAAGACACCCGATGGCCGAGAAGCTTACCGAATGTTTTGTTCCAAACGACGTGATTCTCAATAGCAGCAGCGGCGGCAGCAGCAAGAGTGCGCGGACGCTGTTGATTACGGGTCCAAATATGGGCGGAAAGAGCACTTTGTTGCGGCAGACTGCCCTGTGCGTCATTTTAGCGCAGCTTGGCTCCTATGTTACAGGTTCGTCTTATCTCGGATGAAGACGCCGCGATGCCTTTGGCGCGGTATAGAGGCTGCGGAGGGGCTTGTCTAGCACGTGTGTAGTCTAGGAGGTGATGCATTGTGTGTGCCTTCTTTGTGCAGCGTCGGAGTGCGTCTTGACACCTGTTGACCGCATCTTTGCACGACTTGGAGCGGAAGACTTCATTCTACAGGGCAGCAGCACCTTCCTTGTCGAGCTTTCCGACGTTGCGGAATTGACAAAGCATGTGCGCTTTGCTTGCTGGTCATTCTGATGTGTGCTACGTGCGTGCTTTCTTGCTTCTCTGTTTGTATGTGTGTCTGTTTTTTTTCTCTCTGTCTATGTGTATCTGTCTGTCTGTGTATATGTATCTGTCTATGTGTATCTGTATCTGTCTGTCTCTATCTGTCTATGTGTGTCTGTATCTGTCTATGTGTGTCTGTATCTGTTCGATGCTTCCTTGGCAAAGACACCATCCCTTCCGCTCAGCGCTGGCTGCTTGTTTGCTTTTTCGAACCGCTTACACTGGGGAATTTTCACGCACTTTCTTAGTGTGTCTGGTTATGGCTTTGACTGCCTGGATGTTGGTCTGTCAGCGTGTCTGGGGGTTTTGGTGCTATATACAAATACACCTGTATATACATGTTCATGTGTGTATTATTAGGGAACTCGCTATTCGCTGGCACTGATAGACGAGCTGGGTAGAGGGACATCTACAAGTGACGGTCTCGCCATAGCCTTATCCACCGCTGAGTGGATGACAGATGCCCTCCAAGTGCGCCACTCGCCACACCCTTCCTTGTTTCATTCCAGAAATCGTCTCTCTTCTCCCCCTTTCCCCCTCCCCCCCACCTTCCCCTTCCCCTACGCCTCTTTCTCAGTGTGCGGCAGAGCGGCTTCCCTCCAGCCGCGCTGCAAGTTGCAACTCCTCCTGAAGGGGTCTGTGAAACCTTAGCCTTTCTGCCGCAGCACATGCTTCCACGCAAGTTCACATAGTGTAGCTTATGCGGTCTATCATGTCTGTTCACGCCCCAAAAGGCCATTTGGACGTGCTTCCAATGAATAAAAATACACATATAAACAAAAAATACATATATTATTATGTAAATAAATAATATGTATGCATATATATACGTATACTATGTAGATTTGCGTGTTATTGATGAATTCAACATGCATGGGTTTGTGTGTGTGTGTGTGTGTTGGCCCCTTTTTTTCGTCCATCTTGAATACAGTGCAGGACTCTGTTTGCGACGCATTACCACATGTTATGCTACGAGTTGAGGCAGCATCCTGGTGTATTGAATGTACACCTGGGGGCTTCAGTGGAGGGAGAAACGGTGTCCTTTCAGTATAAGGTTCGAGAGGGGATATGCCCGCATTCCCACGGTATCCTTGTCGCCAGGATAGCGGGTGTGCCTGAAAGCGTGCTCAGGTAAGCCTCATGATATCGCGTAAGGGGCCTTTTCGGTATGACGCGCCTCCCTCTCGAGGGGCAGGGGTTATTATTTTCTTTGAAACACGGACGGGCATGTGGAGGCTGCTGGCGAGGAAGGGAGGGCGGGAGGCAGTCTCCAGTTCTAAGGGCGTGCCTCTGCAGGCCATATTGTGTGTCGGTCTGTTTGTGCAGTTGCGCCGCCTCTCAGTCTCGCATGCTGCAGCAGCAGGCTGCCCAGCAGCAGCGGGATGCACGCATTCGCTCAGTTGCTGCTGGCATCCTGAGGGCCCTTGACACAAACCCTCAGGATCTAAAAATTATTCATGGGCTCTTCAGAGCGGAGGTGCTGTCCGATGCTCAGGAGCAGGAAGCTGCAGATGCTGCTGCAGTTGCCACTGCAGCTGCTGCAGCGACAGCTCAGGGGTAGTAGGGAACAACCGCGAGAGGGCCAGACAAATCATGTTTAGTTACATTTCTCAGAAACAAAAGGGTGCAGAGCACGCGCCAAAGAACGGTAAGAGGGGCCCCTTGCCCCCCTCCTTCCCCTGAAAGGAAGAAGGGAGAAGAGAGGCCCTTTCGGGAAACCGCTAGGACTTGAAATATCCTGCTTTTACGCGATTTCCCCTAGGGAAAGGCATGATGTCGTAGCATGCTTGTGTAGGTGCTCCGAAGCGCAATCCTCAAAGAAATGAGGCAATAAACACCCGACAACCCGTAACAGCTCTTCTAACTAAAGCTGCTTCTCCTGCTGTTGCTACTTCTTCTCCTGTTGCTTCTTCTTCTCCTGCTGTTGCTTCTTCTTCTCCTGCTGTTGCTTCTTCTTCTCATGCTGCTACTTTTCCTAGTGCTTTTGCTGCTGCTACTTCTCTTGCTGCCGCAGCATAGTACACTTATAGACGCGTGATGCGGTCCGTGTGAGGTCTTCGAGCACGAGGAGTGGTGTGGCAAAGGTAGTAGCAGCAAGTTTTAGCGTGAAGAAGCGCGAGCACGCGTATGTAGAAGAGGACTAGCAGCAACAGGCGAAGAAGTACATGCTGGTGCTGCCGCCTTGGGATTTTATTGCCTCGGACAGACATGAAAAACTTCACCAAGGGGCTATTATCAGAGGGTTTTGCGGTGCAGAATGCTTGCTCCGGACTCCTCATACTCCTGCACACCCACAAAAGATGATTCGCCTTCATGCGTCCTCGACAAAAAGGGCGAGCAACACAACAAGCCACATCGCTACGTTCGTATGCGCTGATGCGTATGAGAGTGTGCACGCACGGCTAGACCGTTTCCTCACAGCCATCTCTCTCTATATGTCTATCTATATATCTATAGCCATCCAAGATGGCAATAATAGATGCTTCTTTCTGCAGCTGTCAGCTAACGAATCTCGCTCTCTCGGCACCTCCGTCAAAAAGGCGCATATGTACGCATGCATGCATGCACTTCCTCCTCACCTGCTTTGCCACCCACATCTTTTTGAAGGTGGAAAGCGATGCGAGAATCGAACCTCCAATCCATGTTGAGATCTTCCTCTCAGGAGGCGCCGAAATGCGAATCTGCACAACAGCCACGCAGGCCGACACACAAGCTTTTTTGCCCCCGTGCCCTCGTTGGATGCAGATAAAAATAAACGTCCTGAATGAATATATATATATATGAATGCTTTCAAAAGGAAGATTTCAAAGTGTGCCACATATGCAGCAGCGGGAATCGCACACAGCTGTGTTGCACGGCCAGAAACGCTCCACCCGGCGCAACACCTGCAGCCCCCTCCTACGCGAAACGGCATTTTAAATAAATAATCTACGCCTTGTCTCTCTCAAAGTGCCCACCTTAATGTCTTTAGGCGCGATCTTGCGAACTTCATTGAGAAGGCGATCTCCGAAACCGTGAAAGTACGTGCTGCCTGAGACTCAGAGCCACACGCATGCACAGCTTTCAGCTTTTTTCTTTTCCGTGGAGTGAGCCTCCTACGCCACCAAATGCATGCATGCAGGCAAGCGTGTGTCGCACTCTGGAAAGGCACAACCGCCGGCGCAAGGCATGCGCGAGACAGATAGTTTGATGTGAATTCAGAGAGGCCACTGCAAAAAAGCCGGTCTAAATGCACGTGCATGCAGGAGGTCTTAGGAAGAGTACATCATCATTTAAAAATTCCAAATACGTCTTTTGCGGCCTGCGGCTTTCCCAAACCTTGTGCACCTTCATGACCTTTGCATATATGCATGCATACATGCATGCAAAGGCGCTCACACGCATCCATCCGCAATCGAACGCGATGAACATACACAATAATACATTTACATGAGGAAAAGAATCAGCACCGACCCAAATAAATAAATATATGCACATATATATATGTGTGTGTATATATACATGTATAGATATGTACATATACAGAGATAGAGAGAGAGACAGACAGTGAAAGGAAGAGAGACGGTTGTGGAGAAGCCGGGGCAGTAGTATGGTATCCTGCGTTCGAAAAGCGGTGGGTGTGCACCGAGGAAGCAGGAAGAGAACAACCTTTTGTGAATTACCTCCTGCAAGAACGAGCTGTGAGTACAGCGTGCGGCGGAGATCTAAGTCTGCCCTTGAAATGGATGTTCCGATGAGCTCGTGAACGCCTGCGGTAAGCGCAGCGGAGGCACGCTGGAAGCGACGAAAGATGCTTTGAGAGAAAAAGAAAGATATACATATATATATAGAGAGAGAGAGAGAGAAAGAGAGGGAGAGAGAGAGAGAGAGAGAGAGAGAGAGAGAGAGAGAGAGAGAGAGAGAGAGAGAGAGATATACAGAGAGAGCATAGACCGCATATTTCGCTGTTGGTGAAAGGTAGCGCACAACTCACTGCTTACCAGGATATTCAAGACCGATGAGGGAGGGATGGAAGAGAATTTCTGGAGCTCTGTATCTCTCTGAACCAACCTGAGACACACACACAGAGAGAGAGAGAGAGAATACACACATCCATACATACACAATCACAAAAGGGCGTATGCAGAGCAGCGAAGTGTCTCATTCGTCTGCATGCCCCTTCGCCTGAGTGATGTTTCTGCACATGCAGGCGTGCGGGAAGTGGGGCTTTCCTTATAGAAGAGGACCTTTCGAACCTCTTTTAAAGTGTATATATACATATATATATATATATAGAGAGAGAGAGAGAGAGAGAGAGAGAGAGAGAGAAGTGAACGCAGAGATAGAGACAGAGACATACATACATACACATACACAGTCGTAGAGAGAGGGAGGCACTGCTGACGCAGAGAAGACGGCGAACCAGCGCAAAGATCCCAGTGCTCCCAGGCATCGTTGTCAGTGCAAGATGGAAGGCGTGGAAATTGTTAGCAGAGAGCAGCTAAGCGCGTGTTGTGTCACTTTGATTTGTAAGTGTTCGCTGGCAGATGCCAGGCACATGCGGTCTACAGGAGAAGGCAGGAAGTTTGCAAGGGAGAGAGGCGGCAGAAAGCGTTTCATAGATAAAAAAACAACAGGAAGAGACAGAAGGCAGCCAGAGAAACAACGGGCAAAGAGAGGCATACATATAAAGAGGAAGCGAGAGAAAAGAAAGACAGCGCTCTCAGCCAGCCATCAAGACTCACAGATACTGCAGTACCATCCGGCAGCTGGAACGGATAGCCGCCACCACTTTTTTCGAAGGAAGCGGCTTCTTCTTTTTGAGGATTAAATGCAACGTAGCATGCCTGTTCTTTGATCTGACGGACGACCTCGTATTCAGCCTGCAATGCAGCCGAGTATATACAGCGTATATGTAATACATCACAGGAAGGCTGTCTAAATCTAGATACATCTGCATGTCCATACATACATATATATACACATATATATATATATATGTATCTGTATGTATATGTATGTATCCCAAGAGCGGCGGAGGGCCTTTCTCTCTCTCTCTCTCTGAGTTTTTGACACGTGAGTTTCTCTTGCGACGCCCTTAGGGAGCCAGGAGGGGAGTCTTGGAAGAAAAAGCCCCCTTTTGCACTCAGCAGATCATGCGCCGCTGCTCACTGAGGTGTGAAAAATGTATCCTGCTCTTCTCAGCAGCACTGCGAGATACTCCGTAATGTCTCTTCCAGCGACATCCGCCCGTGTAATCGCATGGGAAAGCGCAAAGCCTTCAATCACAGGAACGGCATGCGAAACTCCCTCTCCACAGTCTAACACCAGCCCTGTAGTTCGGCCGCTACTGTATCTGCAGCGAACAGACCGCGCGAAGCGCAAGCAAGCAAAACAGAAGCGAGGGAATGCTGCGATGCAGGCAGAGGCTGCGCAGGACGGAGGCTGCCTACATCCTGCCCACTCTGGCAGCAGCCTCTTTCTCCTCCTCCAGAAAGGAGACAGGGAAGAAAAATGGAGAACGAGGACGAGACAGAAAGAGAACAACGAGAGAATACGGCGCCATTGGGAGGCGATGGAAGGGCTTAGAGGCAGGCAAGCAGGCAGGCCAAATAAGGGTGTCGAGTTGGCTTTCGCGCATAAATAACTACGAACATAAATATGCAGTGATATCTGCATGCGACATACAGCGCGAGGATGGGCTGTGCGGAGACGAAGAGGGCAGGAGAGTTGAAACTTTCAAAGAAAATTTCGGCTGCTTTTTCGCGTTGCCTCCTGGGATTTAGAACGCTCTCCGTAAGCAACACAGGATGCTGCAGGTGGGAGGAGGCAGAAGAACGGGCAGGCGGAAATTGCAGAGAAATCGGCAAAATAAAAGAAGCCACTAAAAACGCGAGGGGTGTCAAAAGACCAACCGACAGCCAGGCCCCTGGAGTGAAGTTCGCAGGGAAAAAGAGAAATTTATCGACACTGGCGACTCGCCAGTAATGGGAGAAGGGGGGACAGAAGGGGGAGAGAAGGCAGCTCTTGCTTCAAAGAGAGGATAAATGAAAGAAAAAAAAGAGAGGCGCGAGCCAGAGTACCTCCTCGGAGTTAACTTTGAGATCTGAGAAGACATAGGCCCACAGCAGCTCCATGTCTAGCCAGTCTTGCACGATGCCATGACGCATGGGGTAGCTAAGGCGGAGCAAGCCTCTCAATGCCTCCTGCAGGAACGTAGACAAGTAGGAAGATTCGCGTGGCGCAGCATGCATTTGATGAGACATCAGTCAGAAAAAGACAATAGGGCCGTCGCATGCTCTCTGCGGGAAAACACGGACGCGCGAATTGCGTGGTCAGGAGGGTGAGGTTGAGCTATAATGGCAGCAGCAGCAGCAGTAGCAGCAGCAGCTATACACAGAGAGGAGCCTTCTCCCCTCGAACATGAGGTAGAAGAAAAAACAAGCAAGCAAGCAAAGTAGCACCTAAAAAAACAGCTTCAGCCTCACCGCTTTAGGGCCTACAAAGACGTCTCCCTCTGCAGCACCCGCCATCACGCGTTTGTGCTTTGGTCGTCCTACACTGCAGCAGCAGAAAACGGCAGAGTCATGCTAGTATCGAGTTGCATGTACCAAGGCGCATGCGTTCATAGCGCTGCAGTCAGTTGGTCTGCGGCTCAGCAAGGCAGCAAGAGACGTCGCCATGCTGCACCCTAGAGGGTTGCCTGCTTTGAGAGAAGGAGGGAAGAAGAAAGAAAAGAGGGAGAAGAAAGAAAAGGGGAGAAGAAAGAAAAGAGGGAGAAGAAAGAAAAGGGGGGAAGAAAGAAAAGAGGGAGAAGAAAGAAAAGGGGAGAAGAAAGAAAAGGGGGGGAAGAAAGAAAAGGGGGTAAGAAAGAAGTGAAGGAAGAAAAAGAATTCAAATGTACAAGGAGGGGCAAAGGGCCTTGGGAGCGTCGTCTCCCGCGAAGCCTGTCTTGATAATGCCTGTGCCATTATCCAAAACGAGAGGCTGATTGGCAATAACCTCCTCAAATACAGAGCCCATCTTCACTGTATATATGTATATCTCGTTCTAAAGGCGCCAAGAATTTTCTGCTGCGCGATTCGTATGCCTCCTTCCGCTGTCTTGCTACGCCCTCTGCTGCCTCTCCAACACGGCCTGCCCAGCGGCTCGCTATCAGTCTCTTTCTCTCTGTTTCGCTCTCTCTCTCTCTTTGCAGAGACCTCGCGGAAGCTCTTCTTGCAGCCAGAAGAAAGCCGGCAGCTGACGGTGCAAAAAAGACGCCAGTCGTGCTGCTGTTGTTTCTGCTGCTGCTGCTTCTGCTGTTTCTGCTGTTTCTGCTGCTGCTGTTTCTGCCGCTTTGCCCCTCCCGCCGCAAAGGCCTTGGCCTCCTCCCTTAGGCTCCCAGCCTCTTGAGTGCAAGAAGAACAAGCGCTCGCCGATCTGTACTACGCTTCCTCCTGGGTATCAACGTTTGGAAGGCTGCGGCGTCATCAGGATCGAGGGGGGCCCCTCCGCGTCTACTCTGCGAGCCGAGCCGAGTCGCTCTGCAAGCCAATGGACTGCTGCTGAGGCTGCTGTGCAATGCTGCAGCCGCCCCTGGTGGGAACCAGTTTTGTCTTACCACTCCAAAGACGAGGCGCAGAGCGACAATTCCTCATAAACTATTGTCATACGGACGCTTGAAAATGGCCCAAGAAACGCCTCTACACTGTAACTGCAGGCAGCAGCCCAGCAGAGCGGCGGCGGCACAGCTTGCTGCAGCCACTGGCTGCAGGAAGGCTGCGGTGTACGAACACCAAGGAACTCCTGCAGCAGAAATGGCTAAAACGGAAACATAGCAAATCCTCCTTGCTCGCCAAAGGCAGAAATGGCGTGGTCGCAGCAGCAGCTGCTGCATGCGCTGCAATTGCGCAGCAGCAGCTGCTGACGTGTTTGGATTGCCGTAGAAAACGGCATGGCGATCGGCAGCAGCAGCAGTGGCAGGGGCAGACGCCTGGTGCGTGTTAAGGCATGTTTGAGAGAAAATGGTAGCTGAATTCGCATTCCTACGCAGTAATTAGCGACACATCTTGCGCAGAAACAGCGACTCCAGAAGCACGAGCAGATGCAGCTGACCGACCGGTGGTCCTGGAGCCTAAGATTCTACGAATTCAAATACCTGCTCCCGGTGCATGCATGCATTAAATTGCTCATGAAATGACACGTTTGGCGGACGGATGATGGGCTTCTCGGCACCCGCGAGTGCGCTTTCCGACGGCTTCATCTGTCCATACACCACACACTGCTGCTCACCGGGTGCCATGAAACGCAACTGAAATTGGCATGTCCAAACGTGCAGCTGCGGTCTGTTTCTCCCTTTCGAATGCGTTTTCCAGTGGTGGACAGTGTAATTGCGAGCTCGATCTCCCGCCAAAGACACGGCAAGCTGCAGTAGAGCGTCTTTCGGAAGCGTCTAGAGGCGCCTGTAGGGCCACCTCCTCCTTGGAGCCGTAAGCGCTGTGACCACACGGCAGCTGGCACTGTAGCGTTTCATTTCCTTGTCTCTGCGATAGTCTTTCGCGCTAGAAATTGGCTGGGAACCAGCGGCTCGCTGCCTGCGGTGTCTGAGCCGCTTGTTGCGTCTCGGACTGTCACGGAAGCATTAGCCGTGGGAGAAGCTGGACCCTCTAGGCCTCGACCGTCTGGCTATGTTTACGCAGAAGGAGCAGCTGCCGCTGCTGCTGTTGGTACGCGCTCTCTGTCAAGGAGCCGTGCAGGGTAGACTGTTTCTTCCCGCCTCCCCGTCCTGACGGTTTGTGCCCCTGCAGTCGGTGCCGCTGCCGCAGCCAGCGTCGTTGCTGCATGCTTCTCCGGAGAACCGCCTCTTCACAGGCGCGTTCGACGCGCTGGCGAGCAACGCATGCACGGAAGGGCGTGCTGCTGGGGAAGGGGGGCAATGAGCAAGACTTCCGCACTTGCACCCTCCCCAGCAGCTGCAGCCCTGTGCTTCCTTCGGCAGCCTCTGCAGGAGCTTCTTCGCGCGCAGGCAACAAGGCGGCGCATTGATGAACGGTTCCCCGTTTGGTCCAGGAGGCGGTGCGGGGGGGGGGCCCCCTGCTGTGTTTGTGCCGAATTCAGCCGTTGAAGAGGCCGAGCTGGAACGGGTGCGCGTGCTTTCGTTTTCGCCTCTATCGGTTCAGCGCGTTGCCTTAGGGCTCGATCACTCGCTGTGCGTCGGCTTGCGTGGCCAGCAGCCGCAGCTCTTCGCGTGGGGAAGGAACCGAGACAATGTGTTAGGCCTTGGCATCGACGTGAGGGAGCGAGTACACCCTGGTATCGTGTCTTTCTTCGTGAAGCAGCCCATCTTCGCTGTCTCGGCGGGGGCGGCGCACTCGCTGATCCTCGTAAAACGACCAACGGAGGGGGGGGGGAAGGTGTTTAGTGTTGGTCTTGGGACGGAAGGCCGCCTTGGGTATCCGAAGCGTGTCACTGCATCTTCAACTTCTGCAGCAGCAGCAGGAGCAGCGCCAACAGTGGAGTTCGAAGACGAAGAAAACGAGAGCTGGTTTGCTCCGAATCCCTTTCGCATTCGCTTCCCAGGGAGAGCCCGTATTGCTCGCATTTCTTGTGGTTCGGCACACAGCCTTGCGATTTCCGACGCAGGCGTCCTCTACGCATGGGGTCAGGGCTGTTATGGGGCATTAGGAGTAGGAGATACGAGCTGTAGATTTACACCCGTAGAGGTGAACCTCGCCAAAAAGGGTGCCTTCGTTACGCATGCAGCGGCAGGGGCAAAACACAGTCTCTGCTGCCTTCAGGATGGATCCTGTTGGGCATGGGGAGCTGGAGGTAAGAGGCCCCTCCTCCTCCCGTACGCTGCGAATTCTGCAAGCATACACTCCATCGCGGTATCCTCGGACCCTTTTGTGTCTTACAAGCGTCGTCGAGAGAGGGGCCCTCATCAGACAACCCTCGAGAGAGAGTCACCCATAGAATGTATATGTATATATTTATTTACAGACACTACATGTGCATGTGCGTATCCACACCATATATACACATATGTATATGTATATGGCGTGGATACGTACATGCACATGTAGAGTGCACATATAAAGATACACATATGTATATATGTGCTACGGATACGTACATGCACACGTAATGTCTATGTACATATGGTGTGGATGCTTCGGTTTTATTGCTTTTATTTGCTTGCTTCCCGCTCGGCATGGCATTCTCCTGCGTGCTGTCTTGCGATCTGCATGATGCGTCGCACAGCGAGCGGCCGCCTAGGCTTGGGCCATAACCGTGGAGCCCTTCTGCCTACGCTGATTGAATCTCTTCTGCAATTCCAAGTTGTATTCGTTGCTGCGGGAGAAAGTCACAGCGCAGCTCTCGACAGACGCGGCTGCGTGTACACTTGGGGAGGCGGACTGTTCTTCAGACTGGGGCATGGCGATGAGACCGACTGTCCAACTCCTCGATTAATCGAAAGCTTAGGGGGCACCCCCATCATGCAAGTGCGCGCAAATGCTGCTGTCTAAAGCCTGCCTCTTGGAAGGCCTCTTTTTTGCATGTATCTGCATGTCCATGGCTAGAGATTTGTGTGCAGCTCTCCCGACATATATGTATTCATATGCTTATCGGTCTCCCGCTCTCTATCCTTTGTGTGTGTGTGGCTTTCTATATTTGAGACTTTTGTGCATTAAACTAGCTACAGAGCTCCCCCTGCCCATGTACACCTATACATACATATGGGTCTATACAATCTAGATGTTTGTATGTCTGTCCCCGTTCGCCGATCTTTTTCTCATTCTATTCTTTGTCAGATGGCTCCCTCTGGTTTTTCTCTGTCTGTCTGTCTTTCTGTGTGAAGTATGCTTGTATATGTATGCATTTGTATGTGTATGTATGTAATTGTATGTATTTGTATATGTATGTATTTGTATGTGTATGTATGTAATTGTATTGTATATGCATGCATGTAATTGTATTGTATATGCATGCATGTAATTGTATTGTATATGCATGCATGTAATTGTATTGTATCTGCATGCATACAGTTGTATTTGTATTTGCCTGCATATAATTATACTGTATGTGCATGCATGTAATTGTATTGTATATGCATGCATACAGTTGTATTTGTATTTGCCTGCATATAATTGTACTGTATGTGCATGCATATAATTGTACTGTATATGCATGCATACAGTTGTATTTGTATTTGCCTGCATATAATTGTGCTGTATTTGCATGCATATAATTGTATTTGTATTTGCATGCATATAATTGTATTTGTATTTGCATGCATGTAATTGTACTGTATGTGCATGCATATAATTGTATTTGTATTTGCATGCATGTAATTGTATTTGCATTGGCATGTATCTGTATACACGTGTATGCATGTATGTGTGTATGTTGCTTGTCAGATAGCGTGCGGCACGTTTCATACGTTGGCTGTATCTTTGACGGGTGCGCTCTTTGCGTGGGGTTGCGGATTGGGGCTTGGACTCGGCTTGGGGGAGGACGGGATAGGGGGTGTATCGCCACAGCCGCGTCAGATTCCAGAAATATCTGCTCCCGTATTGCATGCAGCAGCTTCAGCGTATCATTCTGCAGCGGTAACAGTGCAGGGAGATGTGCTCATTTGGGGTGTGGGGGGGGCGAGTCGTTTGGGGACGGGCACGCAGGGGAATGAGGCAGTACCGGTGTTTATTGCTGATCTTCGAAACCGCGCATTTGTATCGGATCTTCGAGCACTGTTAGGCGTCCAGGTGAATGAGAGGGGTGGGGATGTCGTCGTTGCGACTACAGCAGCTGATGGTGGTGTTGGTGCAGCAGCAGCCTGGGGGGGAGCCTCTCTCGGCGTTTCAGGCTGGAGCATCAGTTTCGTGGCTTGTGGAGAGGCTCACACAGTGGCACTCACTGCGTCGGGAAGTCTCTGGGTGTGGGGTTCTAACGACAAGGGTCAACTAGGCATTGGGGAGGAGGAGACGGAAGATCAGCACGAGCCGTTTTGGCTGGACTGCTTCTCGCTTCCAGTGAAGCGAGTAGCCTGTGGAGCCGCGCACTGCCTCGTCGTAACTCAACACGGGAACGTTCTTTGCTGGGGAGACAACGCAGAAGGCCAATTAGGCCTTGGCAACACGCGACCTGCCTTCACGCCGCAGGGTGTATCTACACTTCGCAACGCCATCGACGTCTACGCTTGCGCGACGTACAGCGCATGCATCACTGCGGGGATCGGCGATGCCGATGCGCCTACTCAAGGAGCAGCGGGAGGAGGAATGACGGGAGTTCTTGTCGGAGCCTATCATGAAGAACTGCAACAAGCTGGATCTCTCTGGATGTGGGGTTCAGCAGAAAGCGGCAAACTTGGACTTGGTGAACACATTCTCGGCGGCGCCATTACCGTTCCTCACAGCGTTGCGCTGCCTCTTCCTGTTCAGAAGCTCGCACTGGGTATGTGTCTGTCATCCACGAAATTCCCCTACACACACTTTCTTCTTTCCGTCTGTCTTGTAGGCCTCAAAAAATGTACGACTCCATACTCCCCTCGCCATCCTTCCCCAGTAGTAGCCTGCACGACGCTCTCCATCGCATGTCTGATGCCCCTTCCTTTCTGTCTTGTGCTCTTCCTTTCCTCTCTCCTTCCTTCCTGTCCACTTCTTTTGGCTATGCGCCATTTCCTCCCTCCCCCCCCCTCTTCTTTCTGCTTTCTGCTCTTCCTTTTGTCCCCTTTCTTCCTGCCTCCCTCGTTCTCCCTCCCCATGCAAAGCTTCTCGACAAAAGTCGCCTCGAAAGCTCCTTGTTCGGAGGCCTTTACGGCTTGCGTTTGCCCCTCCCGTGTGAGCTTCAGGGCAGAGCCATGTCTTAGCGCTTACGACTAGAGGAAATTTATACGCCTGGGGAGCAGGATTTTATGGCCGTTTAGGATTAGGAACCTCGGCTAACATCTACACTCCAGCCGTAGTGACATTCCCAACGCCGATCAGGGTGTGTTTTGCCCGTCTTTAGCGTCCCTTGAGGAGGGCTGCATCTGCTGCTGGTGCTGCATCTGCTGCTGGTGCTGCATCTGCTGCTGGTGCTGCATCTGCTGCTGGTGCTGCGTCTGCTGCGTCTGCTGCTGGTGCTGGAGAAAAAAACAACTTCAAGGCAGCTGAGTGGGCAGAGAGCGTGGGAAGGTGGAGGTATAGACAACTTTTTCGCCAGAGGGCGGCAGTCCTGAAAAGGGAGAAGCTATTTTGAAACCTTTCTATTCCACGCAAATATCGAAGCAGAGGCTTTTCCTAGTCAAAGCTACCCTGTGCATACATATATACTAATGCCTCCTTTCCAGAAAAAATCCCTCCAACCGATGTTCTTTTTGGCTCCTGTCATCATTCAGTCTGTCTCTTTGCTCTTAATCGATCGCTTTCTCCCTTCTGCTTCACCTACTCCCTCTGCCTCACCTACTTCTTCCCTCACTGCCCCCCTCATTCCTTCCCTCCGTGCATGCATGCCTGCCGTTTCTTTGCAGATAAAGGAGATTGCAGCAGGCTCGATGCAGTCTCTATGCCTTACAGACGAGGGGGAGGTTTGGGTGTGGGGACGGAGGGAATGTTTATGTGCGACTCAGCACATTTTGACGCCAAAACTTTTCTTGCAGCTAGAGGGTCCTCAGGGAATCCCTCGAGTGCGATCGATTGCAGCATGCGGAGAGCACTGCCTCGTCGTTACGGATGATCGACAGGTATAGATTAGAAGTGCTTTAAAATCCTCTTTCCCATGAAAAGATCTTGTATACGAGGGGAAGCTCCTGAGGGGATTGGATAGGATAGGGGGGATGAGATAAAGGGGAAGGGGCCTCTTTCTGCCGTTCTGCTGCTGGATTGCGGCGGGAGAGTCGTGAAATAATATCAAGGGGGCGCTCTTGATATTATTTTGCAAGGACTGCGTGCGGTGTGTGTTGGGGAAGGCGGGAGGGAGGGAAGGAAGGAAGGGAGATAAACGTCTGGCAAGGGGGAAGGGAAAAGGGGAGGAGGGAGAGATACAGCTCTACGAGCAGAAAAGGAAGGAGAGCTCCTAGGGTTGTGAGGCTGGGGAAGAAGCTTTACTTTTATGTGTTGCATGCAAAAAAAGGCCTTTTACTGCCTCAACGTGTAGGGTGTTATGTGCACAGAGTGCGCATGCAGATGATGCTTTTGAACAGGGGGGGGATTCATCTGTCAGCGACTGCTGCTGCTGCTGCTCAGGCTGTGAAGCGCTTGAATCGTGTTGCGGAAAATCGGAAATCATGCTGATGCGTTTTTTGTGTCTAATACTGCTGCTGCTGCTGCTGCTGCTGCTGCTGCTTAGGTTTACGGATGGGGAGACAACACTTCGCTTCAAGCGTGTTGCGGTCCGAGGATGGCTAGACACCTCGACAGACCTGAACTAGTACAAAGCCTCCCTTTCCCTGCTGATCAAGTCTTCACAGGACCACAGCATTCCATCGTCAAACTCAGGTTTGGCAGCGCACTGAAAAAGATGCACAGAGACATATATATATACATACATACACATATGCATGCATATATATACGTATTCGCATGCAAATACATACATATACATATGCATGCATATATATACGTATTCGCATACAAATACATACATGTATACATATACATACATACACATGTGCATGCATATATATACGTATTTGCATACAAATACATACATATACATACATACACATATAGGTGCATATGCACAACATATACATGCATATATACGTATTTGCGCACAAATACATACATATATATATATATATACAAGTATATGCACAATTATATATACACAAGTATATATATATACATAAATAAAATGCACAAATGGCGTACACATATAAAATACACATGTACATATATATCTATACACTTAACGTGCCTAAATACACACACACACGCATACACACTGATATGTGTATCTACCCGCAAAGATGTATACACGAAAATATGCCTCTTCGTCCCCACGTAATGGGCTAGATGGGGGTGAGGTCGTGGATGCCTTGTCGGGCAGGGAGACAGTTTCCGTGGGGAAAATGTTTTGTGCCTTTTTTGTTTTAGAAATGGGGAGCTGTATAGCTGGGGATCTACTGAGGGAGGTCGTTTAGGAGTCGGTTGGCGTAGGAAGGAGTTGCAGCAGACACCAGCGCTCGTCTTGCCGCATTGGGCAGATCCTGGAGCGATCTCCTCAGCTGCAGGTGGAAATGCAGACTTTCAATTTACTGCCGAGGCTGCTGCAGGGCAGGGGGGAGGGCCTCTGCGGGAAGGAATTTATTTGGAACCAGTGAGTCAATTCGTCGTTATTTCCTCGCGCCTGTGTCTCTAGAGGCAACCAAGAGTCTTGCGCGGAGAGATGCCAGAAGAATGGGGGGAAGCCTTCAAGCACCAAGAATGGAAAAGGGATAATTGTAATACGGCTTCTAGATGGCGTGCAGCAGTATACGTATATATGTATGTGTACATGTATGTGTATATATATATGTATGTATATGTGTATGCATGTACATGCATATAAATGTATGTATGTATATGTGTATGTATGTATATGTATGTATATGTGTATGTATATGTATGTGTATGTATGTATATGTATGTATATGTGTATGTATATGTATGTGTATGTATGTATATTTCCAGAAAACATGTGTTATGTTGGTTTGTGTGCATGCTCTTGAAAAAAACCTCTGCCTTTATGCCCTGTGTGTGTTTGTGCGTGCGTGTTTTGTTTTATTTTTTAGGTCTTGAGGGAAGATCAAATTGAGGCATTTCTAGCGCACTTGACTTTCGCTGCCGGGGGCAGTGGTGTCGGATCTCCTTCGTGGCCTCATCTGCAAAATCTTGTGCAGCAAGAGGAGTTTGAAACCCGTCCGGAGTTTTTGAAGTCTCTGGAAGACGCGCTTGTCTCTGTTTTAGGGAGAGACATTGACGGGCTGCTGCAGCTGGGGGAGACAGAGCAAGAAATGAAGCAGCTGGAGTCACACTATCAAACGCTGGTAGGCATGTGTTGTTTCCACAAACAACAGGGTGTTTGCGGAAACTCTTCTTCTAACACGAAACGAAGTGGCCTCAAGGGCAGTGGGGGCGTCTTTTTACAGGATTTTAAAGCGAGCTTTTTGCAGGAGTGATAGTAGAGATAGAGGGGAGGGGGTATGAAATGCATCCTTTTGGATTCTAGACACGCTGCAGTATGGCGTGCAGTGCCTCCGCAAGGCCTCCTGCTTTTGGCATAAAGGCAGGCAGAGAGGCCAAGGATGAGTTGGGAAGGGATGCGAGGATTGGAAACGTTGTGGGGGAGAAAGGGGGAGAAAGGGGGGAGGGAGAGAAGAAAAACGTTGTGGGGGAGAAAGGGGGGAGGGAGAGAAGAAAAATGAGGGGGAGAAAGGGGGGAGGGAGAGAAAGCGACAAGCAGTAGGGGAAGAGCAGCAGCGATTAGACTGTTGTGTAACCCGTGCGAACAGTTGCAGTTTGTGTAGAGGTGGTACTTTTGTTCATATGGCTGCTGCATGCGCCATATGAGAAGTTTTGCTCTGTAGGCTGTCAGGAAACGCAGCAGAGTGTTTTGCAGCAAAGTAGTGTTATACATAGGAGTGGGGATGCCTGTGGAAGAACGATAACACAGGTAGAGGGGGAAGGGGGCTGGGGGGTTGGGTGTGATGGTGGTGTTTTTTTTTTTGTTTTTCTCCAGCTTATCGGCGTTGCGTCTCGTGCCCGTTGCGGACTGGCGAATGCTTCAGAGTCCGTTTGCATGCCCCCTGGAAAGGCCTTTTAATTGAGCGGCTGGCATAAAAATTTCCTTGTTGGGAAATATGGAGGAGGGGTGGGGGTTATGATGATGGCGATAGATGGGGGACGAAGAGGAGGGAGGAGAACGGGAGTGTTGGCTCTGAGTCTCAGAGCATTTTACGGAATTTGAAGCGTTTACGTATGTATGTATGCATATGCATATGTACTTATGTATGCACATGCATATGTGTATGTATTTATGTATGCACATGCATATGTGTATGTATGTATGCATATGCATGTGTGTATGTATGTACGCATATGCATGTGTGTACGTATGTATGCACATGCATATGTGTGTGTATGTATGCACACGCATATGTGTATGTATTTATGTATGCATATGCATATGTGTATGTATGTATGCATATAAATATGTTTTTATGTATGCATATGCATTTATGTATGCATATGCATATGTGTATGCATGTATGCATATAGATATATTTTGATGTATGCATATGCATATGTGTATGCATGTATGCATATAGATATATTTTCATGTATGCATATGCATATGTGTATGTGTGTATGCATATGCATATGTTTTTATGTATGCATATGAATATGTTTTTACGTATGCATATGTATTTATGTATGCATATGCATATGTATTTATGTATGCATACGCATATGTGTAAGTATCTATTTATGTACCTATTTATGTATGTATTTATGTATGCATACGCATATGTGTAAGTATCTATTTATGTACGTATTTATGTATGTATTTATGTATGTGTGTACAAAAATATATATATATATATAGGGTTGTATCTATGTGCATGTGTATATGCGTATGTATACGTATACGTATATGTGTATATATGCATATGTATGCAGCAACAAGACACCTGAGAAGCTGCAGAAGAAGCTCTCGGCGTTGCAGCCTCTGGCATTTATTCTTCAGCAGCAACCCGCATATCTCACGCGTCTCTTTTTTTCTGTAAAGACGAAGGCTGAGCGCGATTTAGTCGTCAGGATTACCCAGCAGGTATTTATTTTCTCGCAGATCGAGGATTTTATTGTTGCCGTCTCGATCTGCAAAAGAAGCCACTGCGATTGCGGAAGGGCCTTGCGGGGTGTCGCTTGCTCAGCCTTCCAACCCCCGATGCGTCTGTCTGTCTTTCAGGTGTACATGGAGCTGGAAGACAGACGCATTGGGGGATTGTTTTGCTGCTTGATGAGGGCAGTGGCGAAGCAGGAGGTAATGGAAGCTCCTAACCTCATGTCGTGCATGGACCCTGGTAGGCTGCAGAAAATTCGCTTCTCGGAGGCAGACATGCAGCGTCGAATGCCTCTCTCATGAAGCGCCATCGGGGGGGAGAATCGTTTTGTATCTGCGAGTGGGAGCTGCCTGCTAGAGCTATTGTTCAATGCTAGACGCTTTGCAGTAGGCAGGAGAGGGAGGCGGAAAGCCGCTGTTGTAGCAGTTTCTCTGCGTTTTTCGCCATGGCATTCGAGAGTGCCTCAGATACTGTTTGCTGCAAAGGCTGCTCACGGTTCGGGTGTATGTACACACAGGCACTTCCAATTTGGTCGAACTCGTTCGGATGTATGCCCTTCGCAACTCTTCGCTAACTCAACTTAGCAATTTGGTACTGGATCTTCAAAATCCCAAGTGCGTACACGTATCCTTATTCCATGCTGCTTTTGCTACTTCTTGGCTTCTGCTACTGCTTTTGCTACTGCTACTGCTCTTGCTACTTCTTTGCTCTTGCTGTTGCTACTGCTTTTGCTACTGCTTTTGCTGCTGCTACTATTCTTGCTACTGCTACTGCTTTTGCTGCTGCTACTATTCTTGCTACTGCTACTGCTCTTGCTACTGCTACTGCTCTTGCTTCTGCTTTTCCTCCTGCTACTGCTCCCGCTACTGCTCTTGCTTCTGCTTTTCCTCCTGCTACTGCTCTTGCTACTGCTACTGCTACTGCTCCCGCTACTGCTCTTGCTCCTGCTTTTGCTCCTGCTTTTGCTCCTGCTCTTACTCTTGCTGCTGCTCTTGCTCCTGCCTCTGCTACTTCTCTTGCTCTTACTCTTGCTACCACTTTTGCTCTTACTCTTTTGCTAGATGTTTCGGAGGTTGGGGAGGGGGGAAGATGCATGTCTGCTTAGGGCCCTATGAAGACGCGAGCAGGCACCCCTGTGAAACGCTGGCATGCGTTTGCAGTTCTTTGGCCTCGTTTCTTTCGCGGCAGATGGAAGAAGAGTTTCATTATTCTATAGAAGACATTCTGGCAAAGCACGGTGTGCTGTGAGCCTCCCTTTGAAGCTTTGAGGGGAGGGAGCCAGTTCGAAGTCTAGTGTGTTGTGATTCGAGCAGATGCTGCCTCCATGCCCTACCTAGGACTAGTGTATTTTAAACGGCTTTTGCTGTGGAGAGATGCATGCAAACAAGGCCAAGGCATTCCTCTTTTGCACATGGTGCACACACTGCTGCATCGGATTGGGGTGTATGTACATGCGCACACACGCCAGCTGCATGCAGCATTCCCTCTCCCTCTGGATCGTACATGCTGTGCAGGCCTCTCCAGAATAGAGGAAGCCTCCAAAGACTGGCAAGAGCATATCCGTCGCGACTTTCACAAAGGATTTGCGAATTTGAAGCAATTTCTCATTGCTGGCGTTGTGGGTGTAGTTCTGCAGCAGCCGCTGCCTTACTGCCTTCGCAGAATTCTGATGCAGACGTGTCAATTTGTGTATGAAAGAAGCTTCACCTTGGAACCAGAAATGCTGCAAATGGGAGTCGATTACTGCTACGCGATCCCCATTGTCAAGCTTTTCCTAAACGGTATAATGCATCCGATCCTCGCGAAATCCGAAGAATTCTGCCGTAAGAACATGCCTCACAAAAGACTCTCTCTGTCTCTCTCTGTTTCTCTGTCTCTCTCTGTCTGTCTCTGTCTCTCTGTGTTTCTCTCTGTCTGTCTCTCTCTTTGTGTTTCTCTCTCTCTGTGTTTCTCTCTCTGTCTCCCTCTGTTTCTCTGTCTCTCTGTCTCCCTCTGTCTCTCTCTTTGTGTTTCTCTCTCTCTGTGTTTCTCTCTGTCTGTCTCTCTCTTTGTGTTTCTCTCTCTCTGTGTTTCTCTCTCTGTCTCCCTCTGTCTCTCTGTCTCCCTCTGTCTCCCTCTCTCTCTCTGTGTTTCTCTCTCTCTGTGTTTCTCTCTCTGTCTCCCTCTGTTTCTCTGTCTCTCTATCTCCCCATCAAGACAGTTTCACTCGCAAAGAAAGACGTCTTGTGCATGCACACGAGGCCAAAAAAATTGCGCAAGTCTTTTTTCTGATCACTTGCAAAGCAGATTTAGGAAGCAGCCTGCCTGCGGGCTAACAGCAAAGACTGTTCGCGTGTTTTCGATTGCTCCTTGTCTTTTTCTTTCTTTGTTTCGCTCTCTCTCTCTCTCTCTGCGTGTTTCTCTCTGTCTCTCTCCTTCTTTCCTTCTCTTTTTCGTTCTCTTTTCTGAGCAGCGCGCAAGACAAGGGGGAGAAGGGGCCTTCTTTGCTGTTTGCTTTTTTCGCAGTTCGATCGGGATTGGAGTATCTGCCCGAATCTGTCTCCCGAAAGATGGAGCTTGCTGCTCTGGTGCTGGAACGGCTTTGCGCAGAAGACTATAGGGAGCTGCCTAATGCCTTCATGCTGCATCAGCTGCGATTCGATCTTTGGAATACGGCGGCTCAGATGCTGCGACAGCAAATGGAGATTGAGGATCAGCTGGATGTTGAGGTACTTTTGTATTGGCATTGTTGAAAACACACGCGCAGGCAGTCCCCTCTCTTCGCTTTCTCGGGCTGCTCTTACAGACTGTATTGACGGCAGAAACTCTCATCAGATACTCAGTCTGCCAGCTGTTCTTCCCGCTGCCTGCTCTGGCTGTTTTTGCGTCTGCTGCAGCTCACCATCGACCTTTTCGCATCGCATTATGATATCAAGGAGCACTATGTTACTTGGCATACCGACGATCTTTTGTGTAAGATTACCCAAAGCAACAGGGCAGGCCCCATCAGCAGGAGTATTTTCTCACTTTTTCGCAACGTAGATAACAGAGCTTCAAATTCTGATTCCGTTCTCCGCGAAAATGGAAGGGTGTTTATTTCTATTCGCGTCTCTCCGTGTATTTGTGTATGTATATCTATGTGTATATACATGCATATATATATTATACATACATATATATACATACGTTTGTATATACATACATATATATACGTATAGATATACATATAAACATATAGATATATTCATATGTCAAAAATCCATGTATCTATGTATATATACATGTACATGTATTTCACATGTATATATCTCCATGTAGGTATGTGTACTATATGTTGAAATCTATGTATGTTGATATATATTATGTGCATCTTATCTATATATGTATGTGTATGTATATTGTGTGTGTAGATCTATGTACCAATCTATCTCTCCATGTATGTGTGTGTGTGTGTCTGTTTGTTTTTTTGCACGCCTCAGCTCTCGTCAACATGTGCAAGAAATACGAATCGTACTTGAATCTCTCGGCGCATGACCCCATTGCAAAGATAGTCAGTGGCGGTTATTGCTGTTGCTGTTGCTGTTGCTGCTGCCTTGTTAGAGGCAGGAGGAGAGGGAGACGCTGTTGCTGTCGAGTTTCAAGCGCTGTAGCTTCGGCTAAGAAGAAGAGAGCTGCATGGCGAGAGAGAAGAGATGGCAGAAAGGAGGACAAATTGTCAAGCGTGGCTGCAAGTGTCTCTACTAAGCCTTTTGACCACAGTTTTGGGTGCTCAGTTTTGTTTTGAACAGCCTGGAATTTTTCTGACTGCTGCTGCTTCTGCTTAGAAATCTGCGCCTTTTTACATGTCTCAGGTACAAGCGGTAGGGGAAGGAGAAAGCCGCTCTCCACCATTTTCAACAGCCTTAATTAAGGAATGCCAAGCAGCAAAAACTTCGCAAAGCTTCAAAGTAGATCCCCGCTTTCTAATTACGTAAGCTGCGCATACTGGCCACCTCGTCACAGCAGGCAGCAGCCTTGTTGTAGCACCTCTCTCTCGAGTGTATGAGGTACAGCAACCAATGGGTGTCAATTTAATACTGCCCACCAAATCGAGCATGCCTGCAAAAAGGGAATTTTCCCCCTTTCGCTGCAGGCGTGTCTCACCGCGTCTGTTCTTACACACATATACATACATACCCATATGCAGATACACAAATATGTACACATATACAGACATACAGATATATACACGTATACACAGATAAATACATATATACACAGATATATACACATATACACAGAGGCTCACACACAGGCACAGACACCCCCCCGTTTTTCTTCAACAGAAGGATGCCAACTGCATGAAGGCAAGGGAGTTTGGTGGTTGCGTGTATGTGTGTTTCTTTAGAGAGAAGAACTTGGTGTACTGCAGTTTAACGCATGCCCCAGTGCCGCAGCGTCTGGCGCTTCGACAACGAGCGCAAACACAGGTGAATTGATCGACTGGCAAGGAGACAGGGTGGTTTTCCTGTTTCTGCAAGGGGCATAGTGTTGCTGCAGAAGGATGTTTGCAAAATGATGTTTCGATGAAAGAGTGCTGCAAATTGGTTTCTGCAAAATATTGGTGCAGAAGCGTTGATTTTGGCAAGAAGCACATGAGACACCTATGTATGTGTGTGCTATTATGTGCATTTTTCGTTCTGCGTGTATGCATGCACACGTATCTCTCTGCATGTCTATGAGCGTAGACACACTGCGATTTCTTTTGACGGCCGTGTGCAGCATCGATTTCTTAGGCCATAGCAGAGAGTGTTGAGGCGTGGTGCCTTGCTCCGTCTCGACGCATGACGCGGAGGAAGGTGAGGAGGGTGTTGTTGTTGGGGTGTATGTACGGTTGTATGTGTCTCCGCAGGACGGCCAGCGAGTGCTTGCTGTTTTGATTCGCTATGTGCCTCCTGATGCATGCGACTGCCGCATGCAGTTGGCAGACTGTCTCCGTCAGGGGCCACCTGTATCTGCAAGTTCTCTCGATCGCTTAGCCGCAGAGTTTTCAGCGATTGCCGAGCACTTTGCGAGCTTAGAAACTCCAGATTTTGTCAATGCGGCGCTGTTTGAGCGCGTGGCTTCGAGTCTGAATCGTGGCGCGCTTACCATGAAGGGGATTTCCGACACCGACTGCATGCGGTGGATAGCGGAGGGCCTGTTGGAGAGGAAGAAGCACAAGAAGTACCTCATGCAAGTACAGGTGAGGTTCTTGGAGTTGTTGTGTGAATAGCACCGCGAGGCTCTCTGTCTTTCGTTTCTCCTGGCGAGCAACCCTCTGCTCTCGGAAAGCGAAAAGTCTTTTTCGAGATTCTTCGACGCCATGAAAAAATTTTGGAGTTTGGGGCTTTGGCGATTTGCGGGCTCTGCATGCGCAGCGGCACTTGGAAGGAATTCAGAGTATGCGGAGGGAATATGAGATCAAGCTGCGAACACGTGTAGAGACGCTCAAAGCAGCGATTCACGCAGCAGATGTACTCGCCGTCGAGGAACCTATTGAAATCGCTGCACGGGTAAGGCAACTTGTTGCATCGAAGCGGTTGCCTCCTGTTATCCTCTCTCCACAAACAAAAGATTCTCTGCAAAACACCTGTGCTTCTCACGCTTTTGCGCGGGGGTGTGTGCCGTTCTGTTAGCCTTGCGGATGGTGGATGGTTTGGGGGGGTCTGCAAGCGGAAGCTGAATTCTCGCAGCGCATGCAACTGTCTGCCTTGTTTTGTCTAGCGCTTCAACTTCCCCTTGGCCTTCCCTTCCCTCCGCTGGAAGCAGCATGAGAAGAAACAAGAAACCCTTGCCGTGTCTTTGACCTTCAAGTACTCCGTTCTTTTGCAGCGCCAGGTATAGGCACTCACACGATGGCAGCCTATTGGGGGGGGAAGGGCGGCTTTTTGCATACTCGTGGACACATAGGCATCGCATACCATATGCATATATATATATGTGGATGTGTGTGTTAACGTATGCCTCCTCCCTTCTGCATCTATTCCTTGCGTCTGTGCGTTGTATGCCTCCATCATCATTTCTTGTGCATCCTGTCTTTTTATTACATTTTTGCTTTTCTTGTGTATCCTGTCACTTTTTTTACATTTTTGCTTCGCTTGTGCATCCTGTCTTTTTTACATTCTTGGGATGCTGCTGCATGTGGAGTTACCAGGGGTGGTGCATGCACTGCTCCTTGCACAGTTTGTCTTGCCATGTCGCGAATCCTTCATGCGCTTTTTCCTACGTAGGTGTGCAATTTGTCTGTCTGTCTCTATGCGTCGGTGCAGATAGTCCTGCGCGCGGCACGCTCTCTGCAGCCTGAAGTGCTTGTTGACACATATTTCACCTTCATGCTCCTCCCTCAGGAGGGTTGGCGTGTTACTATAACGCACCGCACTCCTAGGGTGGACAGACAGCTGGCGCAGCAGGATTTCACAGCAGAAGAGCTCCTAGTTCTCAAAAATGTCAACCCGAATACCACGGTCCCCCTCGCGAAAACGCCAGGGGAACCGGGGGGCCTCTTTGAGGTCAGTGCTCTGCACTTTGTACAGGCGCTACAAGAAATTCGATCCATGGCTTCAGCCTGAAAGCGTGCAAAAGGCCTTCAGTAACGCGTGGTGTGACCTCTCTTACGACGCAAAACGAGAAATAAGCGGAGTCAGGGGGCCGGCGCTAGTTGCCACTGACACTGCGGCATGCATGCAAAATCAGCAGCAACGAAACATGCGTGCTGTTTTCTTCCTAGCGACACCGAAGAAGGTGTTCAAAAAAAAGCTTTCACACGTGCCATGTATGCCCGCTACTTTTCGAGGGCTGCGTGCAGCAACTAGGCCAATAGGGCGAAAGAGGGAGGCTCCAGAATGCAGACACATGTGCACTGAAGACAAGTGTCTGTGTGGGCGAAGGCTTTTTGTACCTCATGGGCGTGCGTGGGCTGAAAAGTTTAAACAAGTGCACACGTCAGCAGAGGGCTGCTGCCCTGATGCGCTTTCTATGGGAGACAACGCTCCACAACAAAACCGGTTGCCAGATGCTGGTGTGTGTGTGTGTGTCTTTCACGGCATACGCACTTGCGGCATTACCCATGCCCCTCACACGTTCGTTCTGGCCGTTTCGAAACTTGTACGTGGGCAGGGGAGGTGTTCTGAGTATTTTCATCCTCCCCAAAGGGTAGCTGGGACAGCTAGCTTGGTACCTTGAAAAAAAGAGATCAGCCTGTGTGCATGCGCGCGAAGTCGGCCCAATAGACAAGACGCCGTGCACACTGGAAGAGCCAAACGTCTGAGCGATGGAGAGGGCCAACACGGGGGGGGAACTAGCTGCACAGCGCATATTAACACTCTCAGTAAACACGGGCGCCTCGTGCCGCATGCGAGCCTGTCGCACAATATGCAAAAAGGTTCATTCAAGTCGCGTCGTGCCCTCGAGCAATTCACGCCAAGGGGGATCCTCTGTTGAGGTCTCTTCAAATAGGCAGGCCGGTGTGCGGGCAACGGGATTGCGCCACTCGCGGGAGGCTACAGCAACCCTTTTCAGAGTTGTAGGCTCGAGAGTTTTGTAGCGTTTTAGCCAGTGCCAATAAGATCGTGGGAAATAAGCAATACAGGGGGACGCTTTGCAGGGGCAAGGCGCCCTTCGACAGTAGCCAGCGAATTTTCAACCCAGAGAAAAACGGGTGCTCTGGCGTATACCATGCAATATTTGGCGTTACGTGTGTACTATGGGTGCTCTACCTCCGGAGCTGCTTGTCGCCAAGCGATTCGAGCTTCCCCGTAAAGGAATTCACTTTTTCTGGGTTTGCGTAGTTTCTCTATGCTCGTGTAGGCAGGGTTCGGCCAGGGGAGTCTTCTTGCCCTCAAATTGGAGGTCTCAGGGTTATCAAGAGGAAAGAGTGAATCCTTCGGGAGGCACAAGGCATATATTTTTTTTTCACGAGGGCTTCATGCCCGGTAAACGTCGTGAAAGTTGACAGCTCCAAGAAGGCCGCCTCCTTACGGGAGGGGGGGAAGCGAAAGCCGGCAGAGCGGGGGTTCAGGGAACCTTTTTCTCACGCACGGAGGAGCACCCAAGTAAACTCGCCGCGTGCCTCTCGCTGTGCGAAGCGTCTGGCTGCTCCATGCCACCTCCAGCCTTCCTGAACGCAGGGGCGAGGCGGGAGGTGTATCGGCTTTGGCGAAAATGTGGGAACAGGAGAATGGGGCGCTCAGACCTGGAGCTCCATACTGCAGGAGAGCCTTTGCATATTCGGCGCAGGTAACACTGCCTAGAGGGCTTCGAAACGCTTTTTAGGGACGCTTAGGAGGATCCGAGCTCATCAATGACAGCTAACTATCAGCGCAGTGGCAGACCCTGGAGGCTTCCCCCGAAAGAGCCTGCATGCGCTTAGTTCGCGTCCGAGATCGCCCTTGCCGAAGGACATACGCTCAACTCGCTGTGCCGGCAGCGTTTAAACTCTTTAGCCCCGCATGCCCCCCACCAGCCTCCAACCTTCCTGATTCTTCGGGCACTTACATCCGAGAGAGGCTGCTCAGCAATGCAAATGAAGAATAAAGGAGTGCCCGTCCGCTCTCAAACATGGGTTGAAGCAGCCCGCGTACGCACACACCGACAGAAACCCTGGCTGGCTGCATGCGGAGGCGGTCATCAAGGTGAGGCGGCAAGGAAACTCTTCATAAGTCCGCGCGAGTCTTACTAAAAAAAGAGCTTCCATTAGAAATCGGTTTCAAATACATGTATCCAAGCATCTAAGTGTTTCACGCGAATACGCTAAACGGCGGGCTCGGGTGTACATACACCGCAGCCGACTCGAGCAGAAGCGCATGGACTACTGTGTCTATTGACAAAGAGCGCGAAAGCTCTGCAGGTTGAGGAGGTTTTTGTCTTGGAAAGAGCAGCGCTGGAGCGCTTGGAGGGGCCATCGCTGCAGCAGAAGACGCAAGCTGCACCTGCTGGTTGTTGGTGATACGCCATCATCGCCTAACAGCAGCAGCGAACCCCTGCTCGGCAGCTCTTCCCGCATCTCTTCGACTGAAGAGACAAAATGAGCTTTCTTTGGGAGCGCCTCCTCGCAGATCCTGCAGCTGCCGTGCAGGTGAGGCGAAACCTTCACCGACGCAGGTCCATTGGCAGTTGCGCAGTGTGTGCAATGCGATCGGGGATTTTGCTGTTTATCGTGTTGTGCACTCTTCAGGACCGAGCAAGCATCATTCTTGGAGTGCCCGTCCCTTTCGTGGCGTGTGTCTTGCTCCTCGTTGCGGCATACGCGGCTCTTGCTGCCGCAGGCCTGAGAAGTAACTACACCGCGCCATCGACTTGAATAGCAGAGCCGGGTGCCCTTGGGGTAGAGAACGCGCGAAAGCATGTGTGATTTCTGTGGAATATTTATCTCTGAGGGGCCTTGCAATGTGCTGTCTATTTCGGCTATACCTCCGAGTCCATGCATTCTCATATTGGTACATAGAAGCCCATGTCTTTCGCTTCTCGCAACCTCCCGTATCCTCCCGTCCAGAGGTGTATACTGGTCCTTTTACAGAGAATTCTGTATGTGCATATATACGCAGTCTTCTAGGATTCGATTTTGCGGGGATATCTAGGGCACTCGTCGCTTCTTGTTCTGGTTCTGTGTAGCCTTGTGCTGTGTACGTACATATGCTGAGCACAGCTATGTGCATCTTGATGTATGCATTCATATATATATCTATACGTATATGTGTGGACAGCTAGATCACCAGACGCAACGAATGTGTTAAGCCAATAGCTGGATAGATTTTGAGACATGCGCGCACACGCGCATGTCTAGGATTCCCCCTCTGCACATGAAACCCTCTGTTCGCTTGGCTGCATGCCTTGTTGCGACTTTCAGTCTTGCAGGGAGTGCGCGTGGGGTCTGCCTTAAGACTTGCCTCGCGGCCGTGCATGCAGGTAGCCATCTTGGGGCCCAGTGGTGCTGGCAAAACGTGCTGTCTCCTCGCGCTTCGGAATGGAAAAACGGAGTCTACTGTTCCCTCACTAGCGGTCAGCTGGCAAGCCCGTGCCAGACGTAGCGAGGGTTTTCGGCGTGAGAAAAGGGCATGCACACGGTGTCAGCGAGTGGCTCGATCGACAGGCGCAGTGGAAGCCATGCGGCCGACGCAGTTTCTGCCTTCCCACGGCAAGAGCTGGCTCAGCCTTTGTGTTTCCAGCTCTGTGGGAGTGCATGTTGTATGCGCATGGGTTGCAATGCGAATGCGCAGGAAAACCGTTGCGACTTGACGCTCAGAAGCGTGGCTTCTGCGGCTGCTGCAGCGCCGAAGGACGAAGGTGAGGCTCCCTTGGCCTCTTCGCAAGACGAGATCGTCGTTCGGATTGTTGACTCTCCTGGGAGCCAAAGACTGAGGCGCCAAGCGATCGCGAACGCAGCGGCCTCTTCGCTCATAGTCTTCATCGTAGATGCCGCAGACAAGCCTTCCCTCAAACAAGCAGCTGAGTCAGTGGAGAAAAGCTGCTGCTCTAGCCTTCGGGGGGAGGGACAGGCAGGAGGAGGCAGACGCTGCACGCATCCAGGGGTAGATCTCTGCAGCGGTAGAAAGCGAAGCGCAAGCTCTCTCTCTCAACGTGCCAAGGGCTTGCTGCGTGTGAAGACTGAAGCGTCATATGAGCGAATGCATCTGCAGATTCCTCTTTGAGCTGTTTTGCAACCCCACGATCTACTCCGCAAAGACTCCCCTTTTGCTGGTAGCCAACAAAAGAGACAGGCCAGAAGCTCGTGGACTGCAGGCAATCATAGAGGACGTGGAAAGAGAAATGTGAGCCGCTGCAAAAAGCTCCTTAAAAGGTAGAGCTACTAGCACCGTCGAGGGGGCTGTGGAAAGGGTAGGCACTTCTCTCGATGCGCCAAGCCATTTCGCGCAAGCTTTCGCGCATCCCGAGCAAAAAGGCGAATCGCCAGATCGAGCGCGTACCTCGGGCAGCTAGCTAGCTACATGCGGAGAAACTAGCCGGCTCTCCAGCGGTCTCCTCCCGTTGCTGTCGAAGAGGCAGTACTCCCCAGAGAGACGCCGCTGCTGCTGCCTTTCTGCTAGCTTCCTTAGCGGAGAACTCGGCAGGCTGCACAGCTAGCTAGCTAGCGCCGGCTTCCGACGGCGCGCCGTCCAGCTAGCTAAGAGCGCCTCCGTGTGCGCAGCTCGCCTGTTGGTCTGTCTGTACATTCTCGCAGAGAACGCTGTCGCGTGTCGCGACAGGCGGCTCTTGAGGCGGAGGATGTTGCCGCCAGCTTCATTGGCGCAGAAGGGCGCCGCTTCCTCCTAGAAGATGCTCCCTGCCCACTGGTTAGACATTGAGACAAAACAAGTTCAAGAGTGAACCTTTCGGAATTAAGAGGTGTTCGTCTAGGGCTGGAAGTTCATGAAACTGCGGTCGTTTGATTATTTCGCGCGGCTTCTGAGCCTCTTCTGCTTTCTTCCTGCATGCTTTGTTGGCGTGATCCAATCTGTGTGCCTGCATATGCAGCTTGCTACGAAATCCTTCTTCCCGTATTATCGTGACTGCTGCCCTTTCTTCGGCTGCGTGTGCTCTCCTGCAGACGGTATGCTCTGCCGCTGTCGCGACAGGGGACTTGTCATTGATTCCCAGCTTCATCATAAACCACGCCACGTAGGGGGAAGCCTGACTCTAAAGGGTTAGGCAGCGTGTGCGTCCTGTAGAGATTCGCCAGCCTCATCCAGCCTTTGACGCATTTTAAGAAAAAATGCGGGAGGAGCACTTGTGAGAGGCTACAGGCGGAGGCAAGGAAGGCTTCTCTCTGCTTTTACGCAATCCTGAAAATACATACCAGGGGCCTCATTGTGCCCCTCGAGAAAGGATATCCTTTCAAAGTCTGGGTTTGGCGTTACTACCGGCCAGAACTTAGCTGCGAAAAAGGCAACGAAAAGTTTTCCTCCTTGCTTGCCTTTCGGGGGGAGTCTCCTGCGAAAACGCAGTCCAGGTCTGACGCTGCATTTGCTGCTGGCATACGCACTGTAGGCTCGAGTGTTCGTGGAGGCAAAGGCTGGCTGGATAGTTGCACTCAATAAGGCTGAGACAAGGGCCACCTACGCGGAGCGAAATATAGTTTATATGGATCAATAATGCTTTGCTGGTCGCTTCCGGATGAGAAACTTATTATGGTGTAGGGATAATCACGTTCGCTTTGCATGCGAGAGGTCTTGGGGGCAGCCGCTCCTTCCCGCCGATTTTTGTCAAAGAGTCTACAAAAGAAGCAACACGGACAGTCACGTAGCAGAAGCAAAGATTCGTTAGGGGAGGGGGTGTTGGCTTCTGTTCTTCTGATTAGAACATCGTGTGCCTTGGCTCTTCAAAGAGGATGAGTCGTCCTCGACTGTTGGCTTGCACCCTCAAACGCCGCCTTGGCAACTGGTGAGTGTTTGTGCTACCCGTTTCTGTGTAGTAGAGTGTGCTCTATGAGCTTACCACCAATTAAGTCGTGGCACTGAATCGAACAAACGCTCGCCTAATGCATTAAAAGTAGGTGTTGGCAAAAGTGTGGTGTGCGTCTCCCAGCTCAAGTTGCATGCAAGGGCATTCGCGCGAAACAAATGTAAACTGTGCATATGCAGTGTTGATGTTGCCCGCTGTACCCGACTAGGCCCCCCCCCGCTTCTCTTCTGAGCTGCGTGTTATTTTATACCTCCGGTGCAGAGGAAAAGATTTGTGCGTGTGACTATGAAGGAACCTGTGTGTGTGGGAGTTCAACGCGGTAGCCAGGCAGGTGCCCCCTACACGATGTTCCCCAGAAGGCAGGCAGCCTGCACACGATTAGGGGGGATAGTACGTCGGTAGAATGAAGCCACCGAATGTGACCTCCTTCGTTTTTAGCCCTCTTTATCGCCTCTAGCGCATGGGACCACGGAATAACCGAAGAACCAAGATTCCATCAACCTGCGTGCAGGCTGCGAAATATTTCAATTTGTGTGGGAGGCGCACCGTAAACTTAGATTTACAGCCTGCCTGCTGGCCTTGCAGCTGCCCGAATAGGCGGAGCTCACAATCCAAGCACGCGCCTTGCACTGTAAAAGCGATTTCATCTCTGCCACATGTCTGGGCACGAGGAATGCCACTGAGAAGGCGTTCGGGGAGCACTCTCGCATTTTGAAAACTTTTCTCCGGATGCAGGGCGCATGACGCGCAGTGATAAAACAAGAAGATGAACGCAAAATTACGCTCAAATGCACAATGCAACTTGTACTACAGCGCTACGGTCAAGGGGATGCGACGAACTTTTCTGAAAGGGGCACACGTTAACGCTGCAGCTAATGACGCTAGGAGGGTTGTGCAGGTTGCTTCGAGCTTTACGCCGCTTCTGGCACCTTATTTTCAAGTTTAAAGGCTTTCCCCCCTGCCGAGGTGCTTGAGGTGTTGGGGTCCGCGGGGCAGAGAGCGATGACAGAAAGCAGCCAAAAAGAAAACACTTGACAAACGCTTCTAAAAAATACAGGCTTCGTCAAAAAATGTACTCTCGAAGATCCCGACAGCGCGCGCTAGAACCGCCTTTCCAGCTTCTAAAGAAGGCTCTGCAGACACACGAGACGCCTCTTCAAAGCTGGTAGAGCCTTCTGGTCACGATCATGGTATCATTGGCAAATGTAGAAATATCCCCCTTTCTGCTCACAGGGCCTCTGCTCAAGTGTTGGATTGCGCGCAGTAGCCCACCCAGCCTCGTGGTCTTCTATCAGTGAATATTCCATCCCTGCGCCTGCTCGCGTACGAGTAGATTATGAGCGCTTCGTTACGCAATGAAACTTGGAATAGGATTTCGCGTTGTCCGTCCTATTTCACGGCTGTTGCCATCGTTATTTTCATAGTGCGTCGAAGGCACCAATCCCCCGTCTGAACTCCAAAGTTAAGCTACGCAAGGCCCGATTAGCACTGCTACGGGAGATTCCGCTGGAATTTCTCTGGGTGATTACGGCCTTTATTGTCAAGGCGCCAGAGAACAGCACACCAAGTTCAAACAGAACCTCCCACCAACCCCCAAGCTCCCCCGCAAGTTACCAACACTCTGCCTAGCTTGTTGGCAGCTACCAATGTGACGCTACTGACGTTTCACGCAAATCGATGCAACAGGTGCAAACAGCAGAAAAGACACTATCTGACGGGGGCTAGTGGCTACAAAGGAGGCAGGGGACGAGCTGACAACACCCCCTGCCTGCACGCTTCGCTGCACGGATTAACATTGTTATGGAGTGCTACATATTACTTCCCGCGATTTTCATGCGGTTCTGTGGAGAGGGAGGGACCCTATATATTCGGAAATCCTCGGCGGCAGCCGCAGAGTCTAGTGCTCATGACGCAGGTAGAGAAAATGTGCCCCGACACATGAACTACGCACACATACACATGGAAATATACATGAACATGCGTACACCAGCAGTCAAGGGCGCTTCGCGTGGAGATTGTTCTTGTATTGCGCCGTGCAGGGACGTGTTATAGCCGTGGGTTGTTACGGTCAGGTGCTCTAAGACTAGTAGTGTCGCTGGTTCATTTGAAGCGGCACCTCATTCTGCTACATCTGCTACCGGATTTCGCGGGTGGATGGCAGACGCTGGGGGCGTTTGCCATCCACCCGTGCCAGCCTCGCGAAAACGTCCATTTTGCAGTGTAGATACACTGGGAGCCGTCCAGATTTTCTCAGTAAACACAATGCAGTTAAACAGGCGTTTTGAACAGCAATGGGCCCCCTGGGGGTCTCCGATGCTAATGGCTCTTTTCAGAAGCCCTGGCTACATAAAAGTCGCCCCCAATAAAACCCCGAATGAGAGGCTCTAGGGGAATGTGCGTAGGAATGGGGAAGCCTGGCACTGTCTCTCGGCCCCCTTCTCGTCTTTTTCAGTCCTGTGAGGCAATGTATATAGCTGTATAGCGTTTGTCGAACTATATTCACATTGGGAGGAAGAAGCGATAGGGATACATAGCGGAAACGTACAAGAATGCATGCATGCAGAGCTCTTTCAGACTGCAGCATCAACTAAGCACAAAGACTAACATCTAAACGACCGCACAGGAACGTACGCCTGTGATGCACGCACACAGCGATGCATTCCTACAAGGCAGCTAGCTACTGCCTGGAGGAAAGAAGACAACACACACTTTGTGTAGCTCTACTATCCCTGCCTGCGGTGCACTGACTGATGCCTTCTCTGTCTATTTTTCCTTCTTCCTTAATATGGCCTACGCCACCTGTCTTGTCGTCCATTTGCGCCGTTGCTCTGAATCTGTACTTCATCGTTGGTTTGTTACTTGGCTTGCTTCGCCGCACCGTCGCTGCTGCTGGTGCAACCTGTCAGCTGGGAGACGACAGCCTCTCTGTATTCACTGCTCAAAGCGCATTCTTTTTTGGCGGAAAAGCGACGAACCCAGCGCACACACTGCGGAAGATAGAACCCGATGTACATCTGCAGCAAACCAGTAGGTACAGCCATCCAGGCCTCCTCGAGATTCCTGGATACGGCACGAATAATAAGCGACGCTGCCACGTCAACGTCCAGCCCTGCATGCATACAAGCACACCCACCCGTGCCGTAACGCCTCGCGGAAGTGCGGTGCAGCAAAGACAAAGGTGCATCAACATTTGCATGCGAGCACGCATGAACAGGATGCAGGAAAGAGAGAAAGGGGATGGTAGAGAGAGGAAAGAAGGTACAGAGAGGGTGGAGCTCGACAGGGCCTTAAGTATGACTTTCACTACATGTGCCGCAAGAAGCATACATGCCTGCACATGCACGTGCCTACATTGTTACCCCATCTACGAAAAAAGCATAATAACGGAGAAGAGCGAGCTGTACATACACCGCGGCGGCTGCCTCAAACAGAGATATCTATCTGCAAGACCTGGAGGACGGCGAGATCCGAAAATGTGGGCGTGCAGGGGATGAATTACCTTTTTGATGCCACTCTACGCGCGCATCTCGGCTGCAGGAGGCATCGACCAGGGTATCCGAAATGTTGCGGTGAATATCGGTGTAAATATAGCCGGGGTGTATCGACGTTATGATCACCCCCTTCGAGCCGCAGCCACGCAGGTCTTCTGGAGCACACACCCATGAACAGAACGCACCAAGGCGCAGTAGAGGAGATGGCGTGCAGGAAAGACATGCATGATTAGGCAGGAAGAGAGGCTGTTTGCCTGTAGCGACTCGCGAGATCGAGGAGGAGGAGGTGTCGCAGGAATGAGCGCGTTAAGAAGCAGAGGTGTGGGGGCCGTTAAAGAGAGCTCGGGGAGACGCATACGCCGAAGAAGGTTTGCATAGGAGAGCAGCGCCACCTTGCTAGTCGCGTAGGCATTGAATCCACCAAAGTTGAAATACGCTGGCAGAGACAGAAGCAAAAAGAGGAAGCGACGTCTGTGGCAGAGCAGCCGGAGGTTCAAGTGTATTGCAAAGGTCGTTGAGCGGCCACACATGCCCCAACGGGGTGAAGAAGATTGATTCCACGCATGCATGCACGGGAAATAAGGGGGAAAAGTTGGTGGGGGGGAAGGGGATCATGGCTAGAGGCTGCAGCGCTATTGTTTCCTTAGTGCCATCTGTGCAATTTGAAACGCCACGCTGAGAGACTCCCTCAAGCGATCTGGTGATGATACCCGAGGATGAATTGGTGAAAACAATGTGGCCTTGGTCTCTGGCTCGCATGTGGGGAAGAATCATATTCGTCAGCTTTACAACAGAGAGGAAATTTGCATCCATGATCTCGGCAAATGTCTCCGTTGGTGGCAAGCATCCGATCGCTAGGCGGCCTGGAGGCATGCAGACACGCAGTATCGGCAGCGAGATGGAGATCTAAGAACTGTGCATGGGGAAATCGAGACGCTTAAAGAATATTCAATGAGGCATTTGCGCGAGGCAGCAGACTTGCAGGCAGAGAGCAGCTGGGGTAGGGGGGGACGACAGGGAGGTGGAGCGTGCGTAGGGATCTCTGAAACGTGTGTGTTTTTCTTATGGCGATTTAGTTCGAGACAGAAGAAACACTTGCAAGCGTGAGAAGCGGCAAGCAATTTAGTTCGAGACAGAAGAAACACTTGCAAGCGTGAGAAGCGGCAAGCAATTTAGTTCGAGACAGAAGAAACACTTGCAGGCGTGAGAAGCGGCAAGCGATTTAGTTCGAGACAGAAGAAACACTTGCAAGCGTGAGAGGCGGCAAGCGATTTAGTTCAAGACAGAAGAAACATTTGCAAGCGTGAGAGGCGGCAAGCGATTTAGTTCAAGACAGAAGAAACACTTGCAAGCGTGAGAAGCGGCAAGCGATTTAGTTCGAGACAGAAGAAACATTTGCAAGCGTGAGAGGCGGCAAGCGATTTAGTTCGAGACAGGAGAAACATTTGCAAGCGTGAGAGGCGGCAAGCGATTTAGTTCGAGACAGAAGAAACACTTGCAAGCGTGAGAAGCGGCAAGCAATTTAGTTCGAGACAGAAGAAACACTTGCAAGCGTGAGAAGCGGCAAGCGATTTAGTTCGAGACAGAAGAAACACTTGCAAGCGTGAGAAGCGGCAAGCGATTTAGTTCGAGACAGAAGAAACATTTGCAAGCGTGAGAGGCGGCAAGCGATTTAGTTCGAGACAGGAGAAACACTTGCAAGCGTGAGAGGCGGCAAGCGATTTAGTTCGAGACAGAAGAAACACTTGCAAGCGTGAGAGGCAGCACACTGCTATATGGCATGTTGGAGCTGGCCTAGAAGGGCGGCAAGAAACACAAACAACCTCGCATGTGTATTTCAAAATACAAAAGATTAAGCCAAGACTAGTTCCTGTGTGGAGTGAGTACCGGCGTTATTGAACAGTATGTCGACGCCTCCTCTCCAGTGGACTGCCTTGTGAATAGTTTCTTCCCAAGCCTCCTGCATCTCGGGAGCGTCGTCAGCTCCCCTGCCCTGTACTCGGATGCCTTTGGAAAGATCTAGAGGAAGCAGCAGGATATCCTCTTCCTTCATTCGTCCCCCCTGGGAGTGAGAGAACGCTAGGATCGCGTTTCGAGCCGTCTCCAGACGGGCAAGCGATCTCCCCGTTATGATTAAACCCTTTAAATCGCGAAGAGAGAGCTGCTTGCAGATTGCCAAGCCTATGCCGGTGCTGCCGCCTGCGCGCACAGAGCAGAGGGGTGAGGTGTCGCTACAGCGCGCGATGGGCAGTTCAGAACGGAGTCAGGTGGGGAGGGGGGAAAGGCGCTAGAAAAGGGGGAGGAAGGCGGGGAACTGAAAGCGCCAGGGCATGCGACGGAGGCTGACGTTGTCTCGCGCACACCTGTCACCCATACGATGCGTCCTTTGAATTTCTTTGGGTTCTCCTCGACTGCCCATGTGAAGAAGTCGGAATTTCTCAGCAGCAGAGGCGCACAGGTTACCCAGAGAATGCCAGGCAGATAGGCAGCCGCGGAAACTACGCAAGCAAAAGCTCCCATGAGCCAGAAGAGAGGCCTTGTGACGAGGCGGGTGATATCGGACTTGATGGGTTCCCAGCTGTCTTGGTAGGAGGCGGATCGAAGCATCTTTGCAGGGGTGGCGCAGCTTAGGGAGTGCATCAGGTGGGAAACTCTGCGACGAAGAAAATAGAGGGCTTCCTTTGCGTCTGCCATGAGGCACTTGCCGTTGAAGTCTTTCCCCCTGAAGAGCCTGGAGCTGGCACCGCCACTGCAGCTGTCGGTGTGGGTGTTTCCGTTGGCGTTCGTGTTGGTGTTCGTGTTGGTGCTAACGCTGTTGTTGCTGCTGGAATTTTGCCCAGTGGAAGCCCTTGTGGCAGTTTGGGCTTCCCCACCGTGTGCCATGCTGCCTGGTGCTCGTCGTAACAAGCTGGTGCATAGGATACTAATGGCGTTGGAGCAGGGAAGCACACTATCTTCTGCGGGGAAAGGAACGCTGAACACCGCCTTTGCTTCCGAAATGGGCGAATTTAAAGGTAATTCGCGAAAGAAAAGACGATAGACCGCGAGCAGAAGGATTAACGAAGGAGCTGAGTGCCGTGGAAGCTTGACAGACGTATATAGTGTGCGTGTGTGTGTGTGCTCCGTGAGTGTATATCCCTATATGTACAAACACTTCGAAATAAGCGGTCTGCGCGGGTTTAACGCTTTACACAGAATCCTTCCTTACACTAGTGCAGAAGAACGCCGAAAGGAAGCGCGAACATACCACGCATCTGCATCGAATGCAAGTACACCAGGAGGCAGACAGACAGACAGACAGACACTGCAGCAGCAGCCTAGCTGCGTTCATATCCGCCGCTGCTGCCGCGGCAGCAACAACGCTGCTTGAACTTGATGAACGCAGGAGGCGCCTCGAGTCAGTAGAACGAGGGATTTTGACTTAAACAGCTTTCTTTGCGAAATCTACCTTCATTTTACTCCTAATCACCCCCTCTTTCTGCCCGGGTGCCCTCTCTGATGCCCGAGCAGCCTTCTTCCCTCCTGGTCGTCCGTCCCGCGAGGGAGGGAGGGAAGGGGGTTTATCATCTATGTACAGACACTGTCATTTAGCGCCTCCTATTTGAACTCCGGGGCTTTTTTCCAGTATTATTTCATCCTTTCCCCGACGCCTGACCCCTCGCCTCTCCGCTGTGGAGCGCCGTCCAACGCCTCTCCCTCCACATCCGTCCAACCCCTTCTCCATCTCTGCAAGAGGGTCGGCTGCACCTGCACCCTCCAGCCATCGCTGGCTCTCTGCCTTTTTAACTCTCTCGATATATATATATATATAAATACATATATATATCTCTCTCCATTGTCTCGCGCGAACCAGCATCCTGTTTGACTGGCAGCCTCCTTGTCAATGCCCGGGAGCGTTCTCGGGGGGGGCCCCTGGTGTAACTCCTGCAGACTCCCACTTATAGTTTTCCGCCGTCTCTTAGCCTTGGCCCTTGCCTCCCCGTAGGCTACGATCCGTTGCAGCCGCCTGTGGAGGCTGAACGCGCAGCAGCAGATGGCGCTGCAAGCTGCTGCTGCTGCTTTCTCGCCCTCCACAGGCACAGCTCCCGCCACCGCCCCTCCAGCCGAAGGGGCCCCTTGCTTCCCCTTCACCACGAACCAACCAGGCAGTCTCCGTCTCCTGGAGTCGCTGCAGCAGCTCGGAACCTTGAGACGGTTGGAGCTCCCTCAAGGGAGTCTCCAATCGAACCCGAAGGGGGCTCTGCCCCCCTCCACGGCTCGCATGAAAAGCGAAGGCGGAGCCGCCCTTCCCTCCACAAAGCTGCTAAGCTCTCGCCATGCAAGAAAGCCTGCAGTTCTTGGGCATCGTCGCGCAGCGGCAGCGACAGCGACAGCGACAGCGGCGCCTTCCCACCGCTCTCCGCATCAAGCGTTCTCGGGGTGTCTGTCCTCCGCAGAACGGCCTGCTGCCGCCGCTGCTTCCCATAGCCCCCTATGCGCGGGTTCCTCCCCTCTAGAAGCTGCTGCCTGCCTGCGAAATCCCTGCAGCGGCGAAGCAGCAGAAGTCGCTCTGCTGGTGGAAGGCAGCGAGCAGCTCGCGCTGACGCAGCAGGAGGCCATTGCGAAGTATATCCGCCTGCTGAATTTGACGTCTTGTGCTTCCTTTCACTGGGATCTGCTGTATGCAGGGGATCGACTGCGGGAAGAAAGGGAACGGGGGCCCCCTTTGCTAGGGGCCCCCAAAGAGGGGTCTGTAGGCACTCCTCTTGGAGGCAGCGAGGCAGGGAGGCGCGCAGCCGTCGTGGATATCATCATGAGCTACGCTGCCGACTTGCAACGCTGCTTTGGGGGAGCTGCATGCGATGTCGCCCGGGTGTCTGTACAGCTCGCTGTCTCGATTTTAGATCGGTCGGGTTTACTCCGAAAAGCAAAGAAGGACCCCCAGGCAGTCCGTTGCTGCGCCGCATTTTGTTTGTCTCTGGCCCTTCAGCATGAGGCTCCTAATAGCATGGCGTTAGAGGGAAAGCTGAAAAAGCTGCTGCTTCTAGAGCGGCTAGTCCCCGAATCCTTTGGAGTTTCCTTCGGCGAGCTGCAGAGGCAAGTGCTCGACTGCCTCCATTGCCGAGTGGCAGCACCCCTCCCCATTGATTTCGCCTCCTACTTGCTCTACGAAACTGCGGCGTTTGGAGGGGCCCCCGGGGGCCCCTCCGCGTCTACCGTAGAGCTTGTTTGCTATCTTCTGGACTGCTTTTCCCTTACTCCGGAGGCAGCCGTAACTCCCGCCTCATTGGCTGCGGCTGCAGCTGTAGAGCTGGCGAGGCGTATCGCCTACGCAGACAGGGAGGCTCCCATAGGGGGGGGGGGGGCCTACGGACAGGAGATTGAAGGCTACAGCAAACAGCAGCTAAGAGCGACTCTTAAGACAATTCATTCATTTTTAACGACGAAGGCTGCAAAATACCCTGGACTGAAGAGGCTCCACGAAAAAGGCTGGGCTGCTGTGAACTGGCAGCTGCCGCACAGCTAGGAAGGCCCTTCTACAGGGGGAAGGGGAAGGAGGGCGTTTTCTGCAACCGTACATACATCTGTGCACTTGGTTCATGATGGACGTGCAGTTTATTTATATACATGAATATGCGTATATATATATTCATTTATGCATGCATAAATATCCGCTGTGTGTGCATTGATGTGCATTCATGGATACGCCTCCAGACTTGTGCTTTTTTTGTGTCATCATGTGGTTGCTATAAACACATGTGCGCATCTACCCACACTCCAGCCGAACAATGTCTGAAAGTTGTTCCCTGGCCCCTTCCGTAGAACGTTTGCTTTTGTCTTGTTGCATAAACCATTTCCGTCATGTTGTCTCTATCGAAGCGCCTTCTTTTTACTTCAATTTTTTCCATTTCTGCTTCCAACCGGGACTGTACTAATCGCATTGCGCGCTGCTTTTTGCGTTCTAAAATCGGCACAGGGCACCGCGAGAGGAAAGCGGTCCCGGCGCGGGTGTCTTTGCCATTTTAAAAAGGAATATTTAGCCAGGATCTTAGCGTAGCAGAATGGCACATGCACAGGCAGGCGATGGCTAGCCAGAGTGGTGCTTGCACTGCGTGGGTTCGTGATAAGGCTCTCTCTCAACTGCCCCAGTGCGGTTGAAGCTGTCTGCTGCTCGATGAACGCACATGCCTATCGCCGCCTTGAGCGCACTTTTAGTGTCATTTCGACCCACGGGCCCCCCCAAGGGAGAGCCGGCGCATGCTGCTTCGTCTGCCTTAGGCCGTCATCTCATGATAGAAGCCCTTTGTTCGTCAGTCTTTGCACCTAAAATTTATGCGCTCTGCCGCATATGTACGTTGGCATGCCCTGTGTGTGGGCATATATATATATATATATATATATATATATATTTGCAAGCCTTTACTGCACGGAGTGCCCCCCAGAAGTAGATGCACCGAGTGTGCAAGATAGGAGGCTGCATGTGCGATGCGAATATGGCTTACTACTCTTTGTCGTGCTCCCGCTGCAGAGGAGGTGAAGTCAGAATTCAGGGTGCCAGCTGCGCCGCTTGAGCACTTCATCCGCGCGTCTTTCCTTCCACAAGTAGCCTTTGCTGACCTTTCTCTATAAGGCCGGGACTGACTCCTGCCCCCATTCTAGCAAGGGCACAAACGAACAGCGAAAAAGGCGTAAGCCACCGAAGAGGGAACAACACGATTTAGTGCATGCAGACACCTCGGTTGTCGTGTGCGCATCTCGGAGGCGAGAGGGACAGCGGGAATGAGCCCAGCGCAATGGCAGAAAACGAGCCAGTGCGAGATCGGATGCAAGAAGAGTTTATCTATGACCTACATATATTTTTTATATACATATGTATACATGTATGTACATCATCTGGATCCTACGCGTGACTTGCCTTGCGGTTTGCTGGCTGCCCCCTTTGCGCGCTGGTATATTGAGTGCAACGCAGCAGAAAATTTCGTTTAGGATGTCTAAGCAGAAGAGAGAGTGCCACCTTCCTTCTGGTGTTGCACTGTACGTCGCCAATTTTGTCTTCCTGAGAACACTCGAGAAGTTCAATTTGGTGCATCTGCTCCGCCTCCCCGCAAAAAGCATCACCCAAAGGAGCACACGGGTGCCGAGGTCATGCATGCGCATTACTGGCTCGCCTGCTGTGCTGTTTTGCAGACATCAGCCTCTCAGTCATACTCTGCCTTTCTGGCAGCGGTTGCTGGAGTCCATGAATTTCTCATACACGCTTCTTCCTTCCCTCGTTGCAGCTCCTGGTTATTTGATGCTGCACTACTAGCTTCGTCGCCTTCTGCGAAGCAACCTCCCCTCCGCGTATGTAGGCGGCCTCCTGTGCCTCGAGCCCAGGAGACACTCCAGCCCATCACAGATCCTTAGGCATCTGCAGCTGGCTTCCTAGTGCTGCCTAAAGACTATACACAAAACAACTGCGCGCGAGAGGACCAGCAACGAAGGCAGCAGTGCAGGCGGCAAAAAAGTATTTGCCTTCAAATTCGAGAAGGCCCTTGTCTCTCCTCAGCGAAAAGCAAGCGATCATTCATGGGTCTCTTTTTCATCGAAGTGTTTCTCTCGCTGGTATGTACACCTGAGCAACGGCAGCTCCTGCTTGCCGCCGCTGTGGTCGCTGCTAAGGCCGTTCCCAAGCCAATTCCCCACCCCCGCTACCCCCCTCCCCTACCAAGCGACACTCGGCGTCGACTCCGACTCTTTCACAAGAAAAGGCCATCCTGCAGACAGCGTGCCTAGAGCTGCTGCGTATCGCTGAAAGCAGGGAGGAGAAGCCTGGCGCTCCCTTCCTCGACGAAAAGCGCGACATTCAAAGCATGCAGAAGGCGGGCAGGGGGAGCAGCAGCCTCACAGCTGCCACCCTCGAAGGAGAGTCCGTCCTCCCCTGCCCTTTCCCGACCTTTTATTCAAGCCGCGCAAACACAAAGCCCTCCCCTGCTGTTTCACCTGCCACTGGCAGCGGAAGCCGCAGCATCCCCGAGTCTTTGGACTGTATAAGGCCCTGATGCGCCGCCTACTCACTACTGCTACTACCTACACACTACGAAGAAAGGAGGTCGTAGCCTTCCCAGCTGCTGCTGTAGCTGTGCACTCACTGCCTTTACAAAGCAGCGAGAATTCGCTCGCAACCTGAATCTAAGGGCGGAACGCAGCTGTACACTAAGACCACAGCGCTCGCGATCCTTTAGCTATTGCTGCCCCCACCATACAGCTGCAAACATCGCAGCATCATCATCTGAGGAGGAGAAAGACTCCTGAGTGCAGGGGGCATGCGCATGCGGAAGGGTCTGCGCCTGCCTTGCCGCCTGCCTTGCTGCCTGCCTTGCTGCCTGCCTTGCTGCCTGCCTTGCTGCCTGCCTTGCTGCCTGCCTTGCTGCCTGCCTTGCTGCCTGCCACTCGGCTGCAGCAGACAGACCCCAGTGTTGGTCGAGTCGTCGTGTGCTGCATTTGCTGCTATCGCCGAGAATTTGATACCTTCCAGCCGATTTTCGAGATCTTTCCTGGGTGTGTGTCTGTGTGCGTGTGGCTGTTGCTGCCGAGACGCCCCTGCACTTGCTCCTGCAACCTACGCTGAACCTCCCCCCTCCGCTCAACGCGCCTCTGTCTGCACATCTATCAGGCTTGCGTGGCCGTTTCGCAGTCGCGTGCCTGTGCACTGCCTCCACTAGGCTGCGGATGGCGCCAGACTCCCGAAGTCTGCCCCGCGTAAGGCTGCAGCAACTGCGGCTGCAGCTGCAACTTCCTGCCTCTTGCTATCGCCGCAGCAACACGGCTGCTGCCCGCATGCATGTCGCTGGGGAGCAGCGGCGAGAAGACAAACGGCACGAACACCCCTAGAGCCGTCACGAGCACCACCAGCAAAAGCACCGCAACAGTAGGCCCTTGATACAGCCAGGAAGCGCCTACAAACAGCTCGACAACCTCGCCACTTGACGCTGCTTCAGCGCCATCCCCCTGAGCAGCAGCAGCAGCAGCAGCAGATCCTGTTGCGGAGAAACGCTCCAATGTACCTCTCCGTGAGGGCAGCGACTGCGATCCTTTCCTCAGACTTTGGAAGAGCAGAATACACACAACAGCAGGCATTAGATACTTGAGCAGCAAGGACCAACAAGGGCGCAATCTTAAAGAGCGGCGACTCGACGACGTAATGGTATTCAAATTGCGGCGTAGATGCTCGACATTCCCCCAGAATAACCAGAAAGCGATCCTGCCCACACCGCCGAGAGGCACGCAACAGTCTAAAGCGTTGGGAGGAGGGCTGGAAGACTTCCTGCTGCTGCTGCTGCTGCGGTTCTCTGCGTCGCGGCTGGGCGGGATGGTGCTCCTGCAGCTCGCGTCTTCTTCGGCTTCGGAAGAAGACACGCCGTTGTTCGCAGCCTCCGCCCTTGCTGCCGCCGCTGCTCTTGCGCGCCGCTCCTCGGTGCGCCTCGCAGCTGCCTCTGAGTCGGCATATCCGCAAAGAGCAAAGTCATCGCCAACTACAGCAGCAAGCTCCTCCCTGTACACAGCGGCTGCAGCCGCAGCGGCGGCGGCTCCCGCTGCGATCGCAGCCTTCTGCCGCTGCTTCCTGCTGCTGAAACGGATTGCGAAAGAGAGCGAAACAGCCGCTCCTGCGAGGAGCAGCGCGAGGGCAGCTCCAACACCCGCAGCAACGGCAGCCTCGCTCGAACCAAAGAACCCCCACGTGCATGCAATGAGGAGCGAAGAGACGTAGGCAGCCAGCCACCCATAAGCCGCTCGATCGCCAACGTGACGTCTCTGCCGCCCCAGTCCATACACCCAGCCGAAGGCGAGTGTCTCCAGCGTTCCCACCAACAACAACCCCACCACCCCCCAGTGGTAGTCCGCCGTCTCGAGCACCACAAGTTCAGAGCGGCGCAGGCAAAAGAACAATCCCAGCATGCAGCAGAGGCAGCAGAGACACAGAGAGACTGCCCACAGCTTCAGCGGGGAGCTGCTGCTGCTGCTGCTGCCGCTGCTGCTGCTGCTGCTGCTGCCATGGAAGAGCCGAGACTGCAGCAGCAAGTCGATCGAAGGCTGCACGAGGGAAGCCACGCTGCTGACACCGAGCAAGACAAAGGCGAGGAAGAAGAGCAGGCAGAAGAAGTGCGGCGCAGGCAGAGAGGCTAAGGCGACGGGGTAGAGCACGAATACCAGCTGAGAGCCTTCCAACTGCAGGCTGCTCCAGTCGAGCGTTCCCCCCGCCGCCTCGGAAGCAGCTGGCGCACTCTTGCCGGAGGAGGAAATGACGTAGCCAGCGACTGCGAAGGCTGCCGTCGCAGAGACGAGCGACAGAATAGCGTTGAAGAGCGCCACAGCAAGGGCATCTAAAGTCGTGTTTTGAGTCGGTGGCTTGCGGGAGGCATACGCAGACATCACCCCCTGAAATACTCCCAAAGAAAAAAACACCTGACTCGCCGCCTCAGCCCACACCTCCGGATTGCCGGTGAGAAGTCGCCAATCCAGCGAGAAGAGACGGGCGACACCCAACGAGGCTCCCGGCAAGGAGACGGCGCGCAGCATGAGCAGCAAGACGCAGACGCTAGGCAGGAGCACAGACACGTAGCAGAGACGCTTCATGCCTCGCAACCCTCTAAACAACCCCAAATAGACGCACATCCATACCAACACCAAGCAGCACGCAGGAGACCATGCCATTGAGAAACCGCTCGAGGCAGCAGCAGCAGCAGCTCCGCCCCCTCCAAGAGCACTTGCTGAGGCATTCGCTGCTCCTGAAACTGCTGCTCCCGCTCCTCCGCCGTTCGCAGGCTGCTGAAGCACTGCCCACGAGAAAAAGGCAGCCGCTTTAGCCTCGGCATCCGCAACGCACCGACCTTCTGCAGCGGCAACGACTGCGTCTGACGTCGCTGCTGTCTCTGCAGCCTTCGGCACCCACTGGCAGAAGAGGCTTCCTGCGCCGCGCGCTGCGCTGCATGCCGCTTGCTGCTGCAGAGAGGACGCTGCGCATGCAGCGGCTTCCTCAGCCGCTACAGCCCAGGGGAGGCGGGGAGACAAGGAGGCAATGGCGTACAGACACCCCCACGCCAGAAAGACAGAATAGTAGCTGCAAATGCAGAAGGAGAGGAGCAAAGTCGCCACTGCGAGCCCTCTCAGCGACGGCGAAAGCAGCGAAAGCACTCGCATGTGACCGCCTCGAAATATCTGCCCAAGCACCATCTCGACGGCGAGCAAAGGAACGCCCAGGAAGAGCAGCAGCAGCATGTATGGAACCAGAAACGTTCCTCCCCCCCACTTGTAGCAGTACGCTGGAAAACGCCACACACAGCCGATGCCAACAGCAGCCCCCATGGAAGTCACGAGGAAGGAGAGGCGGCTGGTCGACTCCGACGCATCAAACGAGCCGTCGCTGCTTGTTCCTGCCGCCGCAGCCGCGAAGGCAGCGAGAGCCGCTGCAGGAGACAGCGGCACATTCCTGTGCTGTTGCTGTTGCCGTTTGAAGCCATCCCACGGCTCGAGCGGAGAGTCGGAAGCCCCCTTGGCAGAAAGCATGCAATCGCGCCGTTCCTGCTGCTGCCGATCTTCCTGCGATTCAGCCTTCACGGGAGAGGCGGGGAGATGACTGCATGGCTGCAAGCGACTTGTGACGGGGTCCTCTGTGAAGTATATACACCGCGGCACGACCACGTCAACGGGCATGAGGTGTTGCTTCCCCGTTTTCAGCTTAGCGGCGCTGCCGAGGCTGCCCCCCTTGCTGCTGCTGCTGCGGGAGGGGTAGTAGTAATAACAGTTCTCCGAGGAGACACTTTGCGGCAAAGCGCTGGAAGCCTTGCTCCCCAGACTGCCGCCGCTACAGAGGCTGGATGAGCTGCTCGACAGATGCTCAAGGAACGAGCTTTCCCCACGGGGAGGCAGATGTGGAGCAGCTGAAGATACCCCCTCTGCTGCCGTCCTCCTGTCTCCGTCGCACTGTAGGGAGGACGGGCTGATCAGCTCAGAAGCAGCAGCCGCTGCAGGAGGCGTGGGGGGAGCTGCAGGAGCTGCAGCACTGCTGCTCCTCTGGCTTGGCGAGGGAAAAGAGACCTTAACCACCTGTACAGGCTGCGCCACGCCAAACCTCACCCCTGCCTCTGACGGCCTTTCCCCGATCATTATATATACATATATATATATGTGTATATATGTGTATATGTATGTGTATATGTATATATATACGTATATATATATGTATATGTACTGCTGCAGCGACAGCTCCCACCCCTCTTCGGACGGTGGGTAATCACCGCAGTTCTGGTAGCTCCTCTGCGAGGGAAGCGCTGCTAAGGGAGGAGGGTACTCAGTCGCATGCCTGCCTGCCCCCTTTTCTTCGTGCAAGAGGTGTCTGCTGCGACGACTCAACTCAGGGAGATCCGTGAGGCGATTTGCGGCCACAGAGGAGCTGCTCTTGCAGAGGCACAACAGGCTAAACAGCGGGAACGCCTTGGAGGAGGTGGGGAAGCGATGCAGCTTCGCCACGGGCTGCCCGTGGAAGCGAACAGGGAGCGTTCGGAGAAGCTTTAGCCGTGAGGCATTCGGGGATAAACAGCGAAATGCCGCTGCCTAAGTGGCTGTAACGAAGGCATAAGGCACGCATGAAGACTGGCGAAGGCGAGCAGTTCAATTCGGAGTTGCCACTGCACACTCCGCTATGGCAGCAACCGCAAGACCTGCAACAACCAGAATCGCGGAAAGAAAGTGAGATACTTCATGAAAAGTAATTAAAGCGCCAGTTTTCTCCGTGTGGTCGCTGAATCCTCCCCAGAAACCGCTCCTCTACTGCTGTGGGCGCGACACTGCATAGTAGTCGCGTTGCGCCAGCAGCAAGCACGTGTCGCAATTGCACGAAAAGCAGCAGTTAGGAGCAAGATAACCTGCTGCTGCTGCCCCTGTCAAGACTCTACACTAACAAGTATCGGCTTGAAACCCCCAAAATGCCGAGGCAAGTGCCAAACGTTCCCACATCGAGCGCACCGCCTATTCCCTCTGTACGGACAGCAGCAGCAGGTTCCGCCGCAGCTGCTGCTGCCGCCATCAACGCTCCCGATTTTCTGCATGCAGCAGCGTCCAGTGCCCTGTTTTAATTGCTTGCTTGCTCATGTTAAACTTCCAAATAAATTGTTGATGCCACCGGAATGGCCCTACTGAAGGTTCCTTTCCAATGCAGGAGGAGCTCGGACTGCTACACCTGAGTCTATCCGCTGTATGCCAGACCAGCACCCGTTAGATTCGTTAGACACGAAACACCTGCCAAATCACGAACCCTACATGGCCAGCAGCACAACATTGACTGTCAAGGCGCGTCTAACGGTTCCAAACATTGCAGTCGCATCCGGATCCCTAGGCTAAATCCGCATCTTCAATGGCCAGTGACCAGTGGGAAAATCAGAATGTTCAAGGAGGCACCACGAAATTTGCGGGTTGCAGAGAAGAGCGTGCCTAATTAAGGCGGTCGTTGCTGGTTTGGGCCTTGTGGGTTGGGGACAATGTTAAATACAGTGGAAGTACGTGACACTTCATTAAATGTGGCTTGCCCGTAGGCAGCCACTCAACTCCCCACTTGCAACCAGCATAGTTGAAAGGCTGTACATGTCTTCCTGAAGGAACTGCTGCCTCACCCCGCGCCCTCCAACGAGAGTTCCGAAATGAGGAGAGAGGCAACCACGCTCCGCGAAGATGCAGCATTAATATGCACTGCGTGTTTTCACAGCCAATTTACACGTCATCTGGCAAACATGCACACAGCATTGCGCTTTGCTGCATCGAATTAACGTTACTCTGCAAGTCGTAAAACCTTGAAATAGACAAAATATCTAGTAGTCGAGTCCCATGAAATTTCTATGGGGTAAGCGCTTACGTAGGGCCAGCACGCTCAAGTACAGAGCGCGTATAAGCTAGTGAAGAAAACCGATTCAGATGCTCTCACATTTGATTTTATGGCAGAGGAAGTTAGTCAGTTTTACAGTGCAAGAGCTTATGCCGTGAGACTGCCCCTTCTTCTGAGTTCCTCTGCACAAACAAGTCATTCGTTTGCACAAAAGCCACCTTCTTCTTTTGAACAATCCGCTTATAGCAGCCCAGAAAAGAGGACAAATCGGATAAAAATTGACCTTTTCATAGAGGTGTGGAGGGCTCAGCCACACTTTGGCACTTTGTTCTATATTTAAGTCATGTTTTGCTCAGTGTAGTACAGAATTGACTACTTCGCTGGCTGCTCGTATGTATTCCATCTTGCATAGCATCAGTAGCTTGATACGGTAAGGTGCAATGTTGTTTCTGTGGGTGCGGTAGGCGCGATTGGTTGTTACTGCTCGGCGTGCTTCAAGGGTGCAGCTGTATGTACCCCAGGTGTCCCTCTTCCCTCCATCAGAATCTTGGGGGATGATGGCAAAGTAAGGATAGAACTGTGCTTGAAGGGTATGTAGTAACTTGCTTCAAGGTTTGTATGGAGTCTAGAATCAAGTGCCACTTCTTACACAGAACTTCGATGGAGCGCTGCAGCAGGGCACGTTTCTAAAACATTCCTTGAATTGCTGAATGACTTCCCAGGGGCATATCTCTTTATGGAGAGAACTTAAATGGAAGCGGGGGTTACGAGTGTGAACAAAGCAATTCAGCAGCAGAAGACAGCCAACTTGGTCTCAGAAGAGGCCGTATTGACCTTGGCTGTGGCTGTTGCTCACCAGGCGTGACGTCTGCAAGGAGAGAAGCTTTAATCCTTTGTGTAGGGTGTTTTTCACCCTCTGCGTGCTTCCCGTTGTTCAAGTGCCTCCCAGCCTCAAGGGCCTAGCCACAGCCTTGCAGAAGGCTCAGTGTGGCGTTGGATAACGCATCTTAACAAGGTGTATCAAAATTGTATGAAAAGGGTGAAACTCCAAAAAGAGCTGTCAGCTCAACTCCACTCAGCTCGGCTTCAGAGCATGTTTTCGCCTTCGACCCGCCTCGACCGTTGCCCCCTGCGCACACGCCTGTTGAAGTGCAAACCGCTGCAACCTCAGAAGATTGAGGGCATATGTATGTAGCCACACTCTGTCAGCTTCTGTAACGGCAAGTATAGTGCTCCCGTTGGTGCAAGCTTTGGCCCCGCTTATCAGTGCACCAAGGAGGTCACAACAGTACCAAAAGGGGGCAGCCACTACCTCTAAAATATCAACTAAGCATCCAACGATTTGGGTGCAACTGGTCAGCGATATGCTAATAATCTGCAGAGAGTGCTCGAAGGCAAGGGCATTGGTGCATTTCGAACTGTAGCGACTGTGGCACCCGATATGTACGTATGTATTTATGTGTATGTGTCTATGTGTGTTGTATGCGAGTGTATATGTATGCGTGTATCTATATTTATATATATATGTATTTGCCATCGCACATTTGTGTCTCCGTGCAAGACACTTGGCCTTTTTCACGTCTTCTCTGCGTGACACTTCTCCTCCTACGAAGGGTTTGTAGCCTGTGGCTTGCGTATTGGGAGGTCACTAGCTGTGGCAGCAGCAAATAGAAGCATCAGCAAGAACACGACTTATGCCAGCAGGGGCAGCGGCGGCAATACGCCTATCTCTCTCCCTCTTCTCAGAGCTTGCTGTTTGGCCGGAGAAGCTTTGCCAGGGGTAGGAGGAAAGCTCGGAGAAGAGACGAGAGCGTCGCCAAACTAACTACGAAGGTGAGTGGCTCTCTCTGGTGGCCTAGGCATAACGCTCTGTTGCAGAAGGCAAAACCACCCGCTAAAAAGAGGCGCATGTGCTGGGGTGTATAGTCAGCTCACAGCAAACGAAACGCATATTTCTTTAGATCAGCAGTGCAGCCTGCTGCTGCAGGGAGGGTCTCCGCGCGGGAGTCGGTTGAGAAAAGGCGTCAGTTTCCTTCTTCCTACTGAGGCAACACAGCGCTACGATTCTGCAACACCTTAAAAAGAAGCCCCTTGCCACCCCATTTTGCACCACTCCTTTGCACCAGTCTCCGCAAACGGCATGTGCGGCTCTCTGACTTCACCTTATGCTGACATTTGAGCAGACGCTTCGCAACAGCCCCTTCTTCCTGCCTCGCTCTCTCTGGTTGATCCCCCATTTGCCTGCCCAGTTGCCCTTTGCCCACCCCCAACGTGGTGCTGCCCCTGTCTTTCGCCAGTTGTTGTCTGCCATTGCGCCGCTGCATACCTTTCCTGTGCACCGACCTCGCTGCATGCCATGCATATGCGCTGGCCTTCTGTCGGGTGCCACATTCCTCCCTGCCGTCTTAGCTGGCTTGCCCTCCCTCCTCCCACCCCCCTGCACCCCTTGCCTCTACGCCTTTCTTGGCTGCCTGTGGACTCTTTCTCTCTCGGAGGAGAGTTTCTCGCTCGCTTCAGCATCCACCAAGACCATCTATGAATAGCAGGGGGATGCCCTTCGCCCCTTTCCCTCATCTGCTCATGCGTGCATGGTTCTCTGCTCTACCGCCGCTAAGCTGGCTACGCAGCTCCGATATATTCACTCCAAAGAACCTTCTTACGCATACTTGAATAATCCCCCATATATATAAAGTACAAAAGGGTGGTCCAGAAAAATAAAGAGACACAAGGCACTGTCTCTCAGCCAACCTGAGCTTCGCTTTCGCTGCGTGCCCGTTTTTGTTGTAGCCTCACTATGACCTTTTCTTCTGGCCTCCTCTACGAGCCGCTCGGCTTCCGCTTATGGCAAATCGGGGAGGATTGCGTAGCCTCCGTCAGGCGCTCCCGGAAGGGGCTGCCTCTTTTTCTTGTGTTTCTCCTTGTCTCGGTGTTCTGGCTGCATTAAAGCCTCTGCGTAGCCTTTAGGCCGCATGGACGCGGATAGCGTATCACCAAGAGGCGAGCCTGCAGCATCTTGTACACTGACTGCGGCTAACTGTTTGCTCATACATAACACTTGAGGAGTCGCTATGGCCGACTCGTTCCTACCCTCTCTCACCCTCCTGCTGCTGTTGCTTATGGCACTGTTTCTCCTGGCGCCACGCGGAGATGGCAGTATCACGCCATAGGGGATGGCATCCGGTGCAGGGGTCACGTGTGGCTCCTCCGCAGTCGATGTTTCGCGCTCTTGCTGGTGCTGCAGCAGCTCTTCTTCTTCCTGCTGCTGTTGCTGCAGCAGTTCTTTTTCTTCCTGCTGCTGTTGCTGCTGCTTGGTAATCTCAAAAAAAGGCTGCGTGAAGCAGCGCCGCGTAAGCCAGCGGCCCGCAGTGTCTAATGTCTGCTGCATGTGTTTGCTGCGAGCGGACCGCGAAGGCATTTGAGCAGTAAAGTGCTTGGGGTGTATGTACACCCCAACGCGCTGCGGAGGCGGTGGTCGTGGGTGCTGCTGCTGGTGCATCTCATGACCTGAAAATTTTTTCGCAAAGTCTCCCAATTTACGCATCTAAAAAAACTCTATTTCCGACACCCTAGAACCTGCTGCTAGCACCTACCAGGGGAGCCAGCTGTTCTACGTCTACGGCAGCGTATCCAAAAGCTGACTCACCAGAGGCAGAAGCCGAATCCAGCATGCAAGGCGCAGTTGCAGCCTCCACCACGCTATGGACGGAAGGCGGAGCGTCTGCCTGCGCCTTTAGAGACAACGGCGAGAGATGAGTTCTCGTGGTGCTCTCTGCTAGCGCTGCACTTGCTGTTCCTGTCACGCCCATAGGAAACGTGTCTAACTCTTTAGACAAGCTGAAAGCCAGGAAGAAGGCTCCCTGTGCGCCGTCCGGAGATATCTCCCCGGAAGCCACCTCCGCACCGAACGATCCTAAGGGAAGAGTTCCTCCTGTGGGACGAGTTGCAGCAAAACGGCTCGTCTCCTGCAGCAGACACCACACCACACCCATTTCGTCTCGACACACACACATACACATGCAGCCAACGCAGCGGATGCAGAAGCCACCAAGGAACACGAGTGACTAGAGCGCGCGCAGACACCACACCACACCCATTTCGTCTCGACACACACACATACACATGCAGCCAACGCAGCGGATGCAGAAGCCACCAAGGAACACGAGTGACTAGCACGCAAAAGAGCAAGAAACACCCCAGACGGCTGCATGCTTCCATGCTTGCATGCAAGCACGCAAGCATGAAAGGCGAAATGCGTTTTCTTTCTTCTTGGAGCCTTGGCCCGAAAAGCAAGAGCACTACTCTTGCTGTCAAGACAGTGCAGCGCACACCACTCCGGCATTTTTGACGGCGTAGAAAGAAAAAGAAATTACACATTCTTGTTGCAAGACGATACGACACCCCCAGAGACAGCAGCACCACTCGCAGGAGTGCACCCGCTTGCTTGCTACCCACGCCAGGAAAGCCCTTTCCTCCCCGACGTTTGCTTCAAAGGCTTTTTTTTGGAGCACCAGCGTCATGATGAGGACGCAACAGAGTCTCTCCAAAAGGAATAAAGGCCCACCTTCTTTCGATCAAATTCATCCATAATATCTGCCTGGAGGAGCTGCTCAATAACGTCTTCCATTGTTACTATGCCCAACAAGTTTGCATCCGGGGGAGGTGAACGTTCGTCTCTCCACGCCTCTCCGTAGGCTAAGAAGTCAGGCGTTACAAATGCCAGATGGCAGCGAGACTGCCCATCATCACCGACAACACAAAATACGACGGATGAAACTCCGCGCAAGCCGTCCGAGAAGAAAGAGAACAGACACCCCCTGGTTCTCGCTGCAGGCGGGATACGAGGTGCTGCCGAAGCGCTAGACTTATGAGCGACGCTTCACGTCGTCGTCGCTTAGGGTAGGTGGGCACTTACTTCTTGAAAGGCATTAAGAAGCGTGTAGGGGTTAATACTGGGGGATACGAATAGAGGTCTCGAATAGCTGCGAAAAGCCTTTGTATCCATGACATCTCCGACAGTCAATCCTACGGAAAAAGAGGCAGCAGTGGAGAAGATAGATAGACAGGTGGCAGTGGAGAAGATAGATAGACAGGTGGCAGTGGGGAAGACAGTCGCGCATGCAGAAAAGCGCAGAACTGAAAGGCTTGTTAGTGGTCGCGTGAGGATGGATGGATAACACCCTCTAGGAAGAATTAGCCCTCGCATGATGAGAATCCCTACCTGCACCCGGATCAATGCAAATTAGACTTTTGACTAAAAGAATGCCGCGAATGTTGTGTCTGTCTCTGCAGCACAAACACAGCAGCAGCCCCATTTCCCCCGTCTCCAAGACGCCACAGCCGCGCAAGCCCCCCTTTCTCCCCCCTTCGTCTAGCCAAAAGCTGCACAGGAGTAAAGCTGCAGCATCAGGCAAGCGGCACACGTCAAATCGTAGACTGCTGCTTCCCGAATCCCCCTTTCTCCTCTCCAAAGCCGCCTCCCAAACGCTAAAAAACGCCGAAAGACTTACCCTTCATAAATTGGTATTCTTGAATGTCCTCTCCGGAGGATTTGCATCATCACATTCGGTGTCAACTTGGTGCTCCTTTCCTGAGACAACAGACACGCAGTCCAACACCCTCGATGTGCCTTCCTGCAGCTGCGTTCTCCGCACACTGGATGCAGATCGAAAGAAGGCTTTTTGCGAAATGCCGAGGCACGCCACCACATCCCACTAAGAATTTGCTACACCTTTGCCAAAGAAAAACAACGCCAACCGCGGCTGATCTGCTTGCGCGACAGATAAGCCCTCACCAGCTGATACACTTCGTCCAGAGGCACTAAGAAGTCGCCAATGTTTTTAGACGCCATATCCAGGGCACCTAGGAAGCAGCAACAAGCACCAACAGAGGAGTCTCCCTCATCTAGCTGTCATACACAGCTGGCAACTACGCCAACGCCATGCCACCAAGCAAGCAAGCAAGCAAGCAAGCATGCAAGCAAGCATGCAAGCATGCAAGCAAGCAAGCAAGCATGCAAGCAAGCAAGCAAGCATGCAAGCAAGCATGCAAGCATGCAAGCAAGCCAGCAAGCATGCAAGCAAGCAAGCATGCATGCAAGCAAGCAAGCAAGCAAGCATGCAAGCAAGCAAGCACCACCACCCTCTCCATTCAAAGCATCCATGCATCCACCCATGGGCGCATGCATGCATGCATGCATGCATGTAAGCAGGTAATCCGTTGATTAAGGTTAGCGGTTCACCTTGAATAACCATAACTTCGTCTCTATTGAGCCATGGGCTTGAGGATTGTTCTCCGCTTGTGCAGCTTCCAAAGGCCGTACCGTTGTCTGCGCTAGCTTCCTCCCGCTGCAATCGATGCCTCCCCTTCTGGTGCAAGCCTGCAGCAAATGAAGCGCATGCAAGCGAGGATAAATAGACTCTTGTTTGAAGTCCAAGGCACAATGCATTGCCAACTGCCGCAAGAGAACAGCCCCTCCAATTCTTCCGGCCGTCCATCCGCACAAGCCCTCGTTTTAATCCTTCGCCAAAGGGTTAAAACGAGGGCTTGCTGCTGCGACGTGTCTACCCATGCACAAAATCCGAAAAAACACGCGCCCAAGAAGAAGTGCAAGAAGAAGCACAAGAACAAGAACAAGAAGAAGAACAAGCACAAGAACAAGCACAAACAAAGCACGAGAAGACGCACAAGAACAAGAACAAGAACAAGAACAAGAAGAAGCACAAAAACAAGAACAAGATCAAGAACAAAAACAAGCAAAAGCACAAGAACAAGAACAGAAACATGCACAAAAACAAGAACAAGATCAAGAACAAAAACAAGCACAAGAAGAAGAATAAAAACAAAAACAAGCACAAGCACAAGAACAAGCACAAGATCAAGAACAAAAACAAGCACAAGCACAAGCACAAGAAGAAGAATAAGAACAAGAACAAGCACAAGCAAAGCACGAAAAGGCGCAAGACCAAGAAGAAGCACAAGAAGAAGAACAAGAACAAGCACAAGCACATGCACAAGAACAGAGACAAAAAAGCACAAAGAGGAGAACAAAAACAAGAACAAGCGCAAAAAAGCGCAGAAAAAGCACAAATGCAATGATAGAAACGAAAACAAAAACAAGCACAAGTACAAGCACAAGTACAAGCACAAGCAAAGCACGAAAAAGCACAAGAACAAGAACACGAACACGAATTAGAACAAAAACAAGCACAAAAAAAGCGCAAAAAGAGCACGAGAAAAGGACAAGCAAAAACAGAAACAAGCACCAGAACAAGCACAAGCAAAGCACAAAAAAGCACAAGACTAAAAACAAAAACAAGCACAAAAAGCACAAGACTAAAAACAAAAACAAGCACAAAAAGTATAAGCACACCGATAAGGGCGCGGAGGTGATTTCGGCCGTAAAACGCAGCGGCGTGCGATGGTCGCAAGAGTCGATCCAGCAACGCTGCCACGGGTATAGCGACGACGGCGAAGACGACAAGGAGAATGCGCACCAGTGGCGTCATTAGCTGTGAAGAAAGTGGCATGCAAAAATCGGAAATCGTGGGTATGAGGCACCAGCAAGAGAGTGGTGGATAGCAGAGTGAGGCGCTTAGCATCAAAGAGGGGGGCGTTTTTGAGTGTCTGTGTGTGTCTGTGTCTGTGTGTATGTCTGTGTGTGTATGTGTGTGTGTCTGTGTGTGTGTGGGTTGGTATGTGTGTGTCGGGGCGTGTGTGTGTGTGGGTGTGCGTGTGTGGGGGGGTGTGTGGCGGTGCGAGTGGGTGTGTGTGACGGTGCGGGTGGGTGGGTGTGACAGTAGATGGGGTAGCACGTGTGCGCTGAGGAGACTGCGGTCGAGGCCGCAGAGCATAGTAGCTGGCGGTTTGGAAGGCGCGGTCGGGGGGGGGAGGGCGAGAGCGCACTGGGAAGAGCGCCAGCGAGTAGAGACGAGTGGGGGAGAGTGTGGAGGTGAAGGGATGTGGGGAGGGGGGGGTGGGGGGGGGGGGGCGGGGGGGGGGGGGGGGGGGGGG